GCAGCCTCTGCCGCGGCTTCGACAGCCTCTAACAATGCGTCGAACGCTACCACCAATACCTCAACCACGCCCAATCTCGTACCTCCGTCCGGCCCAGGTGCGGCTGCTGGCGGTGCTTCTGCTGCAGACAATGCTCGACCGCCTGTCAACAACAGTGGTCGCCCACAGGGTCCTCCTCACACTTCGCACAGCGTGTCAAACCGCCACCCCAACTCGCGGGGTGGATACATGCAGCAGAACTTCCGCCCGCAGTCGCAGCCCTACCGCGGCGATCGCTCCGGTCCGCAACATATGTCGCAAGGCCACAACACTGGCCACTTGGCCGAGCGGATTAGAAACTCTGAACAAAACCAGAACCGGTACAACAAGAACTTGAACAACCATGGCCCCTCTCACTTTGGCCATTCTGGGGATGCCCGCATGCCGCCCACTGGCCCTGCAAACCCAGCTGACAGCAACTATTCCCGCCGCTTAAGTGCGCAGCCTTCCGGAGCACATACACCCCAGAAGCTGAACCCTACTACGCACGAGTTCCGCCCGAGTCCTTTCGCTGCGTCGTTCAACCCGACTGGCCCTAGTGCGGGATCCAGCCCGCGTTCAACGATCAACCACATCACCACCGACCATTCAATCCCGATGTCTTCGACGGCGACATCAGTGCCGACCATCCCGTCTCCTCGGGTTCTTGGCACCGTCCTCATTCGCCGTAAGACTCAGAACGTAAGTGCGGACAAATGCGACATCTTGACCATGGTTCGGTCCATCAAGCCGCCGCCGGGACGTAACTGGGACGAGAATAATGGCCTACGCCCGTCATTTGACACTCCCCTTCTTTGGCGCCAGATTCAAGATGACGAGAAGCAGGACTCGACAATGCATCTCAAGTACACCGAGTACCTTGAGCGTGTTGCCTTTAGTGCAGCTTCCAGAGCGACACCCGTCCAAGGACACGTGGTACCACATAACATGTCTCAAATGCCGCACCAGCACCAGCTTCCGGCACACATGCAGCATCACGGCGGCCACATGGGCCCGCGCCCCAACCAACACATGCCACCGATGCCAATCCACGGTGGTGGCGGACCTCACGGGCACATCCCCCAAGTGTCGTTTAACGGGAGTGATGACCATCGGATGATGGCATCGAACTCGGCGCAGTCGTATGCTTCACCGCGCATGTCACAGACCCCGATGTACCCGCAGCATGCAACCCCACAGATGGGCTATAACCAGCCGGCTATGCCATTCATGCAGAACGGACCCCAGATGAACCAGTTCCGGAACTACTCGAACAACCCCCAAGGGTTCATGCCACCGCAGTCTGGACCGATGATGCCGATGATGCCCCCACAGCACTTCGTTGCTGTTCCGGGAGCTATGATGGGTGGTCAACAGCAGATGGGCATGTATCCTGGTGGCGCCCAGTTCATGGGACCTCCTGGCGCTGGCGGTGCTGGAGGTGCACCTCCACCGCATCAGATGGGCGCTTCCAACGGATATCCCAGCCCCGGGCGGCCTGTCGCGCCGATGATGGGACAACAAGGATCCCAACAGGGACAACCAATGTACGGACAGAGCCCCAACACACAGTACCAGCAACCTGCCTTTAACCCCCAACACCAGGGACAAGGTGGTAAGCTTTTTTGATTATTTGATTGTTGTCTTCCTTATCTCTCTTTCTGGGACGACACAAGGACGCAAAGATGCACTTGCTAACATGCCAGGAAAACCATCCACGCGAGGAGGATATAATAACCCCGGCGCACAGCATTATGGGAGCAGCCCTCAAGGTTTACACCAGCACGGGCCGCCACATCGCAACGGCAGCGGCCACTTTTCGAGCAAGAATTACCAAGGGCACAACATCCACAATAATTCTTACCATCACAATGGCGTGTCCCAACAGCAAGTCAATCATACCAATGGCCCACCGGCTGCGCATCAGAATCGCCCGACCGGCGACGTCCCGGAAGAAGCCAAATGAGGCGCGCCGCATCCAACCCAATGAGGCCTCTTTATTTTCTTTTTAAACTTATCTCGCCTCCATCTGGCGAGCTTTTTGGCTCTTTTGATGTTGGTACCGCATACTAGCTTCAACTAGATGGCCGCGTATCTCCTTGAGAACTTTTATGGATTTTTAGTCTCAGCACGCAGCAAGTCAGCGGGGCAGGACAACTTGTGTCGCTCCCTGTAGCATTGGACAGACGGCCATTGAACGACCACAAGCGAATTATCCGCGCCGTCGAAATTTTGGGCCGCTGGTTACCCTGACGTCGCCGCCGTCCGAAGCCTTGGAGGGCGGACTCTCAAGGACTTCCCAATGCGCCTGCTAAAATAACATGCAATACAGACAAGACGCCTCTTCTGCGCTGTTATCGACACAAGAATATTTTGGCCGGCGTCGCTGAGTTACTATTGAAAGTCACATTATACTGTCCAACCGCCTGGACATATTGGCATTTGCGAACTGCAGCTTCTGTACTTCGCAGTCATTTCAGCCAATGCTGCTGGCATTGCCCAGGATGCCCTTTCACAGCCATTCGGCACACGTTTTTTTATCCAGTTGGAGAGGCGGTTATTGAAAGCTTGTAAGAAGGAGATGCTGAAAACATCGAAAAGTGGGAAACATGATTCCATCTGTTGCCTGCCCAAAAACACTAAGAAAATGCAAATCACAAAAACAGGAGGTAGGAATGCGGAATAGGGGCGATTCGAAACGATGGGCAGGACCAAGTACAGGTGCTACGGCGGTTCAAAAGCGGGAGTCCGGTACGAGAATGAAGGGAGGGATGTGGGTGGGATTCTCGGCGCCAGGCTTGCGTGTCGTCGGAGTGGTATATGCAGTTGAGCGGCTTTGGGTCTATACGGAATGTCTTTATTGACTTTCGTTGAGGGGGTTCTGCTGTTCCTTGATGACTAGAGGAGTCAAGGAGAAAGGAAAGAAAAGAGATTAAGCGGACAAACCCGACTATGAAGAAAAGTATGATATGGAGATGACGGTAAACGACATGCTTAACTTGTCATTACTTGTTCTCTCTCCATATCTAAATTTAACCACTCATATATTTATAAGAGTCGACAGCTGGCCGCCGTTTCTGCTTGCCAGCCCTCTTGATGTCTGTCGCTTAGTTCCCTCGAAGCCTAGTTGCAGCTAAGCAGAAATGGAATGGACACAAGCCACGTGGGGATCGTCGATGTCGCTCTTCGCCTTGGGGATGGCTAAAAGTAGTCAAGCTCAACTTGGCTTTGTGCCTGTGAGCTGCCGTTGTTGAAGTGCTGCGATTATCCTCATTCGACGAGCACATCTATTGCATCCAAAGTCGTGTCTATCATGCGGGGTACTTAAAACAAACTTGACACCTGGTTGCAAGAAAAAACAAGTTGAGTAAACCAGCAGACCCTCCCGTTCGTGGGATTCTTTTGCTTACCCCTCATGCATTGTACTGGACGACGTCATTCCACACTGTGGTACAGCGAAGTGGACTTGTATCCTGTTTGGTGATGCAAGGAAAAATTGTCCCATCATTAATTAGTGAGGTCATGACATCCGCCCTCCCCAGGTTTTGTTTCGTGTCGATCTGTGCCTGGTAACGAGGCAACCTACCTTGTGCGTTGCCCGAAGTTCTGTTGTTGAAAAGACAGCATCGTCATTAGCCAGCCTCGTGCCAAAACAAGTCACGTATAATTGGTGTAAACGCGTCTGCTACGTCAGAATAATCTATCAGTCCACATGATAGTGACGACTTTGGCGTGTGCTTTGCTTCCTACTTTTTTGCCGAAAATGATATAAGAGACAAACATTGACGACTTATTTTTGTTTTTCTCAGATGCCAAATATCTTTCCACTTAGTTTAATTCTTTGGATACAGTCCTAGTTCACCACATCTTGCCAAACCCCAGAAACTCCAAAACTCAAACATCAAACAAAACCAAACATCCCGTACAATGTAAGTTCGCTAAAAAGACAGAAAGACCTTTTCCTGTATAGGACAGAGTGGTTCACTCATCTAACTCATATAGGGGCCTCTTCAACCACAAAAGCCATCCCGACTCGGCCACTACCGACGCCCAACCCGTCGAGACGTCACGCTTCAACACGCAGGATCCTTCGGTCCGCACCACCGGCAACCCGATGCACGTCGATATGAACAACAATGCGGCCGTTGCCAGCGGTGCCACGGGCTACAGCAACCGCGACAACAACATGACGCCCAACGACGCGAGCTTCACTGACACGCACCACAACAACGGCCCGACCCACGGCCACGGCGGCGACCACAACAACAACCATCATTCCAAGGCCGGGATGGGCTTGGGCGCTGCTGTTGGTGGCGTCGCTGGTGCGGCGGTAGGCAACCACATGCACGACCACCACCACAATCACAACGAGCATGGCCTGCACCATAACCGCGGCGGAACCATCCCCGGTGGTCCCGGCATGGACGCTGGCATGACCGGTGCTGGTGTCGGCGGAGCTGGAGTGGGCGCGGTGGACCCGACCACCATGATCGCTGAGGAGCACAACAACTTCCCCGGCACCAATCCGCATCCGGACCACTCGGCCCTCAGTGGCCGCGGTGAAGGCAGCGGACTGGCGTTCCCTGGTCGCGAGTAATCACGGCTAGGTTTGCTATCTTGAATGATGAGAAATGATTGTATGATATTGCGACATGCTTCAAGGAGAGATTCTGAAGTGGCGACGGCCAAATTCGGAGGCACTGTACGGATAGCTTCAATGGAAAATTTCAATGAGCAGTTATAATGAAATGCCGTTCAATATTGGAAACCAAAAGTGTAACCCGAGTTACATGGCCAAACGCTGACGAATAGGAACAATAAAGTGTGAGCTTGTCAACGTCGCTTGGACCTCCAACCGTAATAACGCCTCGCTAAATGTTGACTCGTTTTAGAGACCGATACAATGACATAATATAGCAGAAATCGTAAACGTAAAACAAACAAAACAACAGTGACACACAAAGAGTCGGGAAATGTCCACACTACGGCGCCACCGGTGAACTGATGTCGATTTCGACATCCGCAGCGGCCCGCGTCTGGCCAGCTACTGCGTTGATCGGCCCATAATGGCCGTGCATGTGCTCGGCCGCCTCTGAGACGACATCGAGTTTGGGTGCCTGGGTATGCTGTGGCTGGAATGGTTGTGGATGCTGTATTGGCTGATGATGCACCTGCTGGTAGATGTTGCTGCGGTCACGGCTGTGGCTCGGGGTATGACCGGGCGACTGACCGGGCGAATGAGCTGGCGTGTGACTTGGCGTGCCATTGTTGCTGTCGTCGCTCCAACTGCGCTGGTGACCCGACATGAGTGGTTGTTGCTGCTGCTGGTGCTGGTGCTGCTGAAGCTGTGTGCCGGCGCCAAAGTTACCCATGCCGCTGAGGGCGCTGATGTTGCTAAAAGGCCGCGCTCTCTGCGGTATTTGGCTCTGACTTTGGTAGTGAGACGCTGCACCCGCGTTTTCTTCGGGTGTATGCAAAACACTGGGCAGTTCTGGGATGAACCCGCCGTCCACGCCGAGTTCCGCCGGTTGTATGGGCGAGCCGACGACGACACTATCCCGCGCTGATCGTTCGCTTGCATCACTGATGATGCGTGGGCGGTGGTATTGCTGATGTTGCTGGCTCCATACTAATGCCGGCGGCAGCTGGCCCTGAGAGTCTATGCTTGTCCGCGGGTCTGAGCTCATTGAAAACCGACCGGGCCGGTTCTGCACGCGGCCTGGGATATCGAAATAGCCCGTGACAGGCTCCCTGTCAACGCCGGCATTCGGCGACGAAAAGTCTAGGCTGGCTTTTGGAAAACCTGTATTGTCCGGCATCGGCGGGGTCGACCCGGAAAGGGTGCTCAATCCGGGGGGCTGAATAAACGTCGAATTCCTGCCGCCATCTAAATGTGTCTCGGTCGCTTGGTTCTCCAGAAGATCATCGTACTCCATTTGATTTATCTCGGACGGCGTGGGAAGGTGGGCCGCCATTTTCTGCTTGGAGTTTCGTGTGCCACTCTCGCCGCTGCCGCTGGCACCACCAGCGTCGATTCCACCACCACTCAGATTGGGACCACCGCGCCGTCCACCCCGTCTGCCTGCTGAGCTAGAACCGCTGCCTCGTTCCGCCTTCTTCACGACCTTGGCGGTCTTGCGAAGGTTCCGGATAATAAAGAAGGTAGCCACCAGGACGACGAGCAAGAGGCCAGCAAGGCCACCGACCAAGCCGCCAATCTGAGCGCCTGTGAGGCCGGACGAAGAATTGTCCGTGGTTGTTGCATTGTCGGCGACAGCCACTTCTGATTCTTTTGCCTGTATAGCAGGAATGAATTTGGGTAGGAAGACGTTTGTATCGGTCGGGAGGCCGCTCGGGGCTGTTGGGATTTCGACCGTAGTCGAGGTGACGGTGGTGACAGCCGCCTTTCCATTTGCGTTGGTGGAAGTCGTGAAGGTAGCCGTGAATACAAATGTCGCCGGGGTCGTCGCATAGCACGCGTTTAATGCACAGCCCATGGTAGTCTCGCAACAGCCGAAATTGTATGATGCCGGGCAGAGGTAGTAGCCTGTTGGACATTGTTGGGTGTTGGATACGCCGGCCGGTGCCGTGCAATCGTTGACGCCGCAGATGTAGCCTGGCAGAACACGGGTTAGAATTCCTAGCCCATTCCGTAAAAGCTTGCGCATTGTTAACATACCGGAGGGGCAACAACCGCCCGCAGCCTCAATGCCACAGTTCATGTACCCAGCACGGCCGCATGCGGAGGCTGTCGAAGCTAGAGTCGTTTGCATACATGAGCTGACTTCGCAGGCATAGTCAGTAGGACAGCACCCGCCACTTAGTGATGCTGGGCAGAGCGAATAGCTTGTTGGACAAGTTGACGTCGCGGCGGCCCGTATTCGGAGCTGCAACTCCGTCGTAACGTGGATCTTTTCGACCCGGCGCACAACCTCAGTATCCCATAACTTCTCGACCACATTGGAAGCAGACGCTGCTGGCGCAAGATCGGTGACAAATAACCATAGGCCAAGCCATGCTGGCCAGGAGGTTCTCGACCTCGACATGGTTGCGAGGGACGGGACCGGTCTGAGGTACAAATCGTATTCTGTTTTTTCGGAACCCAGTTGTTTAAAAGGGAGCTTCCCTCGGTTGGTGATTGACTGAAATCATAGGTTACTGCCGGTGCACAAGCCCGCCGTTGCGAAGATAGGAAAGCGAAAAGCGCCTAGCTGGTACCAAGATCGTTTCTAGGTTGAGAGCTGCAATGCCCCGAGTTATAAGTGCAGACGAGAATCGAGCAGCGACAGTGAAACGTATGCGGCGAATGCGACGAATTTGATGAAAATGATCGAGACAATGGGGCAAGAAAAGGTAACAGGACCCCCAAACTGTTAAGAAGACAAGATGAGAAATGGGTCCCAAAGACTCAAAAAAAAAAAAAAAAAAAAAAAAAAAAAAACCAAAAAAAGAGCCGCAAAGTGGGTGATGGATGAGCCCGACCGCAGCAGAGAAGCCCACAGTAGTAGGGCAGAACAGCGTCCAAGATGCGTGCAAGATGTGTGGAAGTGTGTGGAAGGGAGCCAGAGGGAGTCTGAGAGAACGTGAAACGGTGCCGCAAAGCCACGTCTTTATTACGTACCGACGAATGCACCATCGGCAGCTGCAGCGCAAGGGAAAAGGGAATGGAAAAGAATTAGATGGCCAAGCATGTCCCGGAGACCCAGTCAAGAGGATGCGTGCTGGCAATGAAACGGAGACGAAGGATCTGGTCCGTTAAACTAGTAAGAAAAAAGAAGTGAGATATGTAGGAAGTCCCTGAAAAGAAACTCTATGAGGACCTGCCTTGTCCCTTGTCTCCACTGCCACTGCGGCTGGCTGGGAAAGAAGGGGGGGGGGGATGCGGCTGGCTTATGACTGAACGGGAAGGAGTGACCGTCAGCAAAAGGAGTTGGCCAAGGATACACTGTTGTGATGGTGGCTGAGGAAGGAGCGCACCGTTTTCGTTCCTTCTTCTTCTTGCGAGTCTGCAAGTCCGGTCGGCCTTCTTGTGCCAACGTCGCTCTTCCCTTTTGTTTCTTGTTTCCTCCCACACCTTCTGTTCGAAGTTGATCTCGAGTCGCGGCTGCCAAATTACTGGCCCCCGGGTGGGTTGTGGCTGGCCTTCCTTCCTCTCTCGGTTTTGCAATGCGGCCCACAGCAATGGAAGGAAGGTGCCATCCAGCGGGGATCACTTGCTTTTCTTTGAGTTCATAGGGCTGTCCCTATTTAGGCAGTATTGCCGGAGACCCTGGAGAGAAGTAGCGGGGGACTTGCGAATATTGTAATGAAGCTGTACGAAGTATGACGACGTGCGAGGACAGAGTAGTACTCCGTTAGAAATACGACAGATACGGCGAGAGACAGAGCCATTGAAGAACGCCTTGCCAGCACGAAAGAAGAGAAAGTGTTAGAGGAAGCAGAGGTGATCATGAATAAATAGTAGCTACAAACAGCGAACAAGACGAAGGCCGAACATAGCGTCCAGTAATTAAGCCATCGCATTTTCCTTACCTCCCTTTCTTTACCTATTCCGCCGCGAGTCAAAAGGGGGAGAGTCGGCGCAACTCGCGCATTTCTCAAAATGGTTTGTCGGGAAGGGTGTTCCAACAGGTGATGCGCCGAGCGCATCACAATGCCGATGGAGGCGGCAGCAACAGACATAAAACCGTGTGCAGCACCTACGAGCAACGCCCACAAGACTCGGTACAAGATGATACATAAGGTGGTATTTAAGGGACCAGTTGCAGCGACTCCATTCCCACTCAGCGACGTTGATTCGCCTCGACTTTTTTGCGAGAAAGAGACTACAGCCGCACAAGTTGCAACAAAGGTAAAGCGGAATGCAGATGACGGACACGGAGTACTCCGTACGAATAATACGGCGAGGCCTCAAAACCTGCTGCATTGGCAACCATTCGACACTAGCCTCCCTCTGTCCAGTATGGTGCGGCGGCTGCATCTGCGATTGGACGTCTGGCAGCGACCTTAATCCATCCTACAGAAGCCTAGGCATATTTTGTACACCTCCTGTATTTTTCCGCATTTTCTGCCCATCCTTTTTTCTGTTGTCCCCGCTTTGTATCCTCTACTCCTTGCTTTTCGTGAGGCTCTGTTGGTTTGCGATTCGTAGTCCTCCCGCGTCTCTTCCCTTCCGTTGCCCGGTGTACACGTCGACCGAGTTTGCCTTTGCCGGGCCGATGTCAACTATGAGAGCCCCCAAGGCAAGGCCGGGCATAGACCAAACTGACCACAGCTCGTCGCAAAAAGGCTAATCTGCATCTGCTCGGCTTCCATCACCTGTCTTGAGCCCATTGTTTTACCTTGCAGGCAAGGGAATCAGAAACGTCCAGAAGAACCCATGCTGCCTGTCGAATGGAGTTGCCTATGTGCCTGGACGTCGTAATACTTGTTTGTGTCAAAATTCCCTTGCCATACCACGGCCAATAGCGAGCCTCGGGGCGCTACGGCGCGGTCGGCAACGGGCGCTAGAACGGGCAAAGCCGAAGTTTGCGGGCTCGTGCGAGCTTTCTTGAGTTTTGTCAACAGCCACCAATACCCATTCCATGGTGATCGGCCATCGCATCGCTTCTGGATCCATTGCAATGCAGTGCCCGACTACCCGACATGTTGTCCAACGAAACACGCCCGTTTTAATTTTGGGAACTCGCTTATGACAAAAACGTGGGACAAGTAGTTGTCTTTTAGCCCTCTTGACCATGGCCAGTTCACGGGCCAGAAACACATCGGTCCTTCCCCAACCCTACCAACAGATGCTTTCATAAACAGGCCAAGTGCAAGGCAAACGCACCGAATGTAGGCATTGAAAGGCACCCAGGACGCGCCGTCACATTGACTAATTGCCATGGCCATATATTGACTTGGGAGGCCTTGTCTATTTCTATGTTCACAGTGTAATTTGCCACAAAATCTCTTGCACCTCGGCGAAACGGACACCTCGAGGTTACAATGTACGTATTTGCGTATTTGCGTCAAGAGAATGAGATCAGCCTGCAGAGACTGACGGGTGGCCATCACTTAAACGCCTGATAGCTTTGGATCGCTAAGGGGTTTGACATGATCGGAACAGGTGTGGAGATGCCCGGTGTCGTCCTTGTTCTTGAAATTGCAATTCTAAAAGCGAAAGATGCGTGGGGGCTTCTTATCAGTCTCACAACAGCACGTGTAAATACTTTACCAAAAAAATTGCTCGGCTGCTGATAAAACATGGCCTGTCAAATAACCTATGGGATCATCAATGAAGAATATGGTGAAAGTCTGTGCTGCGTTTTAATATTGATGATGGCCAAGAGGTTGTTTAGACAAATAGCCGGAGACAGCAAAAGCCGCTACCATTGTCTGACACGCCACGCCGAAGGTCGACTAGCTGGAGAAAAGATCTGAAAGATCACGTTCTCATGGCTATTGGTGAAAAGAAAGACTCGGATCACCAGGTATGTCATTGTCTGCCCCCACAATCTACCGAAACATACCACGGCCCATATCAGGTTTCATTTCAAAGTATGAAATGGCAAATATGTGGTCGAATCTCGACGTGGATGAGATACTGGGGGAAGCAGGTCCGTCAACACCACTCAACTTCCGACCGTCACGACACGGATAGAACCAATGCCATAAGGTGAATATGAAAATGACAAGTGCTTGGCGTAGGGTCATCGAAACACTGTATTTCGTAACAGAACTACGGTTCCATGCTCGGGCGATCATTTGTGGGCAGCCGTGAATCTGTATGCTGTTGGCGCGTGCAAACAGTTAAAGACACAGCCCGTGCCATATTTCTGAGATCTCACGGTGCTTGAGCGGGTGCGACATTTGTATGTACATAAGCAGATATGTTTTTTCCGAATATGTGCACAGTAATGACGTTGAAACTCCTCTCGCCGCACGTCGTATCCCAGAACACCGTTGCATTCTTTGCGTGCAACCGTTTTGGTTGATATGGAGTACGGCATGTTGAATCATCCGATAAATAGGCCGTGTAGAAGAAGTAAGATACAATGAGGCCCGGGCACCTTCGCTTGCAGCAGGTGGCTGCAGCATTCGGAAGGACAAATGCCGAGCTGGGCGGACAGAAGTGACAAAAGACGTATCACCAACTATGACATGGGGGGCTATGGTTCGAGCCGTAATGGCCAGGGTATTACCAAATTATAAAATGAGACGCTGCTTCTTGACATAAACCCTCTTTAGGTGTTGATGTCGCATCTCATTCGACGCTCGTTCGACGAGAACACACAAAAGAGCCGGGTGCCATGCTGTTCGTAGAGCACATATTTCGTCACACGCGGCACTGCATCAAAACGCCTGCTTTTGCATCTGGGTAAAGACAGCGGGTGCATGCTCCTGCTCTTTCACGGCGGTGTGCAATGCACACATAGTCCTGTCATATTTCTACCTGCTTCCCGCCATCTCAGGTCTTCTTAAGAGTGCAAATTAATTCCTGCACCGTCTGCGCTATTTCTACACAGCTTCTTGTTTCAGGAGACTCCATTGTCGGGTTATCAGGCATAAATCGTTATTGTGTGGTCTATTGTTCTTGACATACTACTTCAGATGCAACCCCTTGTGAAGACGCGATCATTTCCACACCGCCCGTTGTGCCCAGTGTGCACGTACCCCTGGTTAGGCTCGCGCCTTCCCTACTTTCGATACCTGCCGTCCCGTAACCCTTACGTCTTCCTTCCAACCCTGTATTTATCCTGCTCTCCTTAGCTGAGAAAGTAACCGCATTGTCTGGTTGTATGCAGATGTCGTGCGTACCTTCCCCACACTCGAGTCTTTCGCCCTCTTCCTACAATCGAGTACAAGTACAGGAATGTTCCGAGTTATGTCCCTTTCCCTCATTTGCCTCCCCTGCCTCGTTCTCCAAGGGCCGTTCAGACGTCCCGCGACAGCTTGAACCTTTCCGTCTCTTCGGTTCTTCTTGTGCATCTGTCCTGCTTCTGCCGTCTTTTTGTTTTTTGTCGTCGGTGCAGCGGGTCTATTGAAAAGAGGGTTGCTCTTGCCTTTTTTTGTTACTCTCTCTTGCCGCCTGCTGGTTTTTCTTATGGTTTCTCTGTTGCGCCTTCCCTCTCACAAAATCCTTGCGCTATTTACGTACATCATTCTTTCAGCCTGGCCAAGCCTCATCTCTCTCTTCGACTTCTCCTCCAGTCTAACATCGCCGTCGCCGTCCACTTTACTGGATTCAAAGGGTACGAAGGTGGCGTGCTAACCAGTCTCAGATGCGGCATTTTCTTCTGCTCGTATCCTCAGCCTCGTCCATTGTGCACACCGAAAGCCGAAAGCCTCGTTGGTCGTTTCTCGTTGTCATCTCTATCTTATCCACAGAGTTGACTCCATCCCCAAGGATCCGAACTACCGCGTTGTCCACTCGCCAAGCTAGGTTTTGGGACCGTTTGGTGCTTGCCTCGCTTGCACTCACCTTCTCACTAAACAGGCCTCCTCTTGATCCCCATTATTTCACTCCTCCTCTCTCCACATCGCCAACATTAGTGAGGGCCCAAGACCAGACGTTCTTTTCTCATTCCGCCTCCTCCGGATATGATCGCCTCTCATTGTTCTTCTTACGCCATTTCTAGAACTCCTCCATTTCAAATCCTATGTGCCCTGCTTTTCTCCTCCAATCACCCTTACTCCCTTCCCCGGATTTTATCTACTCCGCACCGTGGCTCCAGGGGATCATCATAGCCCTGGCCCCGCGCGACAACCATTTCCGCATCTCCCACCACGTCACCGATCGTTTTCGAACTGTCACACTTGCTTCTTCATTCCCACAATTTTGTGCATCCGCTCGTACCATTGAAGTGCGTCTGGCTTTCTTCCCGCAAGACCCACCATGGTCTTGTCATGACTGGGAACGCCGAATAGTTCGCGATGAGCACTCTTCTCAAACCCTTACCGGCGCCCAAACAGATTCGCTTTGTCAACAATCAGGGACAGCCGCCATCGAAGCGCCGACGCGTTAATGCAGCGTGAGTCCACAGCCCCGTGTCTTGGTGTCTTGGAGACACATGAGCGTACCAAAGCTAGATAGACGGGCGTGAGAACAACGTCCATGCTGACCACTTTCCTTGCGTTGCCCCAATACAGATGCCTGACGTGCCGTAAGCGCAAGACGCGCTGCGCCGGAGAGCGCCCGACTTGTTCAACCTGTGCGAGCAACGGTCATGAATGCCTCGGCTATACAGACTTCGCCGAGAAAAAAAAGGAAATAGTCGGCGCCGCCAGGACCGGTTCCTTTGAAGCCGGAACCCGAGAGCGAGGCTCAGCAACAGACGCCAAAAGTGAAGTTGATGACGACGATAACGACTATGACGATGGGAACGATTCAGCCGAGCCGAACAATGACCGACAAGGTGCCGCACCGAGTTTCATCTCTGCTAGCGACAGCAATCCCATGCGTGATGGTGGCGGCGATGACGAGGCCGTCAGCGATGGTGGCGCAAACTACAACCAGGCTAGTCCGAAGCGGCGACGGAAATCCTCGGGCAAATCTTCGCGGTCGGATCCTAGCCAGCGCGTCGAATGGGAGTCCACTGTGCAGCAGTCGTCCCAATCACAGCAATCGCAGCAGACGCAGGCAGCACATTCACAACAGCGACGTGATGCACAGACACATGCCAGTAGTCAGCGGTCACAGCCGAATCCACGGTCTGTATCGTTTCATGATACCAGCCAAAAAAGCTCTGCACGACCGTCGCCTCCTCAAGCGCAGCAACACTCACATCAACACCAACACCAACACCAGCACCAACACCAACATCAACATCAACATCAACACCACAATGAAAGCCACCGAGTCCCCTATTTTCGCTACTTTGGCCCGACTGCTATTGTACCTGGTTACAAGCAGATGGTTGTCGACGTGTCCGTTCGCGACCGCCGCCGTAGTCGTGGCAGCAGCTTTTCAACAGTCTCTCCGAGCACTACTTTAACGGACGGCGCAAGTAGCCACCGTGGCCAGCACGGACAGAACCGCCAATCACGCTTTGATCCCGTGTTCGAAAGCCTCGAAGACTTACCTGTCTATGACCGCAATGACACTGCTCCCGTCCATCCGGTCATTATCAACCTCCTCAAGACCTTCTTCGTTCATCTCGGGTGCAACTACCCCTTTTTACGCGAGGATCGAGTTTTGAAGATGGTACGTGAGAAACGCGTGGAGGCCATCCTTGTTGATGCCATGTGTGCTCTTGCCGCACGCTTTTCTGACCTTCCTGTGTTTACAAACGGCGTTAATACGGACAGTGGTGGCGCCAGCAACAGTAACAGTGCTGGGCAAACCACCGCTGATGGCCAAATGGCCCGCTCAGAATATGGCCACGTATTTGCACAGCGCGCCAAGGCGGCCACCGTCGATACCTTCCCTTGCCCCTCTGTGGCAGCTGTCCAAGCCTGCCTCCTTATGGCCTACGAAGGCTTCGGTGCTGACCAGGATAGTGCGCTATGGATGTATCTGGGACTCGCTATCCGCATGGCGGTGGATTTGGGCCTTCAGAAGAAGGTGGGCGTTACTCCACAGGGTGAAAAGGATCCTTGGTTTATGCGTACCTGGAACGGCAAAGGCGGCGACAACGACGATGGCGAGGACAGCGACAACGTTGAACCGACGTACAATATTGACTCTGGAAGGAAACCGGCCCACAACAGCAGCGATGCCATGCACGACGGCGAAAGCGTGTACGCTTCTGCAGAGCTACGTGCAGCAGAGCAAGAGCGTGCCGATACATTTTGGGCTGTTTTCTTCTTGGACCGCGTCATCTCGTCAGGTACGGGACGTCCCGTCACATTTCGAGACGACGATTTTGAGCTCGCACTGCCTGAGCCCACGTTAGATCCACTTACCGATTGGCCCGCACCGTTCCCCATTCTGGCACAAATTATCCATCTATATGGTCGCGTGTCCGACGTTTTGAACAATATCCACAGTGCCAACGATCTCACACACGAAAAGATGCAGCGGCTCGGCCATATGGAAAACGACCTGACGCAATTGTACCAGAGACAAGACCCGCGGCTCAACTTCAACGCGTCCAACTTCCAGGCGTATGTGCGCGCCGGACAGGGCACAACGTTTATCTTGCTCCATTTTTGGTTCCACACTCTCATTATCATTCTGCATCAGCCTACCCTCTTGGCCCCATTTGGAGGCCTTCAGCGCACACACCAGCTCTTGCCGAATAGCCACGAGCTCTCCATGTCCAGCGCCAAAACTATAGCCGATATCCTCGCGTTTGCAGAGCTCATCGACCCGAAGAGCTTCATAGGAAATCCCTTTACGTCACAACCAATGTACATTGCCGCTTGTGCCTTTTTGATGGAATCCGTTGCGAATGCCTCCCAACCGGCATCTCGGGGCACCACACCACCGGCTGCGGATGCTCAAGCTCGAGGCGCTGGATACTCTAGTGGCGACACTCGGACTGGAATCTCGTCAAAGCACTCGCTTCTTGCATCGAATGCGAACCAGAATTACCAACGTTGCTACAAATCACTACAACAACTGCGCCTTTATTGGGGCGGCGTACGGTATATTTTGACGGCACTGGATCAGAAGTCCAAGGGCATTTGGGATTGCGAGACATTCACTACTGAAGAGCTTGAGAGCACAAAACATCCCGTTCGCCGTGGCTCCTTTAGCCAGATGCCGCGCTTCGACAATCCCTCCTCGCCAAATGCACCACCCATAGCTTGGTCATTGACAGGAACATCGAACTCTGCAAATCCTAGCTTGACCTTGCTATTTCAGAGCCACACAAATGCTGCTGGACCTGGCGCTTCGAGCTCCAAGGCCCAGGACACGACACCACGGCCGAAAGAAAATCAAAAGCAACGCAAACAAGCAATTCAACAAGCCCAGCAGAGTCAACAAGCCAGACAGTCGAGTAGTCAAAAGCGTTACCATTCGCCTCAGCTTGCTTCCGCTGCCACTCCACCGGGAAACATGATTTACGATCCGATCCGACAGAGTATTCCTGAGGCCCCGCCTATGTATGCCCCAGCCTACCCGCAAACCAACATTTCGGCTCTACGGTACTCGACGGACCAGTCTGCGCAACAACAAACGCAGCAATTCCAGCAGCAAAGCTCCACACATCCTGTACCCCCAACATTCACCGATAGTCAACTGGCGGAACAAGGCCATGATCGCAGCACGTTCAAGTTTGATGATCTGGACTCACCCAGCCCAGGGTCGGGGCAAAATGGACCGCATGGACTGTATACTGCTGCCAGCAATATGGTGTATTCTGGGCAGCATCAAGCACAGTTCCAGGTACCGCAACAACTGCAACCGGGTCAGCAGCAATTCAACCACCAGCAACAGCAGCATGGCCAGGACCAGCATATACACCAACAAGACTTCTTACACCAAGCATCGCATCAATCACAGCAGCCTCTGCCTGCCCCTGTGCAATCGTACAACACGCCCTCGTCACACCATTCGTCTGGTTATGAGGGCGCCATCCTGCAAGGCACGTCCCCGTCCAACAACGGACTCGCACACTTTGACCAGGCGAATGCGAGCGCGAGCGGGAACAGTCCTCGCACGACGACCGCTCTTGGTCCCCTTGACGGCAGCGGGATGTACCAACCTGACCTCAGCCAAGGCGGCCTCATGGGCGGTGGCCTGTACTCGTACCTCGAGGCGGGGCCTATTACCGACATCATCACGTTTGACAGCCAGGAAATCGACATTAGCTCCCTAACACTGCCGACGGAGTTGATGCCCCAGTGGCTTGAGTACCTCCCAAGCAATGTGCTAAATCTCTTTGATGACGGTACAAACAGGAGCAGCCAATAACTATCACCTTCTGGGTTTCTCGTTCTTGCAATGGAGCACTTTTTCTAATGAGTCACTTACTATTTCTGGTTCACTTTTTGTTTGGTTTTTCTTTCCAATTTTGCTTTAATATTTGCTTGTTACGCAACATGATTGGGTGTTATGGGTGGGATGGGATAAAAGTATCAGATACCTCACTTGCATTTGTTCAGCGGGCCATTTTTTTTAAATTTTTCTTGAAAATAATATTTCTTCTACTCTTTTCACAGCAGTCTTGAACACTGCATCAGTTTTATCACGCAACACCAGATCACCATTCGGATGCAAATTTCAAAAACAAAGGGGCCAGTTAATTTGAGTAGCTTGGTATACATCATAGAATATTCATTACAGCGATCCGGCAAACTGCGGTCCTCTGCCTCCTCATCTGTCCGTTAAGCCTCTTCCCACTCGGCATCCAGGTCCAGATCAATCTCATCTCGCAGCAGGTCATTCAGCGCCGAGCCGTCCTTGAGGTAAATCCACTGGCCGCGAGTACTGTCCCCGCTGGTCCCAGCATCGAGCACCCAGTCGTACCGCTTCGGCCCGGATATGGGCGACGACAGCCAGATTTGCTTGTTGGGCGGCTGCTTGTTGATGACATATGTCCGCGGACGTGCGCCAGGCTCGCTCGGCGAAAAGGACAGCGTCAGCACCCCCGAGGCGTACTCCACATCGACATCTTCACGGGCATCCTGCATGTCTTCCAGGCGCACAAGCAGGCGATCAAGGTACTCGTCGGCAAGAGCATGGTACTCGGACTCGGTCATACCGGCAGGCTCGACAGCGGACTGGGGTGTGTAGGCGGACAGGAAGGGTGCTGCGGCCTGTGGCGGTTGTGCGAAACGAGCGGCCGTCGGGCGGATGGGAGCAGGCGAGGTGGACGAAACGAACCGCCGCGAGGCAATCGAGAGCAGGACCAACGGCACATGTCGGTGCTGTCTGCAAGCACAGCGGGAGATGAGAGGCCGCGTGGAGGCAGGCGTCCCGGCCGCCGCAGCAAGTCGACGGACGATTCGAGGCGACGCCGAGTGTGCAGGACGCGGCATTATGCTAGATCTCTGTGTGTCGTGCCTAGGAAGGAGGAGTTGAAGTTGTAGTCATGCGTCCAAAGCGGGAGACGCACTTATGTGTCTAGAAGTTTCGGCGTCGGAGCGGTGTGGTTTGTCGAGCTCGCGTGAGGTTTTCAGAAGTGGTACGTTTTTTCTGAGCTCTTTTGCATGATATGAAGGCAAAACTGATGGGAGCACCTTGCTGGGTGAGCCTAGCTGACAGACCCACTTTTCCCAGGCACAGTGCACTTTTCGGTATGAGAGCGTCAGCCCCGCCCGCGCCTGCCGTCGATTGCGACATGCCGCACCTGCATTTCAACTTGCCCACGCCTGCTAAACAACGACATTCGACAACAGCCCGATTCGCGATCCCTGATGCACCCAGCCGCCATTCATCGAGGCTCTACCTGTGCGCGCCAGTTTCCTACGGCGCAGCTTTTTGCACCATGATCAACGCTTTCCTGGTCTTCAATGGTCAAGGCCAGCCCCGCCTGACCAAGTTCTATACACAGCTGGTAAGCTTCACGACGTTGCCTGACAGAGTTTGCCGTACCGTCCTAACTCGGTTGCCCTCGCTCCCCCCATTGCTATTGTTCAGGACACCAGCATACAGCAGCGCCTGATCTCCGAGATCTTCTCCCTCGTTGCCAACCGCCCACCCGGATCGTGCAATTTCCTGCCGTTGCCGCCGTTGCTGGCACCGCCATCCGGCTCGACCAGCGGCAGCGAAGCGTCCGACTCACCCTCCCTCGTCACGTACCGCCACTATGCCACGCTGTACTTTATCGTCATCTCCACGGCCACCGAGTCACCGCTCGCCCTCATCGACCTCATCCAGGTGTACGTCGAGTCGCTCGACCGCCTGTTTGAAAACGTCTGCGAGCTCGACCTCATCTTCAACTTTGAGTCGATGCACGCGACCCTGGCCGAGATGATTATTGGCGGCGTCGTCATCGAGACAAATCTGGACCGCATTGTGGCGGGCGTGCGCGCCCAGGGCGCCGTCGCGAAGCGGCCTGTCAACAGCGGCAACAGCCTGACCAGCAACGGCAGCAGTGGCACGGGGATTGGCGCAACGCTCGGCATGGGCGGCAACTTTGTGTGGCACGGCCGGTGAGGTCGGGCGAACCAGACATGGGACGCAAATAAGTCATTGTCACTATAATACATACAGCCATACAGGATCAGAAGACAGGTGGGCTGGACACGCCCCGTTTCATGCAAAGAGATGGGAAGTGGGAAGCCGGATATGACCCAATAGCGAACACAAAACATCACCGCCGCGAGAGCCTAGGAAAACAAAAGGCGCCAGAATGCCAACGAAATACGATATGCAAAAGGGGAAAGAGGAGGACGAGGAAAGAAATCGCAGTTCACTTCCGAGCAACTGCATTTCCCCGTGCGCTCTCATCGGCCTTGCGGACGGCACTGTTCTGCCCTCCGCCCTTCATCAGACCCAGCGTATTCCAGAACCACTCGCGCACCTGGCATTGGATCGGTTAGCTTGATATGCATGTATGCATGGGAATGAAACTGGACACGTCAAGCAAGGGAAAGCAATGTCCAGTCTGGATTGTCGAATTGAGAGGAAAAGGAGTCCTGTCCCAGATGTAAAGAAGAATAGAACATACCCCGGCGAACGGCTGAGGGCCGTACTCCCACTCCATGAATAGGACGCAATAGATGACCACGACTTGACACATGTTAGCTGACATACGACACGGTGACGCTCCATCTTCCCACCAGACGACGTACAGGTCACGCTGAACAGCTGCGCCAGCTTGATAAACTTGACCCAGCGAGGCCGTGCCGAGGCCAGTGCCACCCGCCGCTTGAACCGCTTCTCAAACCGCAGCTGCTCCTGCGGCGACAGCCGCGTAAAGTCGGGCGGCCAGACCTTTTTGTTCTTGTACTTTTGCTGCGCCAGAGGCGGCCGCACGTCGTCGTCGTCGAGACTCGAGTCATTGGGGTTCCGGTATGTCGAAGCACGGCGGAGTGCCAGAGCTGTGGGCACTGTCCGCACTGTCCGCGCTGTTGGCCGGAGCTGGGCCGGGCGCAGAGATGGGCAGAGTGCCGACCGTGCCGCCAGGCTGCCCGACTGGGGCCCTGCACGGACAATGGCCTTTTGCAAGGCTGCCGACATTGTTGGAGGCAGAGATTGTTTCGTAAAAACCGAGCGCAGGCGTGCGTATGCAAATCGGTCCACTAGGACGTCGAGGCACCAAGGCGAAGCTGGTGTCCATAGCCTGGTCATCAAATGCGCCGAGAACAAATATTTGGAGATGTGCCAATAGCGTACTTTGTATATAAAATTCACTACACGCACAAAGCCCCCGCACCCAAAGGACCCAAAAGGAACTAGAAAAGCTTGGAGCCTTTTGGCCTTTTGGCCTTTGCTCTCTCAGACGACAAAGCATCACTTGTACGAGACAAACACACCCCTTGGCCTCAGACCACACTCGACCTCTGCACAATGCCGAACCCCGTACTCAAAGCTGCCTACAGCGCGCCGAACCACGAGTCCTTTACCGCGAGCCAGGACCTGTCAACGGCACCTGCGGCAAGCCCGATCTTGTCCACGGCGGACAAGACGGCGTACCTGCCGGCTCTCCGCGGTGCCGTCACCGCCGTCCAGGACAACGTCAACCGTGAATTGACTGCGCGCATGGTCATTGACGCGCAAGCAGCCAACCAGGCCGCCGTCGACCAGGCCGCCGAGAAGGAAGAGCAAAACTACGGTGAAGAGGTCATGGACGAGGACGAATAGGTTTTGCTGCATTTAACAATCCAAAAAAAAAAAAAAAAAAAAAAAAAAGGAATGCGAACATTTATGCCAATGGCTCGTCATTTATATTTATATATACATCTACACGCCGCCACATACACGCGCAACCATGTACGTATACATGCATTCGAACGGCAAGACTATCAACATCGCGACACAGGATCAACGCCAATTCGGCGTCCGATGGCCGCTGTTCTGTCCCGCCCGGTTCAGGCAGCCGTAGTGCACCACTGTGTTGTCGGGCAACACGGCCACCACGCTGCCGCCAAGCCGCTTGTGGCAAACGCCGCACGCACGCTCTTCGCTGATGGCCACGCGACGGTTGCGTCCACCGGGCGCTACGTGCCCACCCACCCCGCCCGTGGCATAGTCGTCCCGACCGAGCAATAGGCTCGCCTGTGCTGCAAGCACGGCCGTCTGCCGCAGACCCTTTTCGATCCGGCCTTCGTTGACGACGCTGTTGGCCGCCCGCATGCGGCCTCGGAAGTACGAAGCTAGCTCTGCCACGGGCAGGCTGTCCGGGATGAGTTGTAGAGTCGATGAGGCTGGGAGCCGCGAGCCATGCCGGGACAGGAGGTCGAGCGCCGGTGCCAGTTGCCGCTGCTGTTGTGGTGGCGGCGTAAGGTACAGCGACAGCAGCGTGTGGTAAATCGACGGTGCCGCTGCCTTGTCTTGATTGTCGCCAGACACGCCGTCGTTTGCGTCGTCTCCCTTTAACGCGGACGCGCGCCGCGACTGGTTGTTGTTGGAAGACAAGAGCAGAGGACCAGGGGAGGACATCGGCACCGGTTGCGCTAGCTCTTGTGCCTTGTGGACTTGGTTGCAGTATCTGATTATGTTAGTTCAGAGCCCAGCTTGAATCAATCGCCATGGCGAGAATCAACGAAAAACGTACTCTTCCGCCTTTGCAAAGTCTTTCATTTTGAAGACATAGATTTCGAGTGCTTGCTTGTGCTGGTCCATGTTGCTAAGCACTGTCGCCTGGGCTTCGTAGAATGCCGCGTCTAGGGATTGTCAGTAAAGAAGTAGGCCACAGAGACGGTTATTGCGAGGTAGACGGGCATCAACTCACCATCTCGGGGTATCAGGCCAAACGCCCGCAAAAGACTGTACTGCTTGCTCTCTTTGAGGAACACAACCAGCCGCGCCATGCTTTCCTCCCACGTTTCCTCTTTGCTGCCTTCACCATCCATGTCACTGTCCGCTGTGCCTTCCTTCGCGCTGCTCTTCCCCTGGTTCGTCTCCGCTCTTTCTTCACTGTCTTTGAGCAATTTGATCCACTGCTCGATCAGCCTGTTATGAAAATCGGGCGTCAGGTCGTTGAGCTCACTGATGATGTGCTCCAGGTATCGCAGCTCGAGCCGCGCATCGATCCCCGCAAGGAATCGCACTACACGGTCGCGTGGCAATGTCTCGGCGTTTTCCGAGTCTGCTAAGAACACGTCCATGCCGTGCACCGGGTCGGCCCGCAGTGTCCACGCAGAAAACTCGAGGATCAGATCAATCATCGCAGGCGGCAGGCTCTGCAGGTATGCGATGGTGCGCTGTGGCCCTCGTAAGGTGGGAGGCACAGACACGGTCGTATCAGACGCGTCGCCCGACGCCGACGTCTTCACACTCTCGCCATACACCTTCTTGTCTTCATCGGTCTTGCCGCCAACATCGCCAAACCGCTTGAGCAGCTCGAGAGCTGGCCGGTGCAGCCGTTTTCCGTAAAAGAAGTCGACGAGCTCGTTGAAGCGGTTGTTCTCCAGCAACCGCTCATTGACAACTTCCGGGTCACAAAAATTGGGAATGCGGAACAGAGAGCTGGCCAACTTGGGCCGGATCAGCATCAGGACGCGGAACATGGTCGTGTCGACAAGCGTAAATATGGTACGGAGTCGAGATTCACGGGCCGTGTCATCGTCCACGTCGGATCCCGAGTCGCTGTCGTATTGCGGCGGCGCAGAGCCCTCTCGCCGATTTTCCGTGCCCCGCGGCTTCTTGAGCTTGCCCGTGGCCGGATCAATAACTCGTTGCAGTCGGGCGCGCGTGCCGGCAAGGTAGCTATTCAAGGCTTCGGCGGCACTGATGAGCTCCTTGCCTTCGAGTGGAACGTATCCGTTGGCATGGACAACTGGTAGCTGCGTTTCAGCTTCGTCTGATCCCGGCACGGCCTGCTTTCCCTTGACACTTGCGCCGTCCGAGTCTGTGCTTCCTTTGGGTGCCGAAGCTACAGAAGCTGTTTCGGAGTTGACTTTCCGGGATCCCCAGAACGCCTTCGTGAAACCACCCCCTAGTGGCAGCGAAGAGGATGCTTCAGGCTGCGGTGCCGACGTACTCGTGTCCGTGTGGCCCGTTTTGCCGTTCGTCTGGTGGTTGCTATCACTGTTGGGAGGGGCAGTGTTGGTGTCGTCGGCATCGTCCTCTTTCACTGTGCCGTTCTTTGCTGGGCCGTTCTTGCCCCCTTCGCCGTCTTCATCTGCATCGGTCTCGTTGACCACGGCAGTCTTATCGTCGGACATGTCACCAACGATGGACCGCGGGAAGAACCGAAACACCCGTTCAGGCGGCGCGTGTACGTCTTCCTCGTTGAACAAATCCATTGCAGCAAGGTATTTTTTCTGGCGGAATAGCTTTTCTGCCTTTTGCATCTTGATGTCGCGTAACGTCTTTGACTTGTTGCGCAACAACGCATCTTCAAGCAAGCCCAGCAGGCTGATAGCCTCGTCAAGGTGGCCTTGAGCCACAAGCGCATCGATCTGGCTATCGTAGCCCGTTGCGTCCATTTTCCAAATCCCACGCTCCGAGGATACGTGGAAGCCTTTGCCTGCATGAGCGAGACTGACAGAAGGTGGTGGCACATGCAATTGTGTGGCATTTGGCACGGCGATTGTCTGTAGGAGGCTGAGTGTGCTCGGGTTGCGCACCTCGAGCGAGCCCTTAGTTGGTGGCTGGAGTGCGAGAATGTAAGGATAGCTGTAGCCAACGCTCTCCGGCGCCACTGGCCAGGGTATTCCTCTCCGATCGACAGGCTTGCCAGAATCTGTGACGAACAGCGTGTGCACGTCTTTGGCCAGGAGCATCTCGCCGTCCGCTAGCTTCGCGGCCAGAGGCTTGGGCATGTAGTTGCCGAGGCCCATATAGCCCATGCTGGCGCTGCCGAGTGCGCCAAATCGGCTTACCGCCGAGACACCACCAGAGTCGCCGCCGCTGCCTCCATTGGCCCCAGAGGGTGTGTTGCCGACAATCTCCTCGACGTCGCGGCTCACCACATCGACGAGCACGTACCCGGCGTTCATTCCAACAACTAGCTTCGTAGCACTCGCCCACGTGAGGGACCGGATGGTCTCCGAGAGGGTCATTTCTGCAGGCGCCGTAGAATCGCCACCTCCGTCGACAGACGCGATCCCGTCCTGGCCCCCCCCGCCACTGACGCCGACAACGCTTCCGCTGAGCTCGCTCGCATACCAGCTCCAAAGCAGCAGACGCCGCTTAACAGCAACAGCCAACCGCGAGACGATTTCCGGGATACCCGTTGCCGGGTCCTTTACGATGTTGCTCGTGACAGCAAAAGCCGAGGCATTTTTGGTTCCTGGCAGTGGCGCGGCGCCTGGCAGAGGAGTGAACGTCTGGAGGTCGTGGAGCGAGACGGCGTAGTTGGAGAGTGATATAAGGGTGTTGGCCTCCTTGATAATGGCGAGCTGCTCAATGGCACGAGGAGAGAACTTTTCGAGTTCGCGCAGGAGGTGGGTAGGCTCGTTGGCTGTAGTGGGGGACGTATTCGCAGCTGCAAAAGGAGCATTGTTGTTTGTGTTGTGATTGGCGTCGCCGCCACCTGCCGCGCCTCCCACCGGCAGTGCGTCCGCTGGTGCGCCCGACTGCTCGTTGACGCGGTATATGCGCAGGACGCCAGTGTTTAGACCGACCAGCAGCCGGTCACCGTACGCGACGAGCGAGTCGATCTTGGCTTTGTTGCGCGCCTTCAGCTCGACAATTGGGCGGGCGGTGAATGCAGAGAGCATGACGGCGAGTCGTGGCGAACGGCGAGCACGCCGATGCCGAGTATCAATAGGGGAGGAACGGAGGCTCTGATATGAAGTCGACGTCAATGCGGGCGTGTTCAGAGCCGAGTGGTCGAAGAACGAGAGGAAGAGGAAGCCGAGGAGGGACAGCCCACGAGTTGTTCGGTGGGTCTATCAGCCAGTCGCGGCCGATGCGGCCATGTCGCGCACGTGCGCAGTGAGGTGGATATGCGGTCGCAAGAGAGATCAAAAGCGTATTCGATATAGGAGAGGCAAGTCGCTGCAGGGCCGCTGGTGAAAGAGCGCGATGTTTGAAGAACAAAGCCTCTTGGTTGTTTGGAGGGAATTGTTGGGAGGTGAAGTGAATGGGAAGGCTAGGCGGCTAGAGTGGAGGCAGGAGTTTGAACAGCTATTGGGCGGAAGGAGCACTGGGATGCTACTCTGTAAATTGGGTGCTGAGAGGTGGGTACTGCCGAAGTGCGGCCAAAGTGCCTTAAAAGGGCAGGCAACACACGTCATTGCTTAGGTGAGCCTAAGAGCGCTGGAACTCGAAGCCAAAACAAAGCTCTGGCATCGTCCACCATCACGACGGACTGACAACGTGAATATTGAAATTTACAATGTTAATATGAAAGCGCTGCAATTCAGGTACAAAAGAGAAAATACAGAAAATGCGAGCTCCAGACTCGTGAAGCCGCCGGATATGGGCCAAGTCTATCAGCGACCTCAATGCGCTCTGGGTAATCAAGCTTATGCTAAAACATCTACATGTGAAATCAAAATCCGAATGCTGTCAACGTACGTACCCAGACGTCTCGCTTGGGTTTCTCTCGTGGACAAAGGAAAATTGCTCCCTCTCGTCGCCTACATGCCAGTGATGCGCATCGCTGCGTAACCCAGCGTCAAAACAACAAGAAGCGTGAGGATGCTACTGGGGATGCCTCGCGTGATAAAGTGCTTGACCTGCAGGTAGCGCTGGCCAGCAGGGTCCTCCTTCATGATCGCCGTCATGTTGGGGAAGCCGCTGGTCGGCAGACCCATGGCTGCGCTGCACATGAACACGCCAGCCATGACCAGAAGATTCGGGTGCGGCTCGTCCATGTCGGCGCCGACGTTGTTGACCAAGGGAAGCAGAATCAAAGCGGCTACCGTGTGGCTAATGAACGTCGCAATCACCAAGATCAGCGTCGAGAAGACGACCAGCACGCCGTACAGGCTCATGCCCTGCACCAATTCAGTGATGGAGGCAGCAACCGTGTCCAGCAGGCCAGACGCCTTGACAGCCTTGCCCAAGGCGAGGCCACCGGCGGCGAGGATAATGATGGTCCAGGGGAAGTTGTTGAAGTCCTCCTTGGTGAGTATACCGATACCGAAGAACAGCACGATGGGCAAGATGGCCACGACGCCCATGTCGCCAAACGAGTCCTCGAGCTGGTGGCTGGCACACCACAGGCCAATTGTCACAATCGTCACAATCGTCACGAACCACTGCACACCGTTGAACCGCTCGCGCACGGGGCGGATGGCCACGATCGTGGTGCCGCGACCCGGGCGGAACGAGACGAGCAGCAGCAGCCAAATGAGCAGAATAGACACGACGCCCACAGGAATCGAAATGAAGAACCACTGAAGCCATGGGGGCTCGGGCTTCATGATGCCGATCGCGACAATGTTCTGCGGCGAGGCAATCGGCGACAGCATACCGCCAATGTTGCTGGCCAGGGCGATGCCCATGATCACGGCTTTTGACATGTTCGAGTCGGACGGTAGGTTGCGCAGCATGGGCTCGATGATCGAGAAACACAAGACCGGCGCAGCCACGTTGCTAATCAGCATGCTGGCAAAGGCAGCAACGAGCATATTGGCCAGCAGGACTGTGCGCGGCTGGGTGCCGGCCTTGCTCAGCACAAAGGTAGCAATGCGCTTGTCGATGCGGCACTTGGAGATGGCGGCGGCCAGGGTGAAGCCGCCCAGCAACAGCATGATCACAGGCGTCCACATGGAGGCAAAAATGAACGACGCGGCGTCCTTGGAGCTCAGGCGCTCGTATGGCTTGTGGTCCGTACGAGCCACTCGGAGCACCACGCACAGGAAGGGCACCATCAGCGACGTCACGAAGAGCGGGATCGCCTCGGTGGCCCACAGTAAGCTGACAAACACCAGCATGGCCAGGCAGTTTTGCTGCTCGGGCTCGCCAGGCAGGATTGGCGAATACAGCAAGACGAAGAAGATGCCCACAATGGCCAACAGCGTGAGCATGGTGCTACTGAGGAGCCATGCCGGCAGCGTAATGACGCGGCCAAATGGCGTGCGGATGCGGCGGGTGGGAGCAGCTTGGCGCTCCTCGTCACCCTGCAGCAAGAGGTTGCCTGCCGCATCCTTGGCATCATCGCCGCCGGCTGCCATGAAGCCGAAGCCTCCGCCAATGCCGCCGCCGCCGCCAAGAAGCGTACGGCCAAGACTGGCGGCTTCGGCACGGCGCTCGATACCAATCATGTCACGCCACACCGTATTGCGCTCCCATACAACGTGTTCGCGGAGATGGGAACGAAGATCGCGCTTGGCCGTGTCGGCGTCGCCACCCGTGACCACCGTCGTGTACGCAGCCTCCATCTTCATGATGTTGTCGACAAGCAGGTTCCAGGCCTCGGGTCGGAAGGGATAGGCAGACTCGACGACAGTGGTCATGTAGCGGGCACGCAAATTGGTGTCGATAATCTTATCAAACTTCTTCAGCACCTTCTGGAAGCCCGTCTTGTTCAGCTGCACGTACGATTTGAGCTCGCACAACTGCACATAGATGCTGATAATGCGTTTCTTCAGCATGATGCCCGATGAGAAGAGCACGGCATCTTCGGGGTGGTCCTCGAACGTTGTGCTATACCGACGCGACCGTGTAAACTCGGTAGAAGCAGTCATGTCGGTCGATGCGATCAGGTTGGATATCGGCCGTCGGCGGCGGCGATTGGAGGCGCCAAAGCTGAAACGGCGACGGTGTTGCTGCGCCTGCTGCTGAGCCTCCTGCAGACGGCGCTCCGTTAGTGCCGTGTTCTCATCGGCGTCATTGTCGTCGTTGGCAGCCGCATCCGAGGCATCTCCATCATCGGTGGAGCGTCGGCTGTAGAAGCTATTGCGGTCCGCAGATGTTGGGCGTGCCGACGACGGCCCAGCGGCCGCGCCGGAGCTGGACGCTGCGCCAATCTCCGTCTCGGACGTGCCGTTTTCGCCGACCTCGCCATTCTTTTGCTTCTGCAACTGTTGCTCCTCTTCGTCGAACGCGCCGATGTCTTGCAACAGTTGATCAGCCTCATCGAGTAGCTCGCGCTCCTTGAGTGTGTAGAACGAGCAGATCTTTTCGAGTTCGACATCAAGGGCGCGGGAAAAGACGGTCTCGGGTTCGGTTTCGTCGACAATCAGGGGGCGCGACTCCGCGTCATCGGTCGCCGGGTGGGTGTCGGCCTGGTTGACCGACCGTTCCAGCTGATAAATTCTGTGCATTCGTTAGTACAGGTCTCTAATAGTCCCCGCTCCATTCTTTCCATTGGTCTCGTAGATCCAGATTAACATACAACTTCTTAAGATTGCTGTACGCAATGTAGTGAGTGCTCCAGTCAGGGACGGCATTGAACTGAATGCTGTGGGAGAACTTCATGGCGTCGTCTTTGTCGGGCCGGTACGTTGCACGGCGAGAGGGCGGTAGGCGTTGTCGACGGCTGCGACGGCGTCTTCGTCCGTCGCGTGAGAGGTCGTCGAGTTCGAGGCTGCCAGCGAACGTGATACCGCCTTCGGTGTCGAAAGAAGACGGCCCTGTCCTCGTATTCGTCTTCGAATCCTCCGTCTCGTCGCGTCGATCTGCAGGGTTGGCGGTGGTATCAGCAATTAATACGCTGCTGTGAACAAGCGTCATCGATGGAAAGGAGACGAAAAGGAAGAGAGGAAGAAATGGTGAAAATGGCGGGAAAGCGGAGCGACGTTAAGGAAAAGACTAGGCCACCGGTAGGCCAAAAGCTAGACAATGAGGGGTGACAAAATCGGCGAGGTTTTACTTCCTCTAGCTCCCGCCGACAAGCTCAAGATGTGTCCACAGAGAGTCGTGGTCTCCGCCAGTAACTGTGTCGCAAGTTGGGTTGACGCAATTTTTGGCTTTCGAGGGCCATTGTGCCGTGATCCTACTTAATATATTACACCGTTCTCACAGCACACCCTCTTTTCTGCACCTCTGGATCCAGAGGCGTTAGGCGTATGCTTGGCTGCGTCCAAACAGGGGTTCGGTCTTGCTGGTTTCCCCAAGATAACGTGGGCCCGTGGGTCAATACCCGTGGGAGATTCGCTGGCGATGAACTGTGGCTTGACAGCAAAAGGCCGTATGACTCGGTGTGTCAGGCTGAGGGTGTCAGTTAGGTACGCGAAAAGCAACACAGCCCTGTCGCTTGGCGTGGAATGGGCCACTCGTCGACGTGATGAGCGACGCCTGAGAAATTGAGGAGGTACGCTGTGCCGCAGAGGCTGAATTAGGCAAACAGATGCGTGCCATTACCAATGTGTCTTTGTGATTTTGTGTCAAGATATATTACTATTATTTTCGTTCAATCAAGTGACATATTAAATGAGCAAACGTAACCAAAAAAGAGCAGAAGATGACGAGACCAAAAATACATGGACGGGCACAGCTACATAGCGACGTCAATGTATAAAGATGGGTATATATGGCGTTTGGAACTGGGTAGGAGACAAACAAAGCAAACAACAGGAAAAGATCCAAAATGGCGTCCCAGGCCCGAGCTGAAGTCAAAGAAAAGGGGTATCTGTTCCAGTTCCGGGTACAGTGTAAAAATGCACTGGCAAAATAAACAGCGCTGCAAAGAAGCATATATGGCGTTAGATCTGCTTTGTGGACTGTCCGACGGATCCGACGGACAGCGAGTGGCCGTGGCCGCCAATGCTCGCATTCGTGTTTCCACCTCCGCCGTGAGCCACATAGCCCAGGCCAAGCACACGCTGGAGGCTGCGGCGAATGCCACGCTGGCCATTGATGCCGGCGTCGTCTTTCTCGTCAATGGGAGGCGAGGCAGGCCCGGCACCAGCAAGTGTTGCAGTTGTGGCCGGTAGGATAATGTTACCGGGCGACGGCTTGCCACCTAAAAAGTTGGACATGCGGCGAGTGAGGCCGGGCGACGGAAGGCCACCGCTCCCAGCATCACCAACGTGGTTCGCCGTGTCTCGCTTGTCTTTCTGGATTTCTCGCTGCTCATCACGGCGCTTCTTGCGCAGTGCCACAGACACGGCAGCAACAGCCGGTGCCGACATCTCGGTGGGGCGAGGAGGCCACTCGTCGTCGCGTTTCCATCCAGAGACACATGAGCGGATCATGTCGCTCAGGTTGATGGGGCACGATGGCTGCAACGAGCTCGAGACAAGCTTGTCGTAGAGGCTAAGGTAGATAGCGGGCGTGATTGACGCACGCATAGGATTGCCAGGTGGTAGCAAAGGGGGGGCCACAGGAATGATAGTTTCGACAGAATAATCAGGGTGAGCCCGGCTGGCACGTGAGGCACGACTACGCGTGAGCCCAAGTTGCGCAGAGGCGACGCTGGTACGCGAGGCCGACTGCTGCAGCATAGCACCGTCCACGCCACCGCCGCCACCGCAGTCTGATGTCATCGGAGTGGTAGCGACCGTCTCCTGGCCAGCAGATTGCTGAGATTGATGCGAATGCTGGGAGTGCTGGGAGTGCCGCGAGTTAGATGTGACGGGGGACAATGGCATGGTGCTCGACGCTCTTCCAGGAGGGCTGCTCGACTGGGCCGGTGCCGTTGGCGTTGTAGACGCAGAATGCGAATCCTGGCCGTTGGTCTTCCCACCAGCAGCGACGGCAACAGCATTGGTGTGGACGGCTGCAACCGGTGCAGGCTCGGATTTTGTATGGCTGTGGAAGCGGAAGAGCCCGCGCCGAGGCGACACAGGCGACGTGGGTGCGATTGGCTTTGCGGGCTTCAGGTGCACGGTGCGGGCACCGGTCCATGCATCACGGCGGGCAGTGAAACAGGCGAGGCCCTCGTTCCACACAATCTCTGCTCGCAGGTCGCGGCGGGCCTTTGCCTTCCGTTCGTCGGCCGGTATGTTGACCGCTGTGCCCACTGCGTCGGGCGAGTCGAAGCGGAAGGGCGAATGTACATATGTTGGCATTCTCTGGTAGTAGGCACCAGGTTTCTCGTCCTCGGACAGATCCGACGTCCACTCCGCGCGTGGCCGGAAGTGGATCGCATCCTCAGAGACTGTACTGTAGACAGACTCGGCGTCCGAGTCGAACTCGTCAAAATTTGGTTCGTCCCCGGCTCCAGCTTCAGCGGCAGCGTCTGCAGCCACAGCTGCCGACACAGCAGCCAGGGACAACGGTGCGTTGCCATCCACGGGCGAAAGTGGGCTGGCGAACGTCTCGGACGGGTCAAGAAGCCCAACCTGCTCAGATCGTACCAGCCGCTTCTGTATGGCCCGGGCCCGTGCCTTGGCCGCCCCTGTGTAGGCACTGCTCACGTCCGCGGATGGCCATGCAAAGTCCCAGTCGTTTAGAATCTTCTCCGCGAGGTACCGGCGAACGGCCTCCTTCTGCTTCGACTTATCGCGGCTCAAAAGGTCCGGGTCACCATAGTCCAGAAGCTCACTGGGTTGCTGGCCTTCGGCCTGGTGGGCGCTCTGTTGCTGGCTACTAGAGTGGAGTTGACGAAACTTGGCGAACGGGGACTTTGGTGACTTATACAAGTCGGAAAAGACCATCTTCGGCATGGAAGCGAGTTGCGTGGTGTGTCCGAGATGATCAGGAGGCGGAGAGGGCGACGACAACGGAGGTTGGGATGAAGGAAAATGATGAGGAGGAGGAAGTGACGAGGAGATCACACGCAAAGCTTGGTGCGAGGTAGGAGGGAGGTAGGGGGATGATAGAGGCGGCGAGGAGGAGAGGGCTGGAGAACAAAAGTGGTTTATTATTGGCTGCGCCAGGAGTATGGGAGGTTGTGCAGTTGGAGGTTGTTCTTGAGGTGGCCCCAAGAGTGGTCCTTCTGGTGCGGCTGCTGCAGCTGCGACTGGTTCTTGACGTGACGCTAACACTTGTGCGGGGTTCCGGTGGTGCTGGTGCGTCGAGTAGTGGATTGCGTCCGGTGCAGGCGCCAACAATGGGGCCCGTGCAGGGGCGGGCTGGTCCAGGTATTTGAGCGAAGGCTGTCGTGGGTTTTCTGGGTTCTGTGGGTTTTGTGGGTTCCGTTGGTGTGCAGCTTCTAAAGCATGTGGTGGTGTGACTCTGGCAGCTAGGAACGGAAAACGAAGAAGGAAGCAGAGACGGCTAGATTAGCGACGTGCCAAAAAAAAAGAAGTGAAAAAGGCGAAGGTGGCAGAGGCCAAAAGAGATAGAAAACAAATAGTAAAACGATGCCAAAACCAGAAAAAAGAGCGAAAACGGAACGACGATGTTTTCCGGCCGACTGCAAGACCAAGCGGCCACGAGACCAGAGCGTCACAATAGACAGGCGGAATGTGATATTGCCTGGCAGACAATACGCAATGCAATCTATGTCGTTCGCCCAGTGCTTGGTCGCGCGCGGATTGATCTACAGGACGGAGGAGCGTCAAGCTGCGCAGCTGGCTGGGGTGTTGTGGCTGATTCAGGGTGAACAGTTGGAGAGGGGATGTCTTGGCGAAGGGATAAAGACCGTGAATTGTGTGTACTTGTGTGTACTTGTGTGGGAAGAGAGGTAGGGTAACGTGGACGATGGGAGGAAAAGAAATGCGGTCCAAGGGACGATTGATGTGTGGGACCAAGAAGACGAAAAGAAAAACAGACACAAGTGGGGATGCGATGTGAAAGAAGAGCCAAAAAGGAAGGGGGAAACGATGGGCGAGGCCCGACTGGCGTCGCCAAGTTCGAGACCCTAGACACCATGCCGGTATGCGGAAGGAGGGGGAGACTTAACGACGAAAAAGGGAACGAACCAACCACAAGTGGGCATTGGACTGAAAGGGAAAAAGAAGAGGCCGTAAAGAATACGAGGGCAAGAACGCTACGCTGAACGACAATGGGAAGGAAACGGCGACAAGAAGACGAGAGGCCCAAGATGGGAAAGAGCAAGCAAGCAAGCCAGCAAGAAAATTAAGCATTGAACAAGTCACGCACGCATACGGAGGACAGACACGAGATACAAAAGAAAGAATGCAAGAACGAAAGAATGCTGTACCAGAAACTTACACGCATCAGCCAAGCCATTGCCCAGACGTGTTATGCCCTCGCCAAGTCCGGCGCCGTCCATTGCGTCGATATCACCATAGACGGCGTCCACGCCAGAGTCGCCTTTCTCGGTTGCAGGGGACAGCATGATGATGGGCCCAGTGTCAGTGGGCTGTTGTGGCGGGTGGTTGTCTGGCAGGCAAGGTTTTTTTGTGTGGCAAATGAAGGACAAAAGGGACGATAGGGGCGAGGGACGGACTCCGAGCCGTCTCTGTGCACAACAGGAGGGGGAATGGGGCGATGCACGACAATACGGAGTACTGTGCGGCGTCAGCAGGAGCGAGAACAAAGGAACAAACGTTGGGTTGAGAGGTTTGGTTTGTTATTTGAGACACTGACGCCTGGGGTTAGTGGGTGAGGAAGTAAGAACCGTGATGTTCTTCTCGCTTTTCTCTCACTCGTTTTTTGTCTCTGCTTTCGTTAGTGGGTGAAAAATACGGGTGATCAAATGGTCTGGCCCAAGCGGCCCGCCCACTATTATAGTGGAATGAGCAACGGCGAAAGCCGACCCAGACAAACTCCAACTCCGAATGCAATCTCCAGCTTCTCCGAAGCACGACGGGACGGTAATGAAAATAAAAAGGCAACAAAAGAGCAAGTCAGTGCCAGACCCTGTCAGAACCATAAACAGCGGAGAAGAGCCTGGCCAAAGACCGTTCTCGCACGAATGTACTGCGGTTTTTTATTCCAGACTCATGGCTGCTTCCGTCCCATCCAGATGCTTGGCTTACGTCGGCTGACGGCCAGAGTTATCAAGTTGGAGAAGTCAGCCCCAAGCACCGTGGACGAATGGGAACTGTAGGCTGACTTGCATAAATCTGCCATTGCCTGTTCACTTAGTAGCGATTGTTTACGAACTGCGTCTGGATTACCATTGTGCGGCGAAAGCTCGTTCTACTCCATATTGCTCCGAAGTGTCGACTCCAACCACAAGTCTGCCTCATGCGTCTCTTTGGGTGTGCGTTGCAACTGTAGAACACGGCTACCCCTGTCTATTGTCGCCTAGTGTCACACTTGCAGATGAGGAGCCAACTGGTCTGCCGCCGGTCAGAATTCGAACCTTGCGAACGGGGGAGCATTACTAAGAAAACTCCGTGCAACGTTCGCTGAAAATCAAAACGTGCCAGGTCCGATTCGAAGCTCGCGATTGTAAAATGACCAGATACGCATGTGCCAATGCCCTGTATATTATACCAAAAAGTACTCCATCGTAATACAATAAAACCAGTAGAACAACGGAAAGAAGTGCCCAAAGTAGTGACCTGCAGTGCCGTCGAAACTGAGTCGAGTCTGGTATTCTCACGCGGCAAGCCAATACTGGCCCCGTCGTAATCAGCTATGACACCTCTTCGACCATCTTCTGCGGTACCGCCCTGCTGCCGGCCGGTGGGGGGCCAAACAGCGCTCCCGCGGGCCCGTCCAAGACCTCATTCTTAACACCCACGCGGTTGCCCTGCTTGTTGCTGGTCCACCGGATGAACATCGCTGCGGAACGCCCAGATCCATCGGCAGCACCCTCTTCGTCGTCGGCCTGTGCGTTCTTCTTCGTTGTCTTTGGCGCCTGACGCTTGAGCAGCTTGTTGATCGTCTCGGCCTTGACTTCTTCGTTGCGCTTGTCGCTGAGGTTGCGACGTCTCCGCGCCATCTCCTGCCGCCGCATACTTAGTTCCTCCGCTGTAAATACCTTCTTCACTTGCACCTCTGCACAGGACGTCCGTTAGCTTCTGGCCGACAGGGGGGGGGGTTATAAAAAAAAGCCATTCCTGGGCCTGGCACTTGTGGTGTACGATGCAACTTACCATCCGACAGCTTCATATATTCCTGCGGTGTCTCCTCGAAACGAGCACGCTGCCGGCGCGTCATTTTGGTCAGGTCGGGGGTTCCGTCGCGGCTCCCATCACCGTCTTCGCCCTCGCTTTCGCCCTCGGCATCTTGCTGGTCGTCGTCATCGTCGTCGTCGTCGTCGTCGTCGTCTTCGTCTTCATCATCCTCATCGCCCTCAGCATCCTCTTCATCATCACCTGCCACCATCTCTGTCTCGCCTTCGACATTGCCCTCGTCATCGTCTTCACCTTCGGCGTCCTCGTCGCCCGCTACCTCGACAGAATCGTTAATCGCGCCTTCAGGCACGCTTTCAGTTTCGCTGAGCTCTTCGTCATCGTCGTCATCGTCCTCTTCTTCCTCCTCGTCTTCTTCTTCGTCCTCGTCATCGTTTGCGCGGCCCCTCTTTCTGCCGGAGCCGCTTGCCGCAGATACCCGCTTGTTGATGGCAGGCTTAGCCTTGGCCGCTGCAGCTTCTGCCTTTGCCTTTGTGCTTCCCGACGTTAGCGGCTTCGACACCGTAATTGCAGGGACAGAGTCCATGTCAACATCGCCTTCGGCGTCCTCGTCGCGCAAGTCATCTGCGTCGCCTTCAGCGTCGATGTCCATGTCTTCCGCTTCGCCCTCGGCGTCCATCTCGACATCGCTTGCGCCAACGCGAATCTCATCCTTCTGCTCTTCTTCCTCGTCCTCCTCCTCATCATCGTCGCCTTCGGCGTCATCGTCGTCGCTCGACTCGGACTCGATGTAGCGTTTCTTCGGTCCGCGGGTCGGCCGGCGGCTATGAATGACATCGTGGCTTTCGGATCGATCACGGCCTGTCGCGCCGTTGCTCTTCTTGAGCCGCTTCGCAGTACTGGACACGCGAACAGACGAAAGGTTGGATTCGGCCGAAGGCGCGCGCGCGGTGGCCCGGCTATCGCCTCCCCGCCTTGATCGTGACGGCATTGTGGTGTCGCTATCGGCCATGTCAGTAATTGCCACAGACGCGAGTCGGGCCGCAGTTCTACGCGGTCGCGATGCCATAATATGCGAATTGATATGAACACTCAAAAGAATGTCAACCGGGCAGTGCAAATGAGAGAATCTGCTAGTGGCACCGACTTTGTCGACATTGGGTGGAAGGTTATGACGCGTATGTGCAAGGCAAGCAGGGCGAACCCGGAAGGAAAAGGCCGTGAGGCTAGAAAGGGGATCAAATGCATGCCCAGGTGAGAACGACAAAAGAGCAAACTGCGACTCCTAGTTGGAGGGGTGGGGCAACGGCCGTGAGATAGGCGTAACTGCCGCTGGTTGTAAAGCAATATGATAGGGGCCAAATGAAGGAGCAACGACAAGGGAAAAGGCACAGAATAATACGTCTGTTATGTCCCAATAATCCACAAAATGGATAAGAGAATAAGAGCGCGGTCTGTTTCCAGGACGGGCCCCAGTGGAACGCCAGTTCAGTGCACTCGTTCGTTTGTGCAACGACGCGCTGGTAGTGAGAGCATTCGTGCATCGACATCCAGCCAATTGCTCATTTCTCCGCGAACACGTCCGGCTCTTTGACGTCCTGCCGTACGTCGCAAGCCATTTCAAAACAACGAAGATCCGCATCGCATTTGCATACGTACGACCTGGGATATAGGAGAGCCATATAGCCCGAACAGACGTAGGAAAGGAAAGGTAGAGGGAAAGCGAAAATGAGGTGACCGAAGGTGCAAAGGTAAAAGCATCTGGTTGTGACACTGTCACCAACCGTCGTTACTAGTACAGGCCAAATTGGAGTACAGAGCGAGACTTGAACAGCAATGGGATGGACTTCTCACCAGAAAGAATGAAAAGGAGCGAGTTTGTTCCGTAGGTATCAACCCAGAGTCGACACTCCACAAAGGCAGGGAAACTGGGGTTTGCGCTTAACCCTGCTTGATTTCAACCTTTCATAAGAGGCAGTGACCGCAGGGCTCTGAATGGTCCAATGGCAGTCTAACTGTTCAATTGGCGGAAATATAACATCAATGGCTTGGTTATCGATGTATGAAGCTGGATGCACGCGTGCGTTGCTTGGCTTGATTTGAATGGCCCAGATGGTGGTAATATCGCTTGTGTCGTTAGACTGCTCGGATTGGGATTCTTTAGGATATGCGCTGGTCGAATTTGCTCTTCTGACGTGTGACGCGCAATGTGTTTTTCGAGACTTGAGCGTGTTCAATTTCGAGATTCGGGCTGTTGAGACCTGCTCCTCATCCCAAGCCCATATCGTAGAAAGCTAAACTAGCACAGGGCACTTTGGGACCATCTTAACACCTAAGATATCAGGCAGAAACTGTGCGCCGTCCCCAAACTTTCGGGAACGGCCCCACAACCAATGGGGGCCAATCTGCATCCCAGCACAGCACAAGCCTCCGCAAGCCGAGGCAACAACTGCAGCCAAATACAATCATCTCGGCCGCAACCCTGCCAATAAAGCACCGCGTAGCGAACAAATGCTTCGCATCTTCCTTTCATCTCTAGCAACACAAATTCTACCTCGGACACGTCGCAATCGACAACCATGGCCGACTCCGATCCAAAAGACCGCCCCATACCGTCGGCGCCCCCGGAAAGCATTGCAGAGTCGGCAAACAATGTTTCCGCGACACATCCTGAAACGGCACCATCTCAAGAGGAATCGCCGTCCTTCGACGCAGCCAGTCATGTGAGCACTGATGGCGAATCCGAAGCGAATCCAGCCTCCCCGCAGACTGAACCGTTACCGCCGACCCTAGAGCAAGCCCGCATCTTCCTTCGAGATAAGACCGTGCAACACGAATCGCGACCACGCAAAGCCGCCTTCCTAGCCAGCAAAGGCCTCTCATCCAAAGAAATCGACCAGCTGTTGGCCGAAGAGGATGGGCCGGCTGCCACGACAGAAGTTGCGGTGACGCCGCAAGAAAGCAGGGGCCCTTCGGCCGAACAGACGCCCTCTCGGCCCCCGATTGTCACATACCCAGAGTTCATGGCGCGTCCGCCACAGCCACCACCACTCGTGACCCCCAAAGTCTTCCTCGGTGCTCTCTATGGCAGCGCCGCGGTCTCGTCGCTTCTCTATGCGACAGCTCGCCTCGTACTTGCTCCCATGGTTGACACTCTTACCGAATCGCGCGCCGAGCTGCACGATACTGCAGCAACCAATCTGACCCGCCTTCTCGGACAGCTCGAGACGGTCGTGTCTCAAGTGCCCGAGGCCGCCAAGGCCAGAGACAGCGGTGCGTCAGCTCGGTCTTCTCTTGCTACTGCCTCTACACTAGCAGACGACGACGGTGCTTCTACCGTCGAAAGCAGCGGCTCATATGATGACCCGACGGAAGTGTTCCACCGTGACATTGGCGTGCAGACGTCGCTGCCTCCAAGCCCGAACTTGGCACCAAAAGTCACCATGGACTCTACCGTGCCATCGACGTCCACATCGTTGAATGCACCGGCCGCGGACTCTGCAAACGAACCCTCGCAGAGCTACTACCAAGCCGAGCGACTATCTAACTTGGTAGTGTCGGTTCGTAGCTTGAGTCAGGGATGGGCCGGTCCTTCGGATGTGCTTTCTGAGATTCAGACGACGGTTGATGTGTTCCGCGAAGACGTTGACAAGCTGTCACGCCCTCCTGCATATGCGTATGGAGGCGGCTTTGGCAGTAGTATATACGGCTACGGAAGCAGTATTTCCACAAGCGGCAGTTCCAGCAAGTACCCTGGCTACGTGACTACGACACGGAACGAGCCCGATGACGAGATTCGCAAAGCCAAGGAGAATATCCGGCGGGTGAAGGGCGCGTTGCTTACGACACGAACATTCCCAACCGCACGGTGAAGCTTCATCAAGTTAAGGTTCACGACCGGGGCCAATCAAACAGCAGCAGTCTTAAAATTGTACAATAATACTAGGCCACTAGGCCAACCTTGATTGCCCCCAGATAGTGCATATTACCATTCCTATATTATTTTCGGTAGTCATTCAGTGGTACCAACCTTGAACGTTTTGAAGAAGCCTTCCCAGCTGTCAACGCGAATGTGGTCGTATCCACGACCCTCATCCACTTGTTCACGATACCACTCTGTTGTAGGACGATACTCAAACTCCATCTTTGTCGCTCGTGGATTTTTCATCCTCGCTTGCCGTGTAGCATCGTAGAAGCGGTTGCGACATTTGGAAGATCCAATATGCCGCATCCGCTCACCTCTCGGTGCATGAAAAACAATATTCGTATTGTCTCTTTTCCCCTTCGTGTCCGTCATGTCCTTGACGTTCTCACTTTCAACGAATCCTTCTTCCCTTGGATCGCCAACCATCAGCACCTCTCTATAGCCTTTAGCTTCGAGATATTTATGGGCCGAGGGCACGACGTTCTTAATATCGCGTGCCATGTGATCCAAGTACTCCATAGTCGCGTCGAGCTCGTTCATAGGCGAAAAAATGAACTTCTTGTATTCCTTTCGTCTGCAGGGCTCGCCCCCGATGTATATGCGACTAAGTGGTAATTCTTTGTTTTTTTGAGGACCGAACTCTCGGACGTAATCAACCACCGCGCGTTGTCCAGCAGTCAAATCCCTTGTCTCGTGGAGCATATCTCGGCCTTGGAACTTGTTCTTGGCTCGGGGATCCCAGAAAATCAGCTCCGTTTTTTTGAAAGGCTGCAAGTGCGGTAGCTGAGGACGGTATATGACCAAAAACGGATGTCTTGGCAATGAGGAATTGTCTCTGTGCCCCATACGTAGCTTGTCGCTCGAGTCGTCGGTCAAGTAAAAGAATCCAATGTAAGTTCGAACCTTGGAGTTGATGAACGGCCACATAAAAGAAAACCAGTCTCGTATCGTGTGTAGTTTTGCATCCAAAGAACCAGATCGGAAGGCCTCGTCTGAATTCTGCCACCAAACGGCAAAGCCGTATAATTTCCAAAAACTGCCATCTATGTTGGAATTCATCAAATGATCAGTAAAGGCACCCGGAGAGTCATTGGGAAATCGTCGGCTTCGGAGGGCCTGCAGCGACAGCTGCGGTTGGGCCTCGGATAAAATTGAATGTGGCGAGTTCCCTGTATCAGAGGGTCGGGCTACCGATTCCACCTTCTCATTTGTTCGCTGTTTCGCAACATCCGGGTCAGCAACCGTTTCTAGGTCGAAGTTAGGCAACGTAATCGTGCGTATTGCGAGTCCCGAATGATTGTACTTCAGTGCCATATCAGTGCCTACAACTTGGAATAATCGGTACTGGTCAAGACGCGATAATGACCACCACCCAAACCAGTTGACAAGACTTTGTTCGTCGTTCCAGTCAATGGCATTGTCAGCGAAAGCAATAGGAAGAAAAAATGCTGTCTCGGGAGTTTCGCAAATCTCATCGGCCAGAAGGCACGTTTCATAGCGAAGGTGGCAATCCACTTCATTATCAACATCTCCTGTTGAAGCGGAATTATCTCTCCGATACGAGCCCGCTTTTTTAGCCCTGTCTCCGAGACGTTCGTTCCGCTCCCGGTCCCTTTCCTCTGCAACGGAGCGGAGGAAAGCACATATATCCCATGCAGTTACCAGTGTCACGAGTATGTCGCCGGCTCGGTGAGCATTAGAAACCCATCGAAAGAGGTCATATGTGCGGCGTGGTTCAGACACGATAAAGCTTGGTGTAATGAAAATAGCCAGCCCGTGAGGAAATAGCTGCGTCCAGTTGAATTTCCCGAAATTCATCAGCTTTTCGCCCCGTCCATTAGCATCTGGCTCGTCGAGGTCATATTGTCCTCCAGAGGAAAATACCGGTGGTGAGAGAACAGACTGAGACAGTGCCCAAAATTTACAGGCCCTGTTCTCTGCAGAAACAAGACTATAGAAATCGGGAAACCGGCGGATGGCGTCTAGAACGAGTTCGTGAACAACGACCGCTCCGTCATCCGAATCCAAAATGATTTTGTCACGGAACGCCATCCAAGCTCCTGGAATCGAGCTATCGAAGATTGCACAGTTGGGATCCCTGGCACGTACCCAGAGAGCCAGTTGTCGCATGTTGGGAGACAGCGAGGGTGGGAATGCCAGAAAAATATTTTTTCTGGTCTTTTCTGATTCCTTGCGGCGAGGAAATAGGCGGGAATATAAGCCAGGGTCCAATCCACTGAACACTTTCATAAGATGCTCCCTCTCGCCCACGTTCGGTAAAATATTAACTGCACAAGCAGCAACATTGGGAGGTCGCAGAAAACATGATCCGTCGAAATATGTTTTAAACACGACATATCGAAGAGGCGCAGCTGTTTGTCCGGCCTCGGGAATAGGGAAGCCGAACTTTTCCTCGTTCCAATATTGGCAACGTGTGGGATATAGCAAAATTGCAAACATGGGCCTGAGAAGAAAGAGGCCAGAATTCATCACCATCAGCCTCTGACCTATATTGTCCAAGTTCTCGCTGCTGGGTGTTGTCTGTGAGCTTGCGTTGACGTCACCGGACAACATGTTTCTTTCTCGAATGCCCCCCAGTTGCTGTAGGAGCGTATCTGCTAGGCAAGAATAATCGAAACGTAAAACATTATTCCCAAATACCTCATCTAGAAGCAGTTCAGAGCTCTGATATTCTGCCATAACACTGAAGACAGCTTCCACAGGTACTTTTTGCGACCCTGATAGAAGTGTCACGGGTCGGTCGGGCATTGGTATCGCTACCTTCCCGAGTCCAACGTCCATAGCTACGCCGCCGCCGCCGTCGTCGTCATTATGGTCTGTAGTAACAAAAGCTACTGCCGGTGGCGATGTTAACCGGGTGCGGTTAGGGGACGGCGAATTGCCGTAACCGCTTGGATCAGAAAAGTGAACGGACTTCTTGCGTTTGGGCACAGCTCCTTGGGGCCGATTTGTGGTAAGGATCGATCGTGATGCACCTTTTCCCGGCTCCACAATCGAGATTGGATCCAAACCTGGACTGAATGGAGGAGGTTCATCAGGCACATTGTCTTCGCGGGTCACGACTTTCGCTGAAGAAGCAGTTGCGATAGGGGGTCCCTGGGAGATGGGGAAGAGACCAGACAGCAGCGATGGTTTTATGATACCATCCACTTTGTCTCTCTCAAGTATCTCGGCTTGGCGAAGTGTGCGTCGCTTCGTAAAAAGTTGTTGGGGCTTCGAGGGATCAGACATAGCGGTAGCGAGATTGGCCCGGGTGCGGATCTTTTTGCCGCTGATGAAAGCATTACCTGCCGCTTGGGGTGTCGTTGCAGATCTCCGCGCCGAAAAAGATTTTGGGTTTGGGGGAGCTGTTTCCAAGGTCTCCGTCACTTTACTTGAGGAGACCGTCCCTTTGTTTGTCGGTACCCTGGACTCTTTTAGAGTCTGCCCCGAGGGCCGTGGGTTGGATATGCGATGAACGGCTTCCGACAGCCCCGTAGTGTCTTTCGCGGTACCTGACGTACTGGCATTCGTTTCACCGTCTATGGACTTCCGCTTCTCGTTTCGTTTTGATTTTCCTTCGAGGATAACCGACGCTGCCAGAGATGTAGTAACCCGGTTTGTTGGGCGCGATGGGCCAGCCTCGACTGCATTTTTGTGTTTGGAGTGCAGTTTCGGAGAAGTGTCAGCTTTGTCCTTTGTTAAAATCTTCTTCTTCGTTTTCTTCTTCTTTTTCTTCGTTGACTTTAACGCAGCCGGGGTTGAGATGTCGTTTAGGACAACAAGATCGTCGTCATAATCGTTGGTGAGTTCTGTAAGCTGCAAATAAACACCATTCACGATTTCCGTTTCTGTTGTGCTAGGTGCATCCGCAACAGAGGATAGTGCGGCTTCAGCCGTAGCAGCACCTGCAATACCTTCATCGACTTGTTCCGCAGCGGACTCTCTCAGAGTCGCCTCAACCCTTTCCAGAAACGGATATGTCTCAGGCAAGCCACGTCTTATCCGCTTCATATTTCGGCGACGATGCCTGTCGTTCCTTTTTGCGAGAGCCCCAAAATACAAGTCGAGATCAAACGGCTCGTAGTCCGGCTGCTTCCGTTTCTCCTCCCACATATCGGTAAGCAATTCAGGACCCATGTTCTCCTCGGGCTCCCATGTACACTTCTCAAGTGGATAATTGGCCCATCTCACGAGATACTTCGTGACGCCATCCATGTTGTCATCCTGTGCCAGAATGTCCTCCACAGTATACTCTGCGTCCGGGTCTTCCGAGTCATATGGAGTCGACGTGACTGAGATACTGTCGTCGCTGTCGTCTGTTGTGACACTGACAGATTGCTCGGCTTTTGTGCTTGTGTCGGTACCCGAGTCTGCCAAGTTGTATTTGATAGTCGTGTCGCGTGCCATGGTTGATTTGGATTCGGGTTTGCCCCCCAGCAATGCTCGTCAGCTCATGGAAGCTTATAAGCCGCCTCAAATTCTTGGAAATTGATGCAGTAAAAGTTAAATATTGACCAGATGTCTTTGGGCCACAGTAGCTCTACGCGTAATATGGACGAGACTCTAACCCTTTTGTTGATTTTTGTCCGGTGTCGTGCATAAAACAAAACGACAATAAAACACACAATGAGATTTTGCACCGCATGAAATGGCAGGAGGGATGATTGTTTTGACTTGATCTTGACAGTGCACGTGCTTGAGCAAAGGGTGTATGGGCTTAACGCAAATGAGAAACACGTAAGATATCGTACTAAAAGGAGCCAAAAATGAAACTGCAGCCTTGCTAAGGAGGCAGCTTTGAGCATCCCAGCGTATTACGGCATATCAAGAGATCGCCCCGGCATCAAAATTTCCGAAAATACGAACGAATGAGCAACGGAAGATAAAGTCGCCGGCTAGGATTAAGGTATCAAATTACTTGGTCTGTAAATTTGGAAGACCCTCGGTTTCCTTACGAAAAGGAGCAGCTGTTATTTACTTAAGCGATCATTTACTTTACAGCCCCACCAGAACTATCGTTCATAGTGGGGCGTATCAAGCGACGCCGTTACGGGCATCTCCTCGTGAACAAGGGGTGTTTTGGCCGCCCACTATCTCATCTAACTAGTCCAGCGACCCCTAATTCAGCGACAAAGTGGCCCATATCTGTTCCCCGGAGTGCGTGGCATAGAATTCTGTTGCCTGCAGGCTGCTAGTTATAGCACTAGCACTGAAGCGCCTTGTAAAATAGCACCCTTCAGCTTTGCGTTCTGGAGGCACCCAGCCCTTGGCAGCGAGAGCAACAGCAAACAAGCCCTTGCGTCTATTTCTCCTGCAAAGAGGCCGAACCTCACCACCGCTAGAACATCCACAATCCGCAATCCACCATTGCATTTTCAACCGCACTCCCTCCAATCCATCCTTCGCTTCATTCACGACCACGCCCGCGCGACCAACGTTGACGACCTTTGATCTCATCAAACTACTTTACGAATAACAGCGACCATGGCCAACGACGAATATGATGTGAGCAGCACAACCCCTCCCTTTGCTTCCCCTAGATCCCTCGGTTTGCTCCACGCTTCGAAGGCGCCCCTTTTCCTACACTCCCACCGCCCTTCCCTACTCCAACACGCGGACAATGCATGTCGCGGTTGTATTCCAGGCTGCCGGCCATGCACGACCATACGACATTTCGACGTGACGATTTTTGTTCGCTTTTGCTAACTCTGAATCGTGCAGTTCCTTTTTAAAGGTGAACCAACTTACCCCCACAACTGTTACATACAAAGCGAGAACCATGAAGAACCCATCTGATGACGTCGGATACATCGGCAGAGGACGGCGGGGCTGCGTCTAGAATTCGCTTCACGGCCTGCCATGTCTGTTTGCCGTCCTGTGGACCTGGCGCTAACATTCTTTCTTCATACTCTTCCAGTCGTCCTAATCGGAGACTCAGGCGTCGGCAAGTCCAACCTGCTGAGCCGTTTCACTCGCAACGAGTTCAACCTGGACTCCAAGTCCACGATCGGCGTCGAGTTTGCCACCCGGTCCATTCAGGTTGATTCCAAGACAATCAAGGCGCAAATCTGGGATACCGCTGGCCAGGAGAGGTACCGTGCCATCACCTCTGCCTACTACCGCGGCGCTGTTGGTGCGCTGCTTGTCTACGATATCAGCAAGCACCAGACCTACGAGAACGTTACACGGTGGCTGAAAGAGCTGCGAGATCATGCCGACGCAAACATTGTTATCATGTTGGTGGGAAACAAGAGCGATTTGCGGCACCTGCGTGCTGTTCCCACAGAGGAAGCAAAGGCTTTCGCAAGTATGTTAAATCCTGAGCTCAAACGTGATGGACTTCCCAGTTTCGGTACTAACCATAACAGGCGAAAATCACCTCTCGTTTATTGAGACCTCGGCCCTTGACGCCAGCAATGTTGAGCTCGCGTTCCAGAACATCCTGACGGGTGAGTTACCACCTCTCTTTCTTTGGCCTGCCCTATGTTTGCCAATACTAATCCTGTCGCACACTTTCAGAGATCTACCGCATTGTTTCCAGCAAGGCTCTCGACAGCGGCGATGGTGCCCAGGCCACGATCGGCGCCGGCACCAACATTTCACTCAGCAAGCCTGCTGAGGACGCCTCAGGAAAGGGCGGCAAGTGCTGCTAAGCCCCTTCCTGATATTTACGGCGAGGGCGCACAGTGCTCACGGTCGACAATTTACGCCGGTCATGTTGGAAACGGGGCAATTGGGCATAGGAATGAGAATTTGATCCGTGGCGTACTGCGAGTTATCTGCTGGAGATGACGTGCATCATATTATCTATCGTCTCTACCGAGCGGTTGGATTGGCTGACGAGAAAAGACAGCACAAGGGCGTGTGTGGCCGCAACAAGCTGCCCGTTATGAGAGCGGTCTCGGTTGTCGCCATTTTTATGTCTGGTATTTTTTTAACCTCTTTCCGTTCATGTTTTTCTGTCTTTCCCTTCGCCTTTGACGTTCATTTCTCTTGTCAGGTTGGTTTCTGTTTTTGTTCCCTCTTCACATGCATATTCTCCTTTCGTGTCCGCTCTTCCAGTAATGGGGTAGAAAGTCAAAGCATCAGTTTATGATGAAATAGCCATTAAATGTTAAGAAGACAAGGGTGCGACGTGGTTTTTCAAGGGTAATACTTCGTAATATGTAAATACCCGGTATGCAATTAAGCCATGCATGTATATGGGAATAGTTTTGCTGACCGCTTTCCTTTAATGAACTAGTGTAATTTAATCCTGCCGCCAAAAAGAAAAAAAAAGTTTAGCAGTAAAAAAATGGCGACAAATTACTACAGCACTATACGACTCTGGAGCCTTGTTCTGTCACTGGTAGACAAAATCGAAATACTTCCCAAACAACAACCCTCTGACCTCCCACCCGAATAATCGACCAAAATGGCTGCCGTGTACAAATCTTTGGCCAGGGCCAATGGCGAGAAGAGCGACGCTCAGAGCGACGCTCGCAAGAAGAACCGCCAGCGCGTGCTGATCCTGTCCTCACGAGGCGTGACATACAGGTTCGTATTTCCAGAGAGGCAGACAGGACAGAGACATAATCCGGTCGCATAAAGGAGCCAAAATTAAATACAGTCTAACCTGAGCAGACACCGTCACCTCATGAACGACCTCGCCGCAATGATGCCCCATGGCCGCAAAGACGTCAAGTTCGACTCGAAGTCGAAGCTGTTCCAGCTCAACGAACTAGCCGAGCTCTACAACTGCAATAACACGCTGTTTTTCGAGGCGCGCAAGGGGAAGGATCTTTATATGTGGATGAGCAAGGTTCCCAACGGCCCGACGGTGAAGATGCATGTACAGAACCGTGAGTACTCAAACGTTATACCCTCCTGCTCCCACAGCTAAATCTGACCGATGCTAACCGTCTGGCGTAGTGCACACAATGGAAGAACTTCACTTCACCGGAAACTGTCTCAAGGGCTCTCGCCCGATTCTTTCTTTCGACACCGCTTTCGACCAAGAGCCACACCTGCAACTCCTCAAGGAGCTCTTCCTTCACATCTTTGGCGTCCCACAAGGAGCGCGGCGCTCGAAGCCGTTTATCGACCACGTCATGGGCTTCACAATCACCGACGGAAAGGTGTGGGTACGCAACTACCAGATCAACGAGGTAGAGGCCAGCAGAGTGGCAGCGGGTGCTGATTCTGATGAGGACGCGGCCAGCAGCAAGTCCAGGTCGAAGGATTCCAAGGAGAGCAATATTGACCTTGTCGAGATTGGCCCCCGCTTTGTTCTGACGCCCATCGTCATCCAGGAAGGTTCGTTTGGTGGCCCAATCATCTACGAAAACAAGCAGTTTGTGTCGCCCAACCAGGTGCGCTCCGACCTGCGGAAGCAGAAATCTGAGCGACACAGCGACCGCACAGACCGGGAGCGCGAGCTTTTGGTCAAGAGAGATAACCTGGGCCTCCGGACAAACAATGAGGCAAAGATCAAGCGAAATAGTTTTGACGCCAAGTCCCTCTTTGCATGAGAGAATAGCAATGAATTAGAGGGCTGCGAAGCGGACGTCGGAGGTGGTGACATGTTGCAATGAAAGTTTTCTTCATGGCGTTTCCGAGGCTTATTGGCTTTAATTTTAAGATTTCCGATTGCTTTTCCCAGATAGAGGTTTAAAACGGCATACCCGGGTAGCAAATAATTTTGTCAATCCACGTGAAAGCCATGCGCATGGCCCACGGCACTCATACTTAACTTCATCCCATACGTGTCACGTGTACTATTTCAACTGAAGTGGTTCCGTCGGTTTCCTTAGGCAGCCCGCCGTAATTTAGTGTTCCCGTGTGACGGCCGGACCCACACGACCCCAGCCAGAGCTCGTTTCGCCTCCAGCTCCGACGCGTGCTTTCCCCTTTCTCGCACAGCCGCCCTCGGCCCTTACTTCTTGTTTACCAAACAACTCTTGTAGTTATCTCATCACTCGTTTCTTTCAACCATCTCTGCATCACTTCGTTTCGCCTCGTTCGTGACGGAGACCATCGTCCATCCACGCAACCGACTACCACCTAGTTCTGCCGCCTCGCTCCACAAACAATTCACATTCACGAATATGGCTGCCGCGCCTTTGCGCAACGTAGCCTTAACGGCATCACAAACAACGACCATTCTGACCTCCGTCAACATGACGAGCGTCATCAAAACCAAACAAATCAACGACTTCAACACCGGCATCGTGTGCTTCCTAGATAGCCCCAACGGCGGGGTGCGCAATCTTTGAGTCGCACCACGAAGAAGACGGGTCGGACCTCTCGATTCACATACATCGAGACAAGCTCCGAACCGTGGGCGGCTTCTCCATCCCAGTTGCTCCTTGTCCCCTCGATCTACAATCGTGGAGAGAAACAATAATTCTGTTCAATTATCATCCGTCTACTGCTTTTAAACCCGACCTTTTACGCATTGTTTCTCCACATTTTATCTTTCTATTCATTTTACAGCCTCATCGCAACTTCCAACACGTTCAATCGACAATCCCACACTGTGTGTTTCTTTCCGCAACTGCCAAACTCGACATATTTTGGGTGGTTAGCATCCCTGCTATCTTGCAATTGGTGTCTCTCTCTTGTTTGTGACCACCACGGTTAATTGGGATAACACATCAGAAGAGCAAAGCGGAAACAGCATCCAACAACCTGCACCGAAGCACTCGACCAAGACACCTAAGACTATATCACCAATACGGTTCGTGTGATTAATCTCATTTTTTGTAAGACAATCCATCTGTTCTCACAGGAGTTTTGCCAAATCATTCAACTCGTGCCGGGCACAATGTCGCTCGCAGTTTGCATGTCGCCAAACCGGGCGGCACACTGCGCGTCCGAAAGTCCATTTGGGAATCCTGCTGGCATAGGGAGCATTGGGTGTCTTCCACCTACGTCAGTCCCAACTGGCGCGGCGCAAGAGACAAAAACTGTCCTCGACAGGACACCGGTCGAGGTTTTAGTGGAAGTGTTTCAGCACCTGGACATGACATCCGCCTTCAGCCTGGCTGCCACGAACAAGCGGTTCTCCGGTATATTTGCAGAAAATCGAACCTCAATCGTGCTACGGATAGCTCAGGAGGAATTCAGCCCATTCGACAGTCTTCTTCAGGTTGTCAAGGCATCACCTGCCGATCTGATGATCCCGTGGGGTACGTGGCTGGACAAATGTATTCGCCGCCAAAACACAGTTCTCAGTCCGGGTGGCACGCTTCCGAGGCACTGCCCAGGCCATACCGCCGCCATAAAAATCTCGTGCGCAGAAGCAAGGGTTGAGAACTCTGACATCAACCGGCTTCTTTCGATTTGCCGTACGGTGCGAGGCTGGGAACGCATTTTCCCACAGCACCGCTTCAATGCGTCGCCGCTGATGACACGGAGCCTGACATCGCGGGAAAATTTTCGCCTGCGCCGGGCCCTCTATCACTGGATGCGCTACGCATATTATTTCCACGGGGACCTGGTGCGCCCCAACGTCTTCGTCCCGTCGGGAAGAGACATTCGTATCAACCAACTCCGTTCATTGTCAAACAGCGAACTAGGCGAACTCAAGGATCTTTGGCGTACAGTTGAGGATATCATTGAGCTGACGATGTGTCCGTCGATTGCGAATGTACGCATCGGTGCTGTAAGTATTCATTCCACCAGCGCGACATATTCCTCCTTTGTAAGGGGCTATCGCAGCTGACAATGTTGCAGGATTTTGAGCTCTCCGAGAAGGATGCCGCGCGTATTGGCTGGGGTGAGCAGCGCGAGAACCGTATCGTCGTTGCTACTATGAGCAAGCTGTCTCCCGATGAGCTGCTCTACTACATGGAGAATAGTCACAAGTTTACCAAGCTACGCCTGATCCAAGATATCCGTCAACGCCACCCGCATTTTGAGTTTGACACGGAGAGCCTCACTATTGCTCTGTCCTGCGTGATCCACGAGCGCTGGGGCAGAATGCAGACGGAATTTCCCGCAATGACGCAGCCATCGAGCGGCACCCTTTGTCTGCCAGTTTACACGCGGATGATGGGCCAGTGCCACGGCGGCATTCTCGACTGGGATGATCCGGCAACGGAGGCCGACTGCGCGCGTGTCGGTGAAATGATAGGTCTCAACCTCGACTGGCGCCCAGAAGAGTCCTTCTTTCGTTCACGTCCCGAGATTCCTACAGGCCTCCTGAATCCATAAGATCACGAAAAATGATGATGGTTCCTCGTCAATGCGATGGCCCTGACTCGTGAGAGACCTCATTTAGATGTTCCCATATTTACGCAGTCTTGTCAACGTTCCTGTATGCAGGAGCCTTCTGTGCTTTTTTAATTTTTGTTTGCGCTTGGTCCGCAATACATAGGGGGAAAATGTATAAACGTAGACAAAAATACTAGACCGATGAACCAATTGTGGACTCTTGTTATAGTTATATGTGCTTTCATCTGGCTTCTGGGGGCGATCTGAGAAAATATGTGTTTAGCGGCTCAGGATTGGCTACAGTGGCGTGCATCAGCATGGCCACTAACTCCCAACCTCACCAGGCTGTCTGGATACCCCAGCCAATTTAGGCCTGGGTTGCCGCCAGCCTTCCCACGCGCCTTCCCACTCCGACAGCACTCGTTGGTTTCCACTCGTCGCCAATTTCTAACGGAATTGCACAGGATCTAATCACCATCCCCAATCGGCCTTTGTTGGTTCAGCACAACAACCACAGTTCACCAGACCCCACACCCCGACGGCGGTCTGTGAAAAAGACACCCTTTCTGGACGCAATCTTTTGTCCACTGCTGTCTTACAATAACCAGACAGACCGTGTGCATTCGGCGCAGCAAGCATATATGAAAAGGCGAATGGCGGCCGCTTTCCCGTGTTCAAATTTCAAAGACTTCAAAGACTTCAAAGGCTTGATCCGCTTCGTCTCAACAAAAGACCTCGGTATGTTGCCCTTTCTTATTTTTGTGACGGGCTGTCAGTGGTTTTTAGCCCTTGACCGACAGGCCTTCTCGTTGTTCTTTGGGACCAAGTAGAAGAGTTCTGCGTTCTCGAAAGGAGTTGCATCTCTCGAAGCCAGTGCTGCTTGTCGCAAGCGCGTCTTGCAAACAAAATGCTTTCCTCGATTTGAGCCTCAGTTCTTTTTCAGCTTTAATCAGCCATGAAAGCAGCCTCCGAGCTGCAAACTGCTCAATAAATGCTGACCTTCACAGCCCCGGAACGTGCATTGTCGTCGGCAGGTTTTTCTTCGACGCCCTCTTTGTGACCGATATTCACAAGAGGAAGAAGGCGAAACGCATCTTCTGACGCTCTATCGTCTGGTAGAATTCTCTTGACGCGGTGCCCAAAGGCACTCTGAGATCTTAGCTATCACAGGCCTTCTTGTTTCCAGGGAGAGACTGGGTGTCTCTCCCTCATTTCCCTATCCTTCTCTGCTCGATACCTCTGGCGCAATGGTTGGCGCAGACAATGACGTACTGATGGATGGCATGGACTTGCCGCAGCCTCATCCTCCTATTTTCGGGTTGGCCGGTGCTGACACAAACGGGTTTGTGACCAAATCGAATGGCAACAGCAATGGAAGCAGCAACGGTAACAACAACGGGAGCAACGGCCGATCAGCCGCCGACGACGAGTATGAGGATGATGACCTAAATGATGAGGAAGACGATCCCATGGGCTACCCCGTTGACTTTAAGCGGCGGGGCCTTCTGCCAACGGGTTGCTGCTACGATGACCGCATGAAACTGCACGCCAATGCCGATTTTGGTGCAGGTCCTCACCACCCGGAGGATCCGGCACGTATCTCAGAGATCATGGGTGCCTTCAAGCGTGCCGGTCTTGTCTTCAGCGGATCTGATGCTGACCTCATCAAAACCATCCGCAACTGCCCGACGAAATACATGTGGCGCATTGCTGCGCGGGACGCGATAGAAGAGGAGATCCTGCTGGCACACCATCCCCGCCACTTCCACTGGGTTAAGGAATTGTCTGAAAAGCCCACGTATGAGCTGCGCATGATTAGCAAAGTCATGGATGAGGGACGCGACTCCCTCTATGTCGGCTCCATGACGTACGAAGCATCGTTGCTGTCGGCCGGTGGTGCCATCGAAACGTGCAAGTCTGTTGTGCGTGGCGATGTCAAAAACGCATTTGCAATCATCCGACCTCCTGGCCATCATGCCGAGTATGACCAGCCCATGGGCTTCTGTTTGTTCAACAACGTGCCGATCGCCACCCGTGTCTGCCAGAAAGAATACCCCGACCTTTGTCGCAAAGTCCTCATCCTGGACTGGGATGTCCACCACGGAAATGGCATCCAGAACATGTTCTACGACGATCCAAATGTCCTGTACATCTCCTTACACGTCTATTTAGATGGCCAGTTTTATCCGGGCGCACCCAGCGACCCTTCCACACCCGACGGTAACATCGACAAATGTGGTGCCGACGCAGGCCTGGGCCGCAACATCAATATTGGCTGGGACCAGCAGGGAATGGGTGACGGCGAGTACATGGCAGCTTTCCAAAAGATTGTGATGCCTATCGCCAACGAGTTCAACCCTGACCTTGTCATTATCTCGGCTGGTTTTGATGCTGCTGCTGGAGACGAGCTGGGCGGCTGCTTTGTCACGCCGGAATGCTACGCGCACATGACGCACATGCTGATGTCTCTTGCATCTGGAAAGGTTGCTGTCTGCCTTGAAGGTGGCTACAATCTCGCGGCCATCTCGGCATCGGCCCTTGCGGTGGCCCGCACACTCATGGGCGAGCCGCCACCGAAGTTCGAAATCCCAAAGCTGCGCAAAGATGCCGCTCGACTTCTTGCGCGTGTCCAGGCTCACCAGGCACCGTACTGGGAATGTATGCGACCGGGCGTCGTTGATGTGCTCGATCTACAGTCCCAGGGTGCGCTACGTCTACACGATGTCATCCGCTCTTTCCAGCGCCACATGTTGTCGGTAAAGCATGGCATGTTCCCACTCTTTATTCAGCGCAGCTCCATCTACAAGTCTTTTGAAGACCAGGTTCTTGTCACGCGCAGTTTAAGCACTACGAAAAAGATCATCGTCATAATACACGATCCGTATGTTCGGCAAAATTATGTAGACTCATCCCAAGCGAAGCCCCAATCACTAATTCATCTACAGGCCAGAACTCGTAGCACAGCCCGATGTCTTGGACAACTCACTTGACTCCCACAACTCATGGATGGTATGTATATCCTCGGCCCAAATCTAGGCACTTTGTTGATTTTAAGCCACTGACATGACTGCTTGAAGAACGATGGCGTTATGCCGTACATTGACTGGGCCATTGAGCAAGGCTTCGGTGTCATTGACATCAACGTCCCACACTACAGTAACCAGCCGGAGGTGAGTTTTAACCGCTGCGACAAAATCCACTATATCAGCATGGATACGGTCTACGCAGAATGGCTAACATCGAACCAGGACAACGAGTCTTTCATCCCACGGATAAATGAGGAAGTCATACAGTCTCAGATCCAGGAGCTGGTTTGTTACATCTGGGATAACTACCTCCAAATCTCCGAGACTGCCCAGCAGATCTTCCTTCTTGGAGTAGGCAATGCCTATCTGGGCGTCAAAGTCCTCTTAGTCAACCGCGGTATGTACCTGCTCAAACCCCGGCGTCTATCACGTCCCGTCCATTCCTACTTTTGTGGCTGTTTCTAACCAACTCCAGACTGCAAATCTCGCATTGACGGTGTCGTCAACTTTGTCAACGGCAGCCTTCGGGCTGTCAAGAGCGACGCGGACCCAGACCTGACTCAGTGGTACAAGACCCACTCACGCGTCTACGTTGGTGCTGATCATGCTTGCTGGCAGACCAGTGAGTTCACACGTAAGATCAGCAAACGCCGCTTTGGTGATGTTGTCCGCAGCCCGTTCATGGGCCTCAACCGCATGCTTAAGGAGCATGCCGACGACGCTCACGAGTGGATACTTGAGCGCCTGCCCGGAACCGAAGGCAACACTACCGAGGACGAGAGCTAGAGTCTCCAACGTAACGGGAAGCTTCGTGTTCGCCGTAAAGGCAAAACTCGTACTCGGCGTGGTAGGAAGGTCCAGCGCAATTAAATCAGGATTGTTGTTGTTGTTTTTTTTTTTTTTTTTTTTTTTTTTTTTTTTTTTTTTTTTTTTTTTTTTTTTTTTTTTTTGGCTTTTTCTGGTGTTACTTTAACTCTACTAGCTGTCTTCGCCTTTTTTTTGGTCTGTTTTTTTTTCTATTTTACACATAGTTGGACTGCTTCCGGACTTTTTATTATATGCGCAGTTTCAAACAGGTCATTATTTTCATGTTCTTTCGTATCAACGATTCTATTTTAGTTCACGAGTTGCAAGTACGGTACCTTACATAGGATACAAAGATGTTACCTTCACAAACCACGTAACATACATCACGAATACGATACATATACCGCAGCATCGAAAACAACAACGGATAATGTCCTCCCCCCCCCCCCCCCCACAAAATTATGGTCGATATTGTTTGAGGGTACGGCATAGTAGTAAATAGTGTAATCACGTGACAAGCTAGCGCATTACATGATTGAGGCGATTCCAGTTTTGCTAGCTTTGCCATCACTATCGCGATAAAACCTTTCCGCGTCACACCTTTGGACTAAAGTTGCGGCATCTTGCGTTTGCATTTTTGATCTTCTCCCTACGCGTCATTCAACCGATATCGCCCCTGGATACCCAAAACTTTTCATTATTATATTCTGAATCACCAATAATATTTTAATCGACACCGTTATTCGAGCCTACGACGACATATCCTTTCGAGCGCCATCGGCGCGACTGGCCCCTTTCTTTTTCTGCAAAGGGACCACCACTCACCGAACAACCCAATATGGATAGGGATAGAAATAACGGGCGAAGGTATGTCGTTATACTGTCCCGCTGGTATGCTGTTTTGCGTGCAAATGCATTATGTTTGTCTATTAATGCTGACCGCGAGTCCTTGCAGATTCGACGACGGCGAGGTCACGCGCTACGGCGCAGGCGAATCATGGCGACCGTCCGCGAGAGAACGATCGCCCTGGCGAGAGAGGAGTCCAATTAGGGACCGGGAGCGCATACGTGACTGGGACGGCCGCGACAACCGAGACCGGCGAGCATCGCCACCTCCCAGCAGCGATAGCTACATCCCTGGGAGATCGCCGCGACGGCCACGGTCGCGTAGCATCGACCAATATAGGATATCGGAGCGTGCGCGAGAGTCTGAGAGATGGCGGCCAGTCGAGCGAAGCCGCAGCCGCCCCAGGAGCCCCGGTATGCGGCACAGTGGCAATGGTAACGAAATGCGGCGAAGCCCGCCGCGACGTTTGTCCCCCAGATATGTCTCGCCACGTCGTGGTGGCGACGACCGCGGCAGGATACTGGACCGTGACCGCGGGAGGTCTCCACCACGAAGGGATGCACCCCCTCTGCGAGATATGAGGTATGTCCCACGCATCTGTTAAGTACTTACCGGGGCGCTTCTTTTACTGACTGGCATTCAAGACGGCGGTCTCGAACTCCTGACCGTGGCCCTAGGAACAGATCCACAACTAGACGCTCGCCGCCCCGATTTCGACCGCGCTCGCGTTCGTCAGAGCGACCGCTTGGTGACAACCGCATGGGCGGGCCTGTGCGCCGCACCTCTCCTACAAGAGATTTTGGAAACTTTGCTGGCCAGCCACGTTCGGCTATTGGCTCGCGCTCTGGGTCTCGTCCCAGCTCGCCCCGGAGAAGCCCAGTGGGGCGGCAGCGCAACGATCGTTCCCGGCAGGCGTCACAGACGCCTCGTTCACCTCATATTGGAGGCCTGGCAGGTGGAGGGCCCAATGCCCCGATCGGGTCTTCTTACAGCGTAGGTGGCGGCCGAGATGGCTATTTTGGCTCACCCGTGTCCCATTCTCAATTTGCGACGCCGGCTGTTCGATCTCCACCATCTGGTCCGGCCTCTCTCCGTCATCCGCAGACCGGCCCCAACCAGAGCCGGAAAATGGCCCCCTCCCCAGGCCCGTCTACGCCGTTGGCTGGCCGCCCAGCCCAAGGACATGGCCGCGGCGAAGTGTCTCCTCTCTCAACTTCAGGCCCGCCGACAGGTCCTCGAGGCTACGGCCAAGGTCGTTCTGGTGGTGCAGGCGCCGAGCGAAGCACCGGCACCAGCGGAAATGCCGGGATCGGCCCAGGTGGCCCGAATGGCCCATTCACGCCTCGTCAAGGAGGTCGCGGGAATGGACAATGGGTTCTTTCGGCCGGGGCTGGGCGCCGAATGAGCTCCGCAGGCCCGTCGCCAACTACGGGAGGACCTAGTGGCGGCGGAGGCGGGGGCGGAGGCATCCCTAGCGGGCCCCGTGCGGGACCGGGTGGCCCGCCTGGGTCATCTGCCAACGGGCCTGAAAGGCCCAGCGGCCGCCGTAGCCGCGGGGGCTCGCCATCCCTGGGTGGCGGATCGCGGCCGTTCAACCCGCCTACAGGGCCAGCATCACAACAGCAAGGCAGTCAGCAGCAGTCCTCTGGCGCAGCGATGAATGGTGATCGAAACAACTACCACCGTGATCTGCGGGATCGTGACCGGGACCGTGACCGGTCTGGTCGTGGGTCGTTGGCCATGTCTTCGTCGACACAATCGGTTGCGCAACAAGCCATGGCCAACATGCCGGTGCTTATCCCGGGTGGAAAACTAGACCCGTTGTTGCACATGGGCATCCTGCCTGAGATCGTACCCCACTACCAGAGATTACGAGAGGAGGAGGAACGGCTTCGGTCGGAGTTGGACGTGAAACAGGACCGCCTCCGCAAACAACTGCGCTCATGGGATAAGATGGAACGTGAAGCGCGAGCATTTGAGCTGAAGAGTGAACTCAGCGAGAAAAGCCTCAAAACGATTGCGGGCGAAAGCATGGGTGGTGCTGCTTTTTAAAGAGACCTGTTACTTTGGTTTCATTATCCCTGATCAGAGGGTGAAGGGAGCTGTAATCTTTACATGTACCATAGTTATGTGCACGGCTTTGGAGACCACCAACCTGTCTAAATTACGAAAGGCTTTCGTCACAGTAATTATCGCCAATTTGGTCACCGAGTTTAGTTTGTTTGCGGCAACGGGTATTTTTTGGTATTTTTCTATGTGCTCACATCTTGAGTACACACCTGTTGTGCGAGTCGTAAAAAAGAAAAGAAAAAAAAAGTTAAAAAAGTAAAAAAAAAGAGAAAAATATGGAATCTAAGCTACCGGGAAACAGTGCTGCCAATCACCGCAGCACACGCACATCTCGCGTTTAGGATGACCTTTTTAACTCGTTTATGTTTCAAAACCAGAAAGTTGTTGTTTCCCGTTCCTCGTTGAGTGTCCTGTCTCTACGACTATGGTTGACTGAGAAACCTTAGATCCGTGGGCTGATCCGGCCATGTAGCTAATGCGAACTGTCGACCTTGGCTACGTAGCTGATAAGGTCAACAACGCGACGGCTGTAGCCCCACTCGTTGTCATACCAGCTAACGAGTTTGACGAAGTTGGGGTTCAGGGAGATACCAGCCTTGGCGTCGAAGATGGACGAGTTCAAGTTGCCGTTCAGATCGCTGGAGACCACATCGTCCTCGGTGTAGCCGAGAATGCCCTTCAGGGGGCCCTCGGAAGCCTCCTTAATAGCGGCCTTGATCTCGTCGTAGGAGGCACCCTTTTCCAGGCGGGCTGTCAGGTCGACCACGGAGACGTTGGCAGTGGGGACACGCAGGGACATGCCGGTCAGCTTGCCGTTCAGCTCAGGGATGACCTTGCCGACGGCCTTGGCGGCACCTGTGCTGGAGGGGATGATATTCTGGGCGGCGCCACGGCCACCGCGCCAGTCCTTGGCGGAGGGACCGTCGACGGTCTTCTGGGTGGCGGTGTAGGAGTGGACGGTGGTCATGAGACCCTCAACGATGCCGAACTTGTCGTTGATGACCTTGGCCAGGGGAGCCAGGCAGTTGGTAGTGCACGAGGCGTTGGAAATAACGTCGGCCTTGCCGTCGTAGGTCTTCTCGTTGACGCCAATGACGTACATGGGAGCATCGGCGGAGGGGGCCGAGATGATGACCTTCTTGGCACCGCCAGCCAGATGGGCCTTGGCCTTGTCGGTGGTGGTGAAGACACCGGTGGACTCGACGACGTACTCGGCACCGGTGTCCTTCCAAGGGATGGAGGCAGGGTCGCGCTCTTGGTAGAAGCGAACGGACTTGCCGTTGACGTTCAGGCCGTTGGCCTCGACCTTGATTTCACCCTTGAAGGCGCCGTGGGTAGAGTCGTACTTGAGCATGTAGGCCTAGAGAGGAGAGCGATAGTGTCAGGACGCTGTCCATCTCACTCATGAAAGGGTTGATTGAGGCGGGAAAAGGGGAAAGGCGTCTCCCCCGGATTGCTACCGTCGATTCGCAGCGGGCAAAAAGGAGCGGAAGGTCGCGACTTACAGCGTAGTTGGTGTCGATGAAAGGGTCGTTGACAGCAACAACCTCGACGTCACCGTGCTCGATGGCATTGCGGAAAACGATACGACCAATGCGGCCGAAACCGTTGATACCAGCCTTGACAACCATTTTGACTTTGGAATTGAGTTAGCCAAATAAGCTTTGATGTGTACGAGATCAAAAGAAACCGAAAAAAGAAAAGACGGGAGAACAATGAGCTTTTGGGAATGACGGTGTTTTGCAGATGGGAGATGAAAAAGAAGGCGAGGTAAAAAAATAAATAAATAAAATAAAAGAGAGAGAGAAAGAATACCAAAAATATCAGGAATTAAGCGCACGAAAGTCAAGGTTAAAAACAACAGCCGAGCCAGTCGTCACCAGGTCAGACACCAATGTGACGAAAACACAGACGACAAGAAATAGGAATGCTAATGCTGTCGGAGTAGCCGTTACCAGGTATTTTCGGGTTGCAGCTGAGCCATTCACGGGTGCCTCCGGACGGAATAGCCGCAAAAAGGACTGGCCAGGTCTTCGAGCTCGGCTAAGAAACGAAGACTGGATCTGGGACCAACGGAGAAGGAGGGGAAAGGGAAGAACGGTTCCTGGGCCAGGCTGTATTTGGCACTGGCAACGGTCCCGGAAGTGGGGAGGTCAAGGAAACCATCACGTATAAAGATGGGGTGCGTTGCTGCTCGATTGCACCCATGCCTGACTGCTCTAAAGCCGAGCGAAACTCGAACCGGAGCCGTCAAGAAGTTTGGTTGCGATGCGAGCTCCAGCAAAGAAGCTGTACCGACGGTCGGTATGGTCGCCCGGCCGTCTTTTGATCGCGCCTCTCAATACGTGAAGTAATAGTGGAAGCTGGTCGATCGATGGCGGGGTAGCAACGTACAGGGGGAACACGCCAAAAAGCAACAACGCGCGACGAGGGGCAAAAAAAAAAAAACAGCCGTAGCAATAGCCAGCACGAACAGGTGCTAGTTATGATATGTAGAACGTACCTTGAGTTGGTGCGAGATCTTCAAAGAGCTCAATTGAATTTAGTGATGGGATACAGGACAGAAGAGTTGATGGAGAACGAAGAAAAGCAAGAGAAGAGAGCAAAGGAAAGGAGAGGAAAAAGGAGAAAGAGAAAGGGGAGAAAAGAAAAGAAAAAGGAAGGAGCGAGGAGTGGCATGAGGGTCATGAAATAATATACCTCGCCGTGGTGCGGACCTGGTGCGTACCTGCCTGTCTCGCAACGAGCAATGGGTCGTCATGGGCTGCAGACGGCGGTCTCTGTGGTGGAGGTTGGCATGGTGGGGTTTGTCTTGCCCCCAGGAGAGCTGTCCCGCAACTCGCCACTTGGGACAGGAGGGGCAACACGACGAGTGAGATGGCTACAGGCGCCCTTCACTGCCCTGCCGGCTGCTGCGCATGGCGCTCGTTGTATCTGCATCCCTTCGGCGCTCCTACCGGACTACGGACTCTTTGTCTGCCCTGACTTACTCACCACACGCTCCGCGGCAGGAGTCAGGAGACATCCCGATCCAAGCGTCCCTTGACAAGCTTGTAGAATGAGACCTTGTCGGACTGGTGCCTTTGCATGCTTCTCTGTCTGCCATATGCACCGTCCGTAATTGCGCTGTCTCGGCCGCATCATGCCCGCCTCCTCAACAAAGTCGCAGACGGGGAAACAAGAGCACTCCAAGACGAGCGAGGCCGACGCTCGTTGACATGCGTAGGACGTATTACCACATACACTCCGTAGTCTTTCCCACATCTTTTGTTGCACACAAAAGAACGAGAAATATAGCGAGTAAGGCCCGGATTGGCCTGACTAGAAACAGAAACAGCGCATCCGGGGCCAGTGCAGTCAGTGCCCCTCCTGACCGTTGGCAAAACGCGTCAATAATCGAGAGTGGCCCCCCAACAGCTCCAAACGCGGCAACAGCGTGCAAATGCATGACGCCGGCACCACGGTATGGGCTGCCACCAAGAATACGACGCAGAGGATCTATGAGACGATCATGGCCCAGCGGCCAGACAGGGCGACAGTTGAGCAAAGTAATGCCGCAGGAAGTGGGATGGACAGCAAAAAGTCGCGCTAGACGGGGTAGCTTGGCAGCTTGCGAACTTTGGGAAGAAGGATGCTAAAATAGGGCCGCGGCGGTTGGCCCGTAAGCGATGCGCCTTTTTCCATTGAGCTGCTGCTCTTATTTACTATTTTTTTTCTTTCCCTTCGACGTGATGTGTGACGTGGGTTTGCAACAAGTCCAACGACACGGGATGGACCACAGTAACACGGAATTCCATCCACCCAAGTCGCTGCGACAGAGCTCTTGAGATGGTTGCCCAAAATAAACATGCACTGAACGCTCAAGTTGCCTGGTCAAGCGACCTTCAAATTTTTTGCTGCGGACGACGGCATGCTACTGACAAATGGTGGATGGCAACAACGGAGGCGTGTGGATTACAAACGTGCTAAAGCGAGCGAAAATGATGCTGATTGTTAACAGACAGTATCCGGCGCGACACACCGCTGTGACTCAACCATCCAGCCGCAAGCCATCCCGGTTTTGCCGCTGCGAGAATCGGGGTTGTCGGTACCAGCGAGGTAGCGTATGAGCGACGTCGGTGGCTGGTGATGTGCCGCGCTTTGTCTGCAGCGTCGTCTCTCCATATTTTCCTACCTTGGCCATCTTCATCTGTTCGCCTCACCGTCGCATTGCGGCTTTTGCCATTGCTATTAATTGGCTTTTATAAATCCCAAATTGCTCGTACTGGCAGGCTGCAAATCCCGCCGGAGGCTCTCCCGTGCTTTCGCCAATGTGTCTTACGTTATGGGTCTCGCGATGCTTGCTTTCACAGGTACTGTGAAGATGCGGTTTGCGATTTGTGCCACAACGCCTGCCCTCGTAACCACGTGCGGTAGGATACGCTCGCCCTCGCTCTTCAAACACCGAGGCGCGTTTTTGGTCATACTGAATTGGGGACCCATATACCGGCTGCAGCGAGGCTGTGACCAGGACAAGGCCAGCCCGATGGCGTTGTCAGGTAGAACCGTTTGGATTCCTAGGAACCGGTTTTATCGTATCTTACCATGTTTGTTGCGGTGTACGTACCAAGCTTGGACCTGGTCGTCAAGCCATGACCTCAGCCATGACCTGCGTCTCGTGTCGTCGGGAAATGATTGAGGGCATTGGGGATAGTCCTGTCTTTTTAAAGTAGCGATATATAGCCGGTATAATAGCGTACCTGTTATAAGTCGCGGGTGGTAACATGATATTGGGGTTGCGTGTTTTTGTTTGTCGATGTCTCTTGTGCCGGGATGAAGCTTTAATGTGACCTCATCGCTCATCCCATCCATCCTTCTTTGCCTAACTGTTGCAGCCGCGAGTATGCGTTTCCTGTACCACAGTTTTATTTTAGTCATCTTTCACTTTTCGAAGCCATCTTTAGAAACTTGCCCTGAAAATTTTGCTGTCCCAATTTCCCCAGTGGCAGCCCTTTTTGCCTGTCGGAATCACCCTCTTTTTGGTCATGGTTCTGGTTGATACAATAATAGCCCCTCCTCACCGTCCTAGGATGCGTTATCAGGCTTTCCTCCAACGTTTATCAGCGCGAGCCAATGGAGCTTCTACCCCACACTGACCTGACTGATAAGAAAACGGCCACCACCGATATACTGTCTGCATGCTCCGAGAGCCGTATTTGAACAAAAATCCCATAAACTCGTCCTTGCATTCCGTCGCTTGTTTTGCACCGGAATTCGCCATCTACCAACCGTCGCCATGTCTCATATGCACTCCCATGATGGTGGCATCACCATGCACGCCAGCCATGGCCACGACTTTTCCGTATCGGCCGCTGAGCACGGACACAGCCACGAGATCCTTGATGGTCCCGGTAGCTTCCTGGGGCGGGAAATGCCCATCGTCGAGGGCCGGAACTGGGAGGACCGCGCGTTCACTATTGGCATTGGCGGGTAAGAGATACGCCCCTGGTTTTTGAGCGCCTGCTCTCGGTGCTCCTGGTTTACGCTCCCCAACTTTCTTATTGACACCCTCTTGCGCCCTCTAGACCCGTTGGCTCTGGCAAGACGGCTTTGATGCTGGTCCTCTGCAATGCTCTTCGCGAAAAGTACAATATCGCTGCGGTGACAAACGACATCTTCACCCGCGAAGATGCCGAGTTTCTGACAAAAAACCGTGCTCTGCCGGCAGAGCGCATCAAGGCGATCGAGACTGGCGGGTGCCCCCATGCGGCCGTTCGCGAGGATATCAGCGCCAACCTGGCAGCCCTCGAAGATTTGCATGCCGTGTTCGGAACGGACCTGCTGCTCATCGAGTCCGGGGGCGACAACCTGGCTGCTAACTACAGCCGGGAGCTGGCCGACTTCATCATTTATGTGATTGACGTGAGCGGTGGCGATAAGGTACCGCGCAAGGGCGGCCCGGGCATCACACAGAGCGATCTTCTTGTCGTCAACAAGACCGATTTGGCCGAGGCGGTCGGTGCTGACCTGGGTGTTATGGAGCGCGATGCCCGCAAGATGCGCGAGGGTGGTCCGACTGTGTTCGCACAGGTGAAGAAGAACGTCGGCGTCGACCACATCGTGAACCTCATCCTGAGTGCATGGCGCGCCAGCGGCGCCGAGACTGTTGCCAAGGCTCGCGGTGGCCCGCGGCCAACTGAAGGCCTTGAGGCGCTGAAGGCTTAGACGCAGACGCAGAAATCACGATACGCTCTACGTTTTACAATATTTCTTTTGGATTCACAGTAATCGCCGGTCTGTAGTTTTATTGGGAAATGCGAAATTTGGAGGTTCATTATTGTGTGTTAAACTTTTTGTCCACCGTCTATGCCTATACCTGAAATGTATGCCAAATCATCTTCCTTTCCGCCCTTTTATGCCATGTCTTCGTCCATCTCATCGCCGTCCGGCTGCACTAGATTGTCGGATGCTGTGGTGGAGGCCCACTCTTGGAAAGGTATAGCCTTCCGCGGCCACACCCGCTTGTACAGACTGACACCAACACTGTCCTGCGGGTTGATGCGGCCATCGAACGTCGCCTTGAAATAACCGTGTGTGCCGAGTGGCTCCTTAATGTAACCACTCCGGCCTCTCTTCGTCCACAACGGCAAGGCCTTGAACCACTCAACGTCCTCCCGGTTGAAGAACATGTACCGGATGGTCACGATCTTCTTGTGGATGTGGTAAGGGTGGCCGGTAAGGACCACACGTTTTGCGACAACACGCGACGTTGAAGGCGGGAGAGCCGTGCCGGTACCAATCAGTCTCATGTTTGGGGGGGCGGAAACGCCTGGCAACAAGGGCACGGTGCTGTTTGTCACAAGCTTGAAAAAAAGTGTAGGCACGGAGCCCCAGGTGACGGGACCGACAAAGCTAGCCACGGCCGACTGGCCCGGGTGCAGGAACCGGGAGAACTTGTGTACGTCGTTGGGTGTAACTCCGCTCTGCGAATAAAGAGGGTTGACAACCAGGCGCCGAGGACCGCATTGGACAATGATCTCCTCCTTGGACTTGATCGACCGCGGCTCTTCCGCACTGAGGTTGATGAGGAAGTTGACAACGGTCTGCTTGTTCTCGTGCCGGAACAGAGAAAACAGCGTCACGGGTTTACTGGGGCTGTAGGCTGCCCGAACCGTCTCTGGGAGGACGCCTTTTGCAAGATGCACACTCACACGCGTACCTGGAGCAACGCCGCCGATCAGAGCCTCACGAGTCGACCGGATACGGGACGCACGGTAATCGGGAATGCGCAGTAAGCGCCGCCAATCTTCGGGCTCATGTGGGCGGTCCTCCTTCTCGTTCCATCGGCTGGAGCGAAGACTCTTTAGGCCACGGTATCGGGCCAACCGCTGGTGCGCTAAAACATTCGGGTGGAGCTCAATTTCGTCAGGGTACTCCAGATCGTCCTCCGCCTCCGATCTCTTCTGCGATCTGTAGAGCGCGAGCTGCTCAGCTTCTTTCTCGTCATCCTGTTCAATGTACGCCTCCGATTGTGGGTACTCGGACGGTCCAGCGCCCGGTTCGGTCGGTGCATACTGGGCAATGCCCTCCATGCCGTCGGCTGGGTGCGCCTTCTCTCCATTGTCGCCCTCATTCCCAGCCATGGCCTCATCTTCGTCGTCGTCCATGTCGGAGCCCGACTCGGATGTCGCATCGTCGAGAATCCAGGCAGACTGGTACTCCGACGTGCCCTTGGGAAGACGTCTGGCAGGCAACGCTTTTTTATCTTCTTCCTCCGAAAAGTAGTGGTGATCGTCGAGAAGCACACCTTTACGACTCGCAGTAGCGGCTGACCGACCGTCCATGTCGTCGGCGTCCATTTCATCATCTTCGCTGTCACTGAGCAGGGCGCCCTCCGGAGCCAGCTCGGCCAGATCATCGCGGTCCTCGCTGGCGACATCTAGCACGCCCTCTTCGCCTTCCGGGCCATCCACAGACATGGGCTCGGCAGCGGCAGCCTTGGGCTTCCTGTGGTCGAGGTTTGCCGCTGTGATCTTGTCGATTTGGAAAGTACCCCAGTCACCAACCTGCACCAGGCGGTCGGCCTTGAGACCGCGGCCGCGAATGACGCCCGTCAGCACGGCTGCCGCATCGTCGTCTGTTGAGCCGAACTGAACGTCCTCCACAAACATCCAGCTGCGCTCGTCGCGCCAGTGGATTCCCTTTGGTGTGGAGCTGCACAGTGACCGGATCAGGTTGGAGCAATCTTGGCGGTTGTCGAGTGCAAAAAGCTTCTCTTGATCGGGATGGAAGTGCCGCATAAATGACTTGAGTGAATCGAGCGTGCTCGAGCGCTGCTTTGCGGATTCGATGCTGTTCAGGCCGTGCACAGTGGTGAACAGTGTCGATAGGCCCTGGCTCTCCACACTGCGCAGAATTAGCTCGCCGCGCTCGTCAACCTCTTCAGTGGCAGAGATTATGAGCAAAACAAAGTCCGCAGCACGCGCAGCGTCAATGCTCGCAAGTATATCGCGGTCGGAGGGAACGACGATGTACTGAAGTTGTTGCTTGAAACGCTCAATGGGAACGCGCAGTGCGCCCCCCGTCGAGTTGATCGCTGTCTCGGTATCGAGGCTGCTGTTCAGAGCCCGAACAGCGGCAGCAGCATCACAGTCACCGCACAGGGGAATAACAGCAACATTTCGCGGGGCGGCATCACGCCCCGAGAAAATAGAGGACTCGAGGCGATGCTCCTTCTGCTTCTCGAGTTGACGCTGACGATTCTGGTTACGACGGTCCAGCTTGGACATGACTTGTTGGTGGGGAGTTCTCGGTCTCTCGTCGGCAGTTTTGCCTATATATTTGTACGTTCATGTTAGACAAAATTCCTCCTTATTTTCTTCTTGGTTTGCTTTCTCGTTACTAACCCTTATGACGGCGGCCCTTGCCAGCAGCCTTGAATGGCTTGTGACTGACTTTCGTCGTCGACTTGTGGCTGTGGCCTGCCATAGAGGATGGCATTTTGTTCGAATCCCGACCTTTCTAGTATGTTTGAGTTTGTCGTTCTAAGTATATTCCTCAAAAGTTCGGCGGATATCTCCCGAAAGGCTATTTAAATTTGTATTTGTTGACTGCGTGTTATGATAACGTTCCTCCTCGGCGACCTGCCTTTTTTTTTCTCTTTAAAAAATATAACAGTCAAGTGGCAGAATTTTTGGCTGGCAATAGTTGATGTTTTGGTGGGGTGGTAGCGGTTATCGATAAGCCGATAACATGAATTACTGATAAGATTTTTTTTATGGGGCTGAACTGTTTCCCAAACTTTTTAAGCAAGTCGCCATGCTCTGTCAAACCGCAGAAATTATTTGTGACGCTGTTTTCTGCCGCTCTTTTTGCCCATCACAACCATACTTGATACCGTCAGCACGATGAACGAATCTGCAAACCGGTCACAATCGCCGGCGAAAAAGACGATGGCGACCATTTCGGGCTCGGGACGGGTGACAAAGACGGGTGCTGTAGCGCGCTACGACAATGGAGCCGAAAAGGTGTACGATTTGAGACTCGATCTCCGGTCCAAAGACGAGCAAGAACGGATACGGCGACACAAGCAGGCACAGAAGGAATACGGCCGAGGACGGCAGATCGACATCAAGAACATCAAAGACAAGAAGCTCAAGCGGAACCTTGGCAACCTGGAGACGCGGTTTCAACGAGCAGCTGACCAAGCGAAGGACGCGGAACTCCTTCTCGAACATGCGGGTGGATTCCTAGAGCCCGAGACCGAGTTGGAGCGCACATACCGGGTGCGGCAGGATGAAGTGGCCCGAAGCGTGGCAGTGGCGGCGGCACAGAAGCGGTTTGACCTCAAGCTTGACCAGTTGGGCCCCTACCTCTGCGAATTCACACGGACGGGCCGTGAGCTTTTGCTTGCTGGACGCAAGGGCCATGTTGCAACAATGGACTGGCGTGAGGGCAAACTGGGCTGCGAGCTGCAACTGGGCGAGACGGTGCGCGACATTCGGTGGCTGCACAACAACCAATACTTTGCGGTGGCGCAAAAGCGCTATACCTACATCTACGACCGCAATGGCGTCGAGCTCCACTGCTTGCGGAAACATGTCGAGGTATCGCACATGGAGTTCCTGCCGTACCATTTCCTTCTGGCAACGATGGGCATGTCCGGTCATCTCAAGTACCAGGACGTGTCGACGGGACAGCTCGTCTCCGAAATCTTTACCAAGTCGGGCACTCCTGTGTCTCTGACGCAAAACCCGCACAACGCTATTCTCCATACCGGCCACCAGAATGGCACCGTCACACTTTGGTCACCGAACTCGTCCGAACCCCTGGTCAAGATGCTGGCACATCGTGGGCCAGTGCGCTCCCTCGCGATCGATCGCGAGGGTCGATACATGGTCTCGGCAGGCCAGGACTGCCGTATGAACGTATGGGATATCCGCATGTTCAAGGGCGAGATCAATTCCTACTTTACAAACGGTCCTGCAACGTCGCTCGCCATATCCGACAAGGGCCTTACGGCCGTAGGCCACGGAACACGGGCGACGGTGTGGAAGGGCATTCTTTCGGGCCCCGGCGCGACGGCTGAGAAGGTGCAAAGCCCTTACATGGCCTGGGGTGGCGATGGCAAGGCAATTGAACGCGTGCGCTTCTGTCCTTTCGAGGATGTCCTCGGCGTGAGCCACAACGCCGGCTTCTCCTCGTTGATCATTCCCGGAGCCGGTGAGGCCAACTTCGACGCTCTGGAGGTGAATCCCTACGAGACGGCCAAACAGCGGCAGGAGGCTGAAGTCAAGGGCCTGCTGAATAAGTTGCAGCCGGAGATGATCGCATTGGATCCCAACTTTATCGGCAAGCTGGATCTCCGCTCGGAGAAGCAGCGGCGGGCAGAGCAAGACCTCGACGCGGTACCTGTGGACATTGCGGCGGAGATTCGGAACAAGGCGCGAGGCAAAAGCACGGCTCTGAAGAAGTACCTGCGGAAGCAACGGAAGAAGAATGTCATCGACGAGAAGCGCATGAAAGTAGACGAGATCTGGAAGGAGACCCAAACTCGCAAGGACGACAAGCTAAAGGAGGCCAAGGCCGAATTGGGCCCGGCTCTGGGGCGGTTCGTCCGCAAAGATTAATGTGTACGGAAGCCTGCGGCTATTGCTCTGTGTTGCTTTATAGCTTTGTCTTTCTGGCGTTCTTGGAGAGGCAGCAAAAATAGACTTATGTACTATTTAGTCATATCATACCCATTTTAAAGGTAAAAAGCAGTGGTGCAAAGCAAGATACTCCCAACGGCATAATACGGCGGACGTAGTATTCATATTTGTGACTTGAGTTGGCTTTTAGCATTGTATCAATTCCACATGCTGCCCCAAGTGGCAAGTGACAACAATCATTTTCACGTGGGTAGAGCGTCACAGCGGCGCTGGCAACCGAGCGATGGCCCCTGAAGGGCTTAGACTTCCCCTGGAAACGCAACTAATTAGTGTCCAAGCCCCTTGGCCTGGCCCTGCTCCTTTCGCGCCAGACAGTCTGGGCCTGCCAATGTTCCTGGCCGCTATTGCTTTGCGTTGGGGTTTGAAAAATGGCACAAAAGTTGTTATAGTCGACGCACATACTAACCACAATACCTTAACCACGACACTCATTTTCCACTTTCCCACTCTAAAACGCTCTCCTGGGCGGCCGCATTTCCAGAAGACCTAATCCCCGGACGATTCGCTCCCGACAATGGCTGCGTGGGCTGACCGAACCATGGCTAACCCGACGGCGGTGGCCATCAGCACGAGTGCTGTCGCGTTTGTGACAGGTCTCCTCTTTGGCATCTACTCGACCCGCGGCTACCTGATCTCGCCCGAGTTAGCCGAGGAGCGGCGGCGGAACCTGACCGATCCGTTTGAGAGTGAGGCCTCGGACGTGGACGACGGTATCCTGCTGGACCATGCGCCAAACTGGGCCAATGGCGACGAGGCCGATGTACGGGACGGCTTGCGGGCATCCAGTGTAGCGGGCAGCAGCACGAGCAGCAAGAAGAAGAAGAAGAGCAGCAAGGACAAGGAGAAGGAGAAAGCGCGCCATACCCACAGCCACTCGGGCGACGAGGAGTGCAAACTGGTGCTTGTTGTGCGGACAGATCTGGGCATGACAAAAGGTGAGTTGTGGGAGGGTAGCTGTCCTCCTTTCTCCAAGTCTAAATATTAAATGTACGACACACAGAGGCTAACAAAAACAGGCAAAATTGCTGCCCAATGCGGTCATGCCACGCTGGCTTGCTACAAGATCCTCCGCCGTGCTGCCGGACGCGACCCGACATCGAGTGCCGCCCGTCTACTACAGCGCTGGGAGCGCCGTGGTCAGGCCAAGATTGCTGTGCAGGCCAAGGGCGAGGATACGCTTGTGACACTCATGGGTATTGCACATAGCCTAGGCGTGACGGCCGAGGTAATTGCCGACGCAGGGCGTACACAGATCGAGTCTGGGAGTCTCACCGTGCTCGGTGTCGGCCCGGCGCCGAAGAGCCTGGTAGACAAGATTACGGGCCACCTGAAGCTTCTGTGAGAAAAGGTCGTGGGCATGACGATGGAGAGGATGCTGCGCAGGCGCTCGTACGGCGTCTCGATATGTCGACGGGTCACGCAGAGCGCATTTCCCATGCTTTGGAGGCGGCGGACTGTTTGTGGTACGCACACGTGACCGCCATTTTTCAACAACAGTCCATCGGAGGTACGTTAACCACCTGCCGATCTTGGCCACTGGCCTCGAGCCAGAGCGCCTAGCACCCCGCTATTTGCAGGTGGAAACGCCCACCCAAGGCAGTGATAGTGGGCGCAATGCCCGTAGCAGATAGCTTCGGGGGAGACGATGTGTCCAGAGTCATTACATCTTTTATTCCCCGTTAAAATACGTAGAAACCAATCTGACGTATCTGCTTCACTTTTTCCGTGTGACAGGTGAACGTTTGCCACCCAAATCCTCCCACTGTCCGCACATTTCCCACCATGGCCACTGTCGATCGTAGGGCCATAGTTGTTGGCATCAGCGGCTGCTCGTCCAGCGGCAAGACGACGCTGGCAAGGCTGCTCCGCGATGTCTTCCCAAACTCGTTTATTCTCCACGAAGACGACTTCTACAAGAATGACAAGGAGTGAGTGGCCGCGGCTGTGACTGTATGCCGCCCCAGGCTCAGATTCAATCTTTCTTGTCAAACCACGTTCTAACGCCCGCCGTGCAGCATTCCCATATCAGTCGATGGTCTTGCCGACTGGGACTGTGCAGAGGCACTCTCACTCCCCGACATGGAAAAGGCGCTCCTCCACATCCGCACGCAGGGTACTCTGCCGGTCAGTCGCAACTCTCATTTGTCATGCCGCACAGATCATGGCAACCGGCCATGTCGAACCTCGACGCCCCCTCTTCCTCCCCCCCACCCCTCCCCTCCATCTTGTATACAAACCTCTCCGCTCACACCATCGCATCCGCAGCCCTCTCTTTTCTCTAAGGAAGACCAGAACTCTGTCGGCAACTGCCCTGTTCCCGATGCTGCAATTGAGGCGCAGAAGGCCAAAGTCCAAGCCTGGCTCCAACCGGGCCAGCCAGGCAACAAGCTCGTAAGGGGCGGCGGAGGCGGCAACACACTACGGATTTGCTTTTTCGATGGCTTCCTGTTGTATTCAGAGAAAACACGCGCGTCCATGGAGCTGATCGACGTGCGTCTGTTCCTACGGGTGAGCCACGCAAAGGCGACGCAGCGTCGTGAGGCGCGGGACGGCTACGTGACCCTCGAGGGCTTCTGGAAGGACCCGCCAGGTTACGTTGACAAAATTGTATGGCCTAACTATGTCGAGGCGCATAAGTGGCTGTTTGACAATGGCGATGTGGAAGGCACCCCGAACAAAGCAACGCTTGAGGCAAACGGCATTTTGACCCAGCTGGACAAGGGCATCGACATCGATATGTTAACGACGCTGGAGTGGGCTGTGGACACACTGATACGCGAGCTGGAGAACAAGTACTTGTGAGACGTGGAGGTACGATGCATCCAACGTGCGCGTTTGTGTCCGGCCCCAGACAGCGGGGGATAAAAGGAGGTGCGTAGAAGGAAAATAGGGTAGGCCCGAACATCGCATGTAGACGTGAGATACGACCAATGTGAGCGCTACCGACACAGCGCTGTACTTACGTGCTCCCAGTCATCAATGACAGTAACATGTTCAAAACATGCGAGCAAAGCGCAAACACGGCAGCAGTTCGGCGTGCGATACTTAATACAACCGGCAACTCGGCGTGAAAGCGTTGAAATGGACAAACCATCAATCGTTGTTGACAATTATCCGCAGAAAAGTGTAAATATTTGTGACCAGAGTCATGGTTTTCCCCTAACCTCATGGATCGACGATCGTCGGAAAACGGCTTGGAATATGACGGTCTCGAGCCTTCCTAGTCCGCGTCGCTCAGCTTGTTACGGCGAACTCAGCATCTCTCCAGGACGACTCGATTGCTCTGGGACCTGTCGATAGGAACTTGACACCATACCGCCGCCGCGAGGCAGAAGAATGCGATGTCTCCATAGGATGTATCGAACTGCCGCAGTCATCGACTCTGAACTCGCCGGCCCGAAAGCGCAGCAAGCAGAGGACGGCTGGGCACAGATCCGTGATTGAAGAAGAAGGAGAAGAAAGAGGGAAAAGAAGCTCAGGAAAATTTGCGGCGCAATATTTATGATGGAGCTCTAGACCCATATTAATTTTTTTTCGTAGTGATTACGAAAGACGATTTGTTTACCGCATCACGTGTAACGAACGCTAACGAGCCATTTCGTTATCTTATCGGTCGGCTCTTGTAAACAGCTTTTGATGGGGCGAATCTACAGCGGATCTTTAGGCATACAGCGAGGCAAAGTATCAATATAGTGACGACCTCTCCTCTCGACAACCGTGACGACTTCAATAAAAACTTCTTTGCAGGGACTTCAACGGCCTCGTTCGACGCGAAGCTTGCATCTACCCGATCAATAGAAGCTCGATACAATATCAATACCATTTAGTCCAACACAAGCTGTCACCGCTATGGACCTCGCAACGCTCGAAGAGGCAAACCGCCTTCGAGAGTCTATGGGCCTCAAGCCTTTGCCTATTCCAGGCCAGGAGCCACAGTCGAGAAACAGCGATGAAGATGACGACGATGATGACGATGATGACGATGGCGAAGAAGACGACCCCATGGCAACACTTGAGGGCCGCCACGCGGCAGCCTTTGACAACTTCAAGCAGGTGCAGCATGCCCAGTTGGCCAAACGCCGGCGCGAAGAGAAGGCAGCGGCCGTGAAGCGTGCACGCGAGAAAGCACAACGACACGCACTTCTTGAGGGCAAAACGCTGGGTGACCTGGATGATGAAGACGGTGTTGATGCTGACGGTGACGCCAAGTCGTGGCTGCGCGGACAAAAAAAGCGCCAAAAGAAAATTGGCAAGGTTGAAGAGAAGCAAAAGGCCAGCGAAGCTGCGACGGCCGAGGAGGAACGGCGGAGGCGGCGGCGAGCTGCAGGTGCGTCGAGCGAGGGCGAGGGCGATGACGACCTTCTGACAGGTGTGAAGGTGGGACATGACATGGCGTCGCTCCTGGACGGCGACGACCAAATCCTCACGCTCAAGGACGCGACAGTATTGGACAACGAGGATGAGGGCGATGAGCTGGAAAACCTTGGCTTGCGCGAGGAAGAGCAACTTCAAGAGCGTCTGGCATTGAAGAAAAAGCGTCCCAATTATGACCCTCTGAATAATGACGAAGGCTCACACACGATCCTTGGCCATTACGATGAGGAGATCTACGGCAAAAAGCGAAAGCATTTTACGCTTGACCCAAATGCGATCCTGGGTCTAGGTAGCGGGAGCAAAGGTGCTGCACCGGGCGCCTCCAACACAGGCGCGGCCGCTACCAATGGCCAGGCTGCAGATCAACAACACCTGGCTATCGATGACATTCTGTCTGGCATGCCTTCATCCGATTACCTCGACGCGCCTGAAATAAAGATGAAGAAACCAAAGAAGAAGACGTCCAAGACCAAAAAGACACGAACACGAGGTGGAGATGATGACGAAGGTCTCTTTCCGGCTTCCGCCGCCGACAACGAAGGCAACAATAGCGGCGCTGTCGATTATGCGGAGATGGACCTTGATGATGGGATAGAGCTAGCGGCCAAGAGGCGAAAGCGCCGGGCCATGGATGCAGAGGAGCTTTTCCGCGATGACGACGAACTGCAAGCCTCACTGGCCCTGCAACGACGTGAAGCTCTGAAAAAACGGAAGCGGACTCGACCAGAAGACGTTGCCAAACAACTACGAGAGGAGCCTGCAGCGCCTGCAGAAAATGGCGAGAATGGCGATGGTGACGCCACCCCTGCAACTGGCGGCCTTGTCATTGACGAGACGGCTGAATTCATCAACAACTTGAAGCGGCGAGAGGACCGTGAAGATGATTCCCCACGGCCCAGAAAACAAGCCCTAGCATCGTCAGTGACAGCCATGGAAGAGAGCGATAACGAGGATGTTGCGATGAAGGATGGGGGCGCGGACGGAGAAAACGCACGCAATGAATGGGAGGGCAGGAGTGCATCCCACCACGACAACGGTGGCGGTCTTGAGGAGGAGAAGAAGATCAGTGAAGGCTTGGGCGCGACGCTGTCGATCTTGCGGGGACGCGGCATTCTAGATGGCGAAGGCGGGGACGACGGTGTGGGTGCCTCCGAGAGGAACGCGCGCATGCGGGCGCACCAAAAGTTCGTCACAGAAAAACGGGTACAGCTCGCACGGTTGGAAGACGAGGCACGTCGCAAGCGCGAGCATGACCGGACATCCGGCCCCATGTCGCGTATGTCTGTGCGTGAGCGCGAAGAGTATGCCCGGAAACAGAACGCACAGCGCGAGTTCCAGACATCGCGCATGCTGCAAGACATGTTCAACAAGAGCTACACGCCGAACTTTAACCTAGAATACGTTGACGAGCACGGCCGAGAGCTGAACCAGAAGGAGGCTTTCCGAGGTGCGTTTTTACCTTATCCGGCTTTCACCCACCCCCCCCCCCCCTTTTTTTTTTTTTGCAAGATTTAAATGCTAACATGCACATAGCTCTGAGTCATGGATTTCATGGCAAGACCAGTGGCCGTGGGAAGACGGACAAGATGTTGAAGAAGATTGAGGCCGAGAAGCGTCACATGGCGGAGGGCATCTTGGACGCCAGCCAGAATGTCGGCATGAGCTCTGCAACGGCACAGCAGCTCAAAAAGCGCAAGGAGGCGGGCATTCGACTAGACTAAGGGGTTACATTCTGGTTACGGTCTTCCTTTTCTATCAAAATTCTACTATTCTTCTTGTAGGGAGTACGTAGTGTATATTGATCAAACCCATTCTGTTTTTCATTCCCACAGTCTCTTTGTGACCTTTTAAGTTTTTGTGCTTATTTTCCCCCTAAGTCTACCAATTTATATATTGATATATCGCATATTGCGCAAAATGACACTAGAAGTATATATATATATATATATATAACATAGCCAAAGAGACTGCTAAATGTTTACACCTCTGTCTCCACGTCCGGTGAACGCCCGGTAAGCTTGCCGACGTTCAGCACCCGGCGGACGGCAAACGTCGCCTCGTCCTTGGCAAACTGCATATTGCGCATGGGTTTCCTGTTTCATGTTAGTGCCCAAGACTCTTATGTATGGCCTGATGGTCGCTGACAAGACGGTATGATTCTTACCATTGCATTAACCCTCGGTGGCGGCGATGCAGGTCACGGTTTCGGGACTTGTAATCCTTGTACTGCTTGATGGGGTTGCTGATGCTGCTGATGCTCTTTCGGCGCGATCCTGACACACTTGTTCCATCTACGCTCTTGGAGCTATTCTGTCCATTGCTGCTGCCGGCGCCATCGCTGATCCTTGACGACAAGACACCGCCCGTAGCTCCACTGTTGGTACGACTGTGCCTGGCACTATTCGCCGTGGACGAGGCGTCGTTGATGCCCAGATCGACAGAATCGCCTGAGGGCTGAGAATGGTGGCCACTGTTTTGAGCGCCACGCATACTTCTGTGCCGGCTACTCCGACTAGCGGCGTCAGCTGTGCTGCGAATACGCGGCTCGCCATCTTCGTCCTCTTCAATATCGTCCTCGTCGAAGTCGTCTTCATCGAAGTCATCGTCGTCGTAGTCGTACGCATCCTCGTCTTCGTCATTGCCGACGTATCCAGTAGCACCGGGGCCACCGAAGTCGTTCATCGTTTCCTGACGGTTTGGTCCGCTTGGTACGCCATCGACATCGGCGCCGGTCATATTTGCGGCGGCAGTATCCACGGCAGTGGCACCTTCGGGGCGGTCTGCACTTGTGCCAAAAGCATCTGACCAGTCAGTGCCGTCCTTGGCCAGCCATTTTTGCTGGTCACCCTTGGAAGCCGACGCAATCACATCCCGGCTCTTTAACAGGGACTCGTTGTGCATCTTCTGTACGTGCTTGGGGATCTCGGCCTTGACCACCTCACCACGGACGCCTTCAGCAAAGCATGCCTCCCAAGTCTCGACGGTCTCACGCGAGTCGTTGTCGCTGATGAACTTGAGGTGCTCGAGGTCCATACCGGGCTTAAAGCGACCGCGAAACTGCAAGCGGCCGACCTCTTCAATGTCGATGTCTGGGATGGAGCGGTAGTTCTCCTCGGTTATATAATTTTGAGAGAGGCGTAGTGGGTTGTCGCATTTCCAGATGGGAATGTCGAAGCTGGTTTCTTCGTTATCGACAACGTCTTGCAGCCAGATGCTAGCATAGGCAACCTTACCGCGGCGACCGACGGGATGAAGCTCAAAGAAAATAGGCGACCGGTAACGGTACTGAACGGGCAGGCGCACACGATTGTCGCTCCTGGCCGCGTGGTCCTTGCCCTCCTCGTCGATGCCGCTAATGTCCCAGCGCAGACCATGGCCGGTCTCGGTGCGGCTGCTCTTATCGCTACGGATGTTGGCAGAGCTGCCTCCGGTGCGCAGACGCATCTTGACGCGGGACGACGGCGCATACTGTGTGGATGTAATGGAGTCGGAGAGGAATTCGAAGGTGCCGACCTCGCCGAAGCCGACTTGGGAGGGCGGCAGCGTCAGCTCGACGGAGCGGAAGAGCAGGCTGATACGGATGCGCCCGAAGCCAATGCCGCCATCGAGAGGATACCAGCGTGTGCTTTGGCTGCCCGTCAACAGTACCTCGGATAACTTCAACGGCACGACGCCAATGATTGGGTCGTGCTGGCGGTTGCGCGAGTCGCGGACGGTGACGGTGGCAATAGCAGAGCGCCAATCGCGGATGAAGCGCTCAGTACCGGCCTCAAAAATAGGCTTGGACGACACGACCTTGGTGCGCGTCTTGTACACGAGCTCGTCATTGATGATGATGGTGCAGTAGGCACTCGGCAGCCTCTTGCCCTGCTCCTCTTTCAGTTCACCAGCCTCGGGCCGCGCAGGCTCGTACTCACGGCCCTTGCGCTTGCCGTTGGATCCTTTGACATTCTCGAGCTCCAGACCGACCACCTGGTGTACAACGACACTGAGGACGCCGCTAGGCCACAGAGGGTCAGGCGGTGTGTGGACGACTGCATCCTCCTCAGGGCTGGTGATGACGCCATGATCGTCCTGGAACTTGGGGTCATCGCGCAGCTCCTTCGGCAGTGACGGGTTCTTTCCGTCGGTGCGCAGTGCGCGACGGAACTGGGTCTTGCTGAAGTAGCCCACCTCCCAATGCAGGTCACCCGGCATACTGCTCTCGGCCTTGACACCACGCAGACCCGAGACTTGTGGAAACATCTTGCCGGGATGGGAAATCAATTTCTGGATGCTCAGCTCGACCTTGCCAACAACATCATCAGCAGACGAGCGGTCGCTGTCCCATAGCTCGAGCGACAGCTGCTCATCCGCGCGGATAATGTCGGGTGTGACGATCAGGGCAGCACACTCCTCAAAGACGGGGTTGAGATCGTCTTGGATGACACGCGTGCAGTACTGCGGCTTACCAAACTTGGAGAAGGCCACGCAGATGTACGGGTCGGAGCCGCCGCCCTTCGACCCGCGGGCATCCTGCTTACTGAGACCGGTGGCCTTGTGGATGCGAATGAACAGTACGCCGAGCGCGGTTGTGTCCTTTTGGATGCCGTCGCCCTGAAGCATCTTACCAATGTCCAGCGTCATGGATTTGGGCGCGACATACATATTGGCAGCCGTGGCAATGGTCCAGTTGACAAAGTTGGAGATCAGGGGCAGGTTGAGCACATTGGCCCCCTTCTCCACCAACGGAATGCAGCTGGCCTCGATCTTGGGAAGACCCATCAGCGTGAAGCTGAGCGTTTTGACAAAAGGCGGCTCGGGCGAGAAGGCCACACGCATGCGAACCGTGCAAACCAGGCCGTTGAGCTCAACCCAGATTGGGAAAGGGACGCCAAAGAGGCCCCGGATACCCAGGTAGAAAACCAGCTGCATGCCCATGTTCTTGGCCTTTGAGGCAACGTCGCTGCCTGAGGGTAGCGAGTGGTAGGCGACGGTGGCTTCAAGGTTGTAGAACTCGCCACCCTCCTCCTCAGCTGCGGCCTCTTGCGGGTCCATGTTCTGCTGGTTCTCCTTGCGGACCTCTTCCTTGAGGTCGCTAACATGAGAGTCGGGGAGAGCACGCAAACTCAGAACGCGGATGGGATTAGAGCCTTGCGAGATGTCGTTGACCTTTACGTTATCCACGACTCCCGGCACACTGGCCTGCATGACATCCTCGAGCGTGTCGGCGACGCCGGCAAACATTTCCGGGTTAATCAGGCCCCAGATAAGCGCGAGGGCCGAGTTAAGCCACTCGACCGACTCAGGGATCAGATTAATGACAGCCGTCTCGCCCCGCTTCTGCTCGCTGGACCACTCCATGTCGCGGCCCTGGCGAATGAGGTCTTTGAACCAGAGAAAGATGCCAGAGGCCACACATATGGCTAGTGGGATCAAGCCCAGCAGGCGGCCGCCAAAGAGCTTGCCGACAAGCACAATGGCCATGAAGATGGTGGCGCACAGCACATTGGCACGCGCCTCGAGTGCGACGTACATGGGCTCGAAGCTAACGGAGGGCGTCGGGTGGAAGAGCACATTGGTCTTCTCGCCGTGGATGGGAACATCGCTCGTCGAGCCAGGCTCTACCGGATCGGGCGGTGCTGTGATGTCCTGGTTGCGGCGGTACTCCTCGCCAGACTGCGTGGCTTCGGTTTTGACCGTGGTCTCCTTATCGAGGTTGGCATTGGGCACCGACAGCACGGGATTCTGAATGGACTTGAGCAGCTTGCCATCCATGTCGTCAATCTCGACCTCACGCCCTGTGACCGGGTCGGTGACAACACGGCGTCGCTTGCCGCTGACATCGTTTGCCGTGTGGTCAACCGTCTCACCACCAGGCTGGCCAGGTTGTTGTTTCTGCAGCCGAGCATCGATTTGGGCATCACGTTGTTTTTTCTCTTGGTCGAGGTTATCCATAAACTGCTTGATGTTGGGGATGCGGTTGGCCCCAGAGTAGTGCTGGCCCGAAGGCACTATCTTCTCCTGCGTGTTCGACATTGTGTCTCAGAATCGGCGGATGGCAGAATGCCGGGCAAAGGCTTTGTGAAAAATAGAAAGGACGAAGAAAACATAAAAACGAGGGGGGATGGCAAGTTTTGTACAGGCGCCGGCAATTGGCACCAAGTAGATACAAAGTAAGAGGCCCCAAAGAAGGAAGGAGCAACTTGAGGGGTGATGAGTACGAAACTTGGCATGTCCCCAGCAACGCAAAAGAGCGACCCATGATTTCATAACTTCGGCTGCCGCCGATGACGAACTTGGCTTGCTTCGCCAGGGAGCTTCCTAGCCTCCTTGGAACGCTTTGTACCAGCTGCGGAAAATGCCAGGGCAGGTGCATGCAGTAATACTTTTCTTTCAGGCTCCGTCATGACAACAAGCGCTAATTGGCAAAGATTGGCTGCACGTCGAATGTTCAGCTAAGAAATATTCGTACGAAGTAGGCATCGGAATGTTTCCTTTGCACTGTTTCTCAAATGCTACGACGTTTGAGAGACAGTGCAAATGCTGGTAGTATTGTGGGCTATTAGTGAGTCGTCGCCGATCGGTTGCTGTTCTAAGCATGAAAGTCTAGCTCGTCCATGACGTCATTGCCACTTTTATGTGGGACAAAAACTATGGGGAATATTGAACCACCACTATATCACTACAGTGCGACACCGTGTGAAATTGTTTTTAGCAGCACTCGGGAGTCGGCTTGCAAAACATGTCATCCATCAGCTTGACATTGGCATCTTGGCTAGGTGCCAACCAAATAGACTAGCAGATCGCTTCCTAAGATCTTTGCCAAGCGACGGGACTCGATCGCGATGCAATCGAAGCCTGGACCTGGCTCACTTGGCACTATGTAGGCACTAACCGCTGACAGGTTTGGCCCGTCAAGCACTATTTCCAGGGGCAGCCTTGCGCTTTGCTAGACAACATTGGAGCAGTTCGTTCGACCAGTGTTCTCATTCACTGCATTTTCGTCGCACAAGTTTTGTTGCAACGCAAGAAAGTTGCCCCCGCCGTCTTGTCAGTCTCACCCACTCGCAATATTTATGTAACAACGGCCGCAAGGTAGTGAGTGATCTCGTACTTTTTTAACGACGTGCTCATAGCAAATATAAATCAATAGATGTAGCTCTTAAGAATCAAGTAAAATCCTTCAAACAAAACGCCTGCGCTGTGAACAATGCAAAGCGGCAATGAAATCAGTGCCTCACTAAATAACAAAGGGATAGTCGGCCCGGCCCCCCATTCCCCCTCTCGAACTCCATATCATCGCTTTCCATCTCACACGGTGTTACACGCGTCCCTCATCCCGACAAATCCCATGGTGCCGTTCTTGCGCGCCCAGCTGTGGCGGCTGCTGCCCGAAACCAAGCACCTTGCAATTGGTTGCCAAGTATGGTGGTGGGCGTCTGCATGTCCATTTCGGTGTCAGCGGCGTGGGCTTGGTTGCGGTCGCCGTCGCCAAACGTGCTGCCCTCAAGGCCGAAACCGTCGCCGTCGCCGTCGCCGTCGCAGCCGGACTCGCCCTCGCTGTCCGTGGCATACGGGGTAGGTGTGCTCTTTCGCTTGCGTGCATCTTTGGGTTTAGACGGTCCAGAGGGTACAACCACCTTGTCCGCTTCCGCAGCTGCGGTGGCCACATCGCCTGTGACAGGCATTGTGCTCGGCTCAACTGCGGAGACGTCTGAGTCTTGCATGTCGACATCCTCATTGAAAGCATTGGCGACAACCGATACAGGGTAAAGGCTGTGTGCAAAAGCGGTCGTCTGTAGTGCCAAGGGTGTCTTCAAATCCGCATCGGCGCCGGCATCCGATGGTGTTGCCAGCGCGTCAGCTTGCGACGTCGTTGGTGTTGCCGTAGATAAGGCGGCTGCTTCGGCCATCTGAGCAGCTTTGAGCGCTATCATAGCACCGCTCAGCGTTGCCTCTTCCTCCTCGTCGTGGCCCAGGGTCCAAACCCAACGGCGTTTCTTGTCCCTCCGCGGTTGTTTCCGTTTGCGGATGCCGCCTGGCGATATGGGTGTTGTTGCCGTGCTCGTGCTTGCACTGCTCGTGCCAAGACCTGCCATGCGCCGACGCATTTCTTCAAACGGCCCTGGCGTCGTGCCACCATCACGGATCTCGTTGCCAGTGTAGGCCAGAGTTAAATCCAGCACGGTGTCAGCGTCGTTCCCTGTAGGCGTGGATGTCATTGGCGAGGAAAACGGAGAGGAAAACGGCGAGGCTTCTTCACACAGCAGGTCAATGTGCGATTTGGTATATAAGTTGGTCGTGATGGTCTGTGTGAGGGGCGAATTATACATGACACGCCGAGAAGCCTTCTCGATAAGCCGCTGCGACTGCCGGCGGGCAGATGTGGGTGACAAGGCCGTAAAAGGTGGCAACGGCGAGTTCCGCAGGATGCTGTGAAGCGCCCGCGGGTGCACATATGGCGCCGGGCGTCTGGGCATCGAAATAGCTGGTACTATGACCCGACCGTTTGCCGTGGCGGCCGCTCCAGTTGTAGATTGTGAGTGGGGTGGTGACGAATGCAGGTTAGAAGGAAATGGAGTATCAATTCCTGTCTCGGAACCGGTAAAACTGCTCTCGCTGCAACTATCTGTGCTTGCCGTGTCGGCATCTCCATCCACCGGGCAGCCATCTTCAGATCTAATAAGGAAGCTTGCATTGCCTGTGTTTCCGTCACTTTGACTATGCCGCCGTACGTCGTCTGGTGAAAAACAGAACACTTGCGGCTGAGCAGTTGTCTGGTCAATAGGCCCGGCAGAGAGAGGCGGCGTAGCCGTCATCATTGTACTTGGAAAGGCAACATCCTTCGCCACTGCAGGAGACATTGGCCGTGCGGTCAGGGGCGTCTCCGGAAACTGAGTTGTCACATAAGGCGTGTGCGCACTGTGGTCCAGTCCACTTTTGCCAGGCATTTGCAAACGCGGCAGTTGAGGCAGACTCTTAGCGGTCATGTTGATGGCCGTGATGGGCTCCGCCGTGACTGGTGCAGGTGTCGATGCTGATCGATCGATGGCCGTGGAGTACACATTGGATAATGTGTTGAAAGATGTCGGCGACCGTGGATTGACGACGGCCGCAAGTGTTCGTGAGGTCCGAATGCTTGGGCCGGTAGATAGAGCCTTGATCTGGAGAGAAAGCCGCGGCCTCTTGGGGGGGCTATAGCTCGACATTGCGAAGGAGTAAACCGGGAATCGAGGAATCGCGTTGGGTTGCAAATACGGCAAGGCAATGCGCGAAACTAAGAAATTTGAGGAAGAAGAGTGCTCAAACCGACGAGGAAGTCTGACCAGTCTAGAAATCGAAACTTGGACGACGACTGCTTCCACGGTAAGAAGTCGTAAGAGACCGTCTGATCAGTAACGGGCCAAAAAAAAATAAAAATAAAATAAAATAAAATATTAACAAGTGCGCATGAAAAAAGAAAAGAAAGAATAGGAAATGGTTCGGCAGTGAGGCCTGGGCGGTTCAGTAAATCGACCAACGGACGCAAGTAATAATATTCCGTACAAAGCGGCAGCAAAGATCAGAGTTACTGCGATGGTTTGTCCCTAACGACCAGGAGCCAGGTAGCTAACCTGCGGCGCCAGCTAGGCCCAAGGGTTGTGGGAGGCAGTGTGCAGCGCTGGGAGATAGCCTTGAACTCTAAAGAAAGGGAAAAGAAAGGGGAAAGAGAGAAAACATAAAACAGCAGAAAAACCAGCCGGGCGGGGAAGGAATCATACAATATAATAAATCAGAGAGGAAGGAAGAAACCAGCGAGAGCGGAAAGACGTCGTTCAAATAAGACTGGGCGAGACGTACAGGGACAGAGTGGCACATACATGGAGACTGAGAAATAGAGAGATGTCCGGCAATATAAGAAAGGTTGGGGCAAGCAGAGAATATGTAGGTGGGAGTGATATGCAGTGGATGTGTTGGGGCAGGTGCAGCGGCTATGTAGGATGCAGAGGCCCGATGCAGCTTGGGCACATTGGATGTAAAGTCACTTTGCAAAAAGTGGCTGTCCGCACCCCGTCCACCGAAAGAATCTGGGAAAATCTGGGAGAATGTAAGAAAATCGAAGAAAATCGAAGAACACACCGCAAAGCCGGGACCAGCGTGATCAAATCCCAAGGAGAGTGAAGGAAGACAAGGAAGACAAGGAAGACAAGGAAGAGAAGGAAGAGAAGGAAGAGAAGGAAGATTGGAGATGGCCGGGTCCCCAGAGGAAGCAAGAGAGGCATGTCACCCGCGTCTAAGATGGCCCCATCACCAAACCCTTGTCGACTAAACAACGACGAACGTCCAAACAACAGACGGGGGACGAAGCCAAGCGCCAGGCCAGACCGACACACCATGGAGCCCGTGGACGCACGCCTATTTGCACCACTGGAGCGCATGGTTTAGACGCGTTCCGCAGGGGCCAAACGACCTGGCCGGGAATCGACCAAGAAGAAAGACAGGAAGAGTGGGGAAAATAAAGAAGAGGAAGAGCACAGACCCCAGAAGGAAGAGGCGCGAAGGATTCGAGAACGGCGGGCATGTGTCCTAGGAAAAGAGGAGGGGAGAGCCTGACGAAGGCCGGTGAACGATTGGATATTCAAGAGCGAGACGAGAAGCGAGGTGTGGGGAACGTACGATGTACATGAAGGGAGCACTCCATACAGATACGGAGTATATGCAAGTATGTGTGTGTATGCTGAAGAGGAGGGTGCGACGAGAAACGACAGATATGGGCGGCTGGATAAGACGGAAGAGAGAGGCAAGTGTGTATCCAGGCAGCCAGGTTATCCTCGACATCAGAAGCACGGCCTCCTTTGTAATTTGTTGTCCTCCGATTCTGTCCACATTTTCCATCACAGGGCCTGCATGTCATCAAAATCAAAATACCTCGTTCGAAACACACGACACTCCATACATCGTATTTTGAAGAGGGAATGCTGGTCATGCCACCCAAGGTCTAGAAGCGCCCAACCCTTGCACGCTGCCCCGTCCTGTCTGATTTTCGTCTTCCTTTTCCGTCCCTTCCTCTTATCACTTTTGCCCGTCCTTGCACACCAAATGGGCACTGGATACATGGGGGCCTTGTGTTTCTTGGGGCATTTTGGGGTGAGCTGGGGCCACCAGGATGACATTTGAGCCAACAAGGGCGACAGATACGACGCACTAAGCTAGCCACTCAAACGCCAGCGTCTAAATTCGCGTTCCATGACACCGTACGTCGGACGTCGCAGCGGCTGCTTGGCATGGATGCAGCAAGGTTTTTGTTTTGTTCCTTCTGGGTTGATTTGGGTTGAGTCTCTCTGCTTGCTTATTGATTCCCCCCCGGCCTAAGCTGCCTCTCACGCCCTCGACCCTTTGCCACAAAGTCCTTGTTGCCGCATGCTGGATCCATCTTACAGGCACATGTTGTGATCACCCATCGAGTTTGTATCTTGCTCCCTCGTCCCAGCTCTCAGACGACTGCGGTGTGAGTTTTGTTCCTGTGGCTTCGGCTTGGGAGAGTTCCTTTCGACTGGTTCTCGGGATTTTTGTCGACCCCGCCCCTTTCCCAGCACCCATGTTTGGGCACAAATCAAAATGGCGATTCTGTCTCAAGAGCTGCGGCCTTTCGGCGACCGTCCACACCTTTCGCCTCTCCTCTATGTCTTCTGTGTTTTGACATCGATTCTCAGTCCAATCCGATGGGTCGCTTTCGACACTAAAACATTAACCGCCGTCTGAAAGCACATGAGGCACAGCCAGAAGGATCGGAGCGGAGCATGGCGTTGCTCTCGTCACACTCCATTCGTTGTATCGCTTCTCGTCACATCACCTATCGTTCGGTCTAGCCAATCCGCGTGCGCCTGCAGCGCGAGAAGCGCCGTGGCGGCAAAGGATTCGCGTGGAATGGAGTGAATGGCTACAGTCGCCGGATTACGTCGTATTGGGTCGCTCTTTCCCCCAACCCCACTGGTCACTTAAGGTTGCATGTCGCACCCACTTAGTGTCCCCTTGCCCCTGCAGTCGCACCAGCCAATTGTAAGCGGCCTTGCTTGTTGCCAAATCCATGTGCATGTATTGCATACATCGTAATTACACTCGCTGACTCGGCCCTGCCTTTGCCAACCCCATCATTTTGTGTGTACGTCCTTTGCTTGTTCTCTACCGTCCCATCCCAAACAACATCAACTGGCTGGTAGACGACTGGGCTGACTCTGCGGCTACAAACTATGGAAAGACCCACACAGTCTTCACTGCGGTGTCGTTTCGAGGTGAACAATTACCGACTTTCGGCTGGCCCCGGTGGACCGCCATTTTGGCCGATCGTCTTCACGATATGACGGATGCCAATTCGAAGTGGCCCTGCCTGGCCCCCACAAACGCTCTTCAGGCTCCGCCTCGCCGCAACGACGGCCGCGTCATTTTGCACTTTGACTATGACTGCTTCTATGCGCAGGTTGTGCAGAATCGCGCGCCCAGCGGTGCTCTGATCGGCCGGTGCGTCGGCGTCACGCAGAAAAGTATTCTAGCAACAGCAAACTACGAAGCCCGACGGCGCGGCGTGAAGAAGCTCATGCGCATTGCCGAAGCTCGCCGCATCTGCCCGGACATTGTTCTCGTCGATGGTGAGGATTTGTCGCCGTTTCGCGACGTGTCTAAACAATTGTACCGACTGGTGAGGGATGCCGTTGGCCCCACGTCCCCCGTGGAGCGGCTAGGTCTGGATGAAATGTTTGTGGATGCCACTGCTCTCGTGGATGCGAACCTCGAACGTATCCTGGCTCATCCTGACAAATTTCGTCCACGAAATGACTTGTTTGTCATGTCCGATGGCGCCGACGGACCTCGAGGATTCATATTTGATACCGGCTCGTTTGCTGGCTGTATCGTCGGAGACGAGGACAAAGATCTGAAAACTCACGTCGCGCCGTCAAAGGAAGGTTATGCGAAGATGGACCTCCGTCCTAATACACGCATGCGGTTGCTTTTGGGCTCGCACCTTGCTGCGCATTTGCGCCATCGCCTCGAGCACGATGCCGGCTACACAGCGTCAGCCGGCATTGCCACCAGCAAGCTATTAAGCAAACTCGCGGGGAAAGTAAACAAACCGGAAAACCAAACGACCCTATTAAGTGCTGGATGGACCGGTGATGTGGAAGCCAGTGTCGATACCAGTGCCAACACGGATGTGGAGGCGAATACCGTGGTATGGCAGTTCATGGATCCACTTCCGCTGCGCAGCGTGCCTGGTATTGGTTTCAAGACGAGCAGTCTACTCAGCAGCTATTTCCTCTCTACCCGACAAGACGTACATAAAGGAGAGACGGACCTAAAGGCCCATCTAGGAGAAGACGGCGACGAACGACGGCGGGGAGGAGAAGACGCCACAGATGATGATGACTCTCCTGTGGTAACCGTTATGGATATCCGAACGTCCCCCGGCATGTCCCCTCGCCTTCTCGATTCCATCTTGGGTAGCAACAGCAAAGAGCATCGCCACAGCACTGCGAGCACACCATTGGCCTCAACCGGTAACATTCCTACGGGGTTGCGCGTATGGCAACTTTTACATGGCGTTGATGAGGCTCCCGTCCGAGGCGGTCGCGATTTGCCCAGTCAGATCAGCATCGAAGACACCTACACTGGTCCCCGCCAGGGGGCACTGCGGCCGGATGCTGCCACAGCCGTTGCCAGTGAGCTTCACAAGCTGGCCACATCACTGCTACGGCGCATGTATGTGGATCTTCTCGAGCCCGCGCCGGCAGGTGAAGTCAGCTCGAGAGGCACACAAAATGTCACATATAGCATGGCTGATGGTATCCGTAGCCCTCACTCATCCTGGTTGGTTCGGCCACGAACATTACGCTTAACGCTACGACCCCAGGTGCCACAATCGAGTGACAACAAAGAGCCAGGCAATTATTTTACGCGAATGAGCCATAGCCAACCGCTGCCCGGATTCATGCTCAGTCTCACTTCAACGCCCAAGCACATCGTGGACCGCCTAGTAGCGGGGAACCTAGTTCCCATGTTTCGAAAGCTGGCCGCATCAGTTCAGATGGGAAAACGGACCAGTTCCGAGTCTACCTCCGGACATAGTAGCGCGGCCTGGACCGTTAGCTTATTGAATGTTTGCGTCACCAATATGACCCCAGTCGCTGGTCGCGGAGGCGATATTGCAGCAATGTTCAAGCGGCAACATAACGGCTCAAACAATGGTGATAGTCTTGATAATAGCCTAGGAAACCACGATGGCCCTCGATTCGAGTACAACGACGACCGCATCACTGCTGGTGACAATAGTAGCGAAGGAGACGCTAATGATGGAGATGACGATGGCTGGGGTGTAGAAGAAGATGCTGGGGAGAGCACTTTTGAGAGATGCGAGAAATGTGGCCGTTTTCTGCCCTTATTTGCTCAGGCAGCACATGCTCGGTACCACATTTTAGGAAGCTGAAGAGCGATGGTGCCTTTACAGCCACCCTCTACTTCAAAGAACCTAGTCAGATAAAGAGTGTAAAGAACCACTAAAGCAAGAAGCGAAAAATAATAATGTAAATTTCCACATCGAGCACAAGCCCATCTGACCATATTTATACTATACAGAATTGGTACCTCAAACACCTGCAACAGTTCACCGATCCATAAAATCCTTGTCTCCATTTTCCCTTGCCATAAAGATCATTAAGTTAAACGGAATAGCCAAAAAAAGTAAGAAAGAGCCAAAATGGGAGAAAAGAAAAAGGCAAGAGATATGAAGCCAGTAGCCGGTTTTCCTGTCAACCAACTATGCGTTTTATCTTGCAAAGGCAGTGTTTGGCATGGAACGGAGCTGGTGTTCCAGCCTTTTATTTCCCTCCAGGAGATCCGATAACCAACCGGCAGCCGTTGTCAAAACAAGACTCTTGCTCAAGTTACCGCCCTGCAGTCCCGGCACAAGAATGCACAAATCTTCAAAGCCAGTCTTGATGAGGGTACGGCGCTTCTGTTCGCTCTTGATATGGTTTTCGCGCTTCTGTTCCTCGGTCAAGTTCTCGCGAGGTGGTTTGGTGGGGGCAGCTGATCGTCGGCGCTTGCTTGGTGTAGAGCCCGCGCCACCGGCATTGGCGCCAGAGTCGTCCACAGATGTTGGATCGGCGGCAGCCGGGAGCAAGTTTGGCGGGGATGCAGAAGCTTGGGATGGAGGATGGCCGTTTGTAGCAGTCTTTGCTTTCCGTTTTCGCAGTTTTCCGTTCTTCGTAAACCCGGCGCCAAAACCCGCAGAGTCACCCTCACCTTCCCCTGCAACACCGTTGGCCGATAGCGTACTCTTGTCGTCGATGTCCTGATCGGCCTCATCACCATTTGTGCCTTTTCCCTTCCGTCGCTTACGTGGCGGTGCCATCGCAAGTTGTCCGTTTGCATCGACGTCACCCAAAGATGATGCTGTTCGTGTCTTTAAATTCAATGCTGTAAATGAAGATTCATACGTGGGAGACGACGGCCGAGTTGCGCCTGTACTGTGGTTTGGCTCCAAGCACTCCATGGACTTGAAATGAACGCTCATTAAGGCCTCAGTCGTCTCCTTGTCAGACCGAGGTGTAAATTGTTTCTGTGCAAAACTTTGATCTGTGCCCCATAGCAGCCCTTGCCGGTGCACTGTTGGCGCCATGGGTGAGAGGGCCACTTGTTGACCGGCAGTTCCGTCGGCCGATAAGATCAGACTGGAAGTTTGCAAAGAGCCTAGGTCACTGCCCGCGCGGGTTGGTGCTCTTGGGGAGGTTGACAGGCGCCCCGCACCAAGTTGTGAGCCACCAATGTGGCCAACGGGCGGTAGCAATGCCGATGGTGATGCGGCAGATGTTGCAATCGATTGCGACGAGTCCGGTGCTAGCGCAAAGTCGCTGATACTCTGGTGCGGTTGGGACATATGGAGGCGCTGGCCGTAGTTAAAGCTAGAATGGCGTGTGCCGTGTTGCCCATTCAGTAAGAGTGTATTGGCAGCTGCAACGACATCATCGGATGGAGACTGGTCGACACCAACGTTTGCCCCCGGTAGCACAAACGACTGCCCTGAGCCGGAAGCAATATGAAGAGGGAGGGCGGGCGAAGAGTTGGATCGAGAAGCGGATGCCATCGCCGCTTGGTGAGGCGCCAGGCGCGAAGAAGACATTTGCCCAGGTCCAGACCCAAACATGGGTAGGTTGTCGTAAACATCTTGGGGCAAGACATGGTTGCCCAGAGACGCGTGCTGAAGGTCCTGGGGTTGGCCAAACGACGAAGACGATCCTACGAATTGGGGGATGTCAATCCAGTTTTCTGAGTGAATGGCATTGCCTGTGACGTTGTCGTTTATGCGGTCGTCGGACTTCATATTCTCGAACCAATTATTGAGGTCATTTTGCTCGGTGTCAGAGAGGAGCGGGGCGCCGGGTGCTGGTTCGGGGGCGTTCTGGAGGAAAGGAAAGTCGTCGCCAATGGAGTCTGTAGGTGTCAGATGAGTGTCAGATGAGCGTATGTAAGATGACAAGGCAATGAGGGTACAAAACAAAAGGTGACCTACACCCAAAAAACATAGGCGACTCTGAGTCTATATGCCGCCCGGAGGCCATGGCTTGGGGAGGTTGCTGTATGCTAAGCATGGGTTTGACGTCTCTCAAGACTGAGGCGGCTAGAAGGTGAAACAGCGGCGATTGTGCCCCGGATTAGCAATAGTGACAGGACAACAGGCGCGATTGGAACCAGGGTGATGTGACCTACAGCGTATGTAGAAACGATAGGAGTGAAATTTGTGTTATCCTGGCAGCCCACGCAGTCTCGGCCGTGACTGAGGGCTGAACTGTCCGGCAGGGCCGTACAACGCAGAGGCCAGGACGGTAATGCTATGGCAGAAATCCCCGGGTCGTTGGACAACGGCGTTGAAATTGTGTGTCGCAGATGATGCGGCGCGAATAGTGCAGGTTACGTCGCAGGGAGGATGCAGCGTCTGCGAAGAAATGCTCAGTGCACAGTCAAGAGAATCTGGCAGTCGTCGGTATATGTTTGTCGAGTGTCGGGCGCAGAGGCAACAGCAAACGGCGCTATGAAATATCCAAAACCAATCCCGTCAAAGAACCAGCCCGATGATATGTCGCTTGCGTTGTCTGAAGCCGGTGCGTATCGTCGTTGATTTAGAGAGGTCGTGAACTCGCGCAGGTGGTGGTTCGTCTTTTTGACCAAATGGATACCGTAATTTAGAATGGGGGCATGGGCGATTGGGGCGGACGGGCTGCGAGCTGGAAGAAGGATAACGTCGTCTCGGGGACAAAAGATGGCGATGGTATTCAAAGAACTACCAGAAGTATAAGTTGGTATTGATAGCGAGAGTCGAGCCACGAGAGTTGGACGGTGAGGAAACGTGAAGTGCAAACGCTGTCGCGGGGCGAGGAAAATTGTGCGCATGTGAAAGGTGAACGGGAGGTGGGCAAGAACGAAAAGATGGGGACGAAGGCCAGACTTGCTTTGTCGTGCGGGTTTTGCGGGTGTGGAGAGGGCGCGGCAAGCGAATGGGGGGCCGTCTAATAACATACGGAGAGGCACATACTGTGTACAGAGACCTGAGCAGGCAAGCACCACTAATGTGTTGTAATACGGCCAAATTAGTTGGTAATTACGACAAGTCTTGCATTTTTTTTGCTTTGGGGAAGGCACTGGGAAATGGAGAAAACGGGGGCAAGTGGGCTGACGGCACGGAACTGTGGGCGGGCAGCCAGCAGTGGTCGTAAGGCCGTTTCCAACCAGGGAAGGAAGCGCTTCGCAGTCTAGCACGCTTCGGGCTAGCCTCGTCCGCAGGGCCTAAGAATAATATGGAGCACTTCATGGGGAACCAACACGCGCTGACGCGGTATGTTTGAAAAGGACCCTAAAGTAAAACAGCCCAGACAAAGACGTGCTAAACGCAGCCCCGGACTTGAAGTGGACAAAGGCCAGCCAGCCAGCCGATAAGAAACACGACGATATTCTCGTTGCTATCGCAGGTACTTTTGTCTATTAGCTTCGTAGAGAGACACCGTGTAATGAACGAAGAAGTACGGAGAAGGACGGGGAGGAGAGTGAAGGAAGGCGGCAGGCGGTTCGCAAGCCCAGACTGGACTGCAGATCGTGCGGGAAGGGAGGGCGGGGCGATGGCAGAGAGTTAAGTGCGCCTGGGGAACGAAAAGGCAAAGGCGCATTAAAGATCTGGCGTTCTCCGCACCATACTCGCTAAGGCACGGATTCCCGTACAGGGACGGTCAGCGCCAGATCAAGAAAAAGAAACGGAAAGCACTCCAAAAAGCACACGACAGCGAAAGGGCGGCAAGGATGACGAACGGACGAGTCCAGGAGGACCAGGCAAGGGCAATATCAGCTAATGTTGCAGCACACAGGGGTTGATGCACGGACAGGCCAAGCTGGCAGGGGCAAAGTCTTGTCGAGCAACAACCTGGGATCGGCAACAAGAGAATCGAAGGAGAAAGACGACAAGGACGGTCCCTCGGTCGAGGGTGCAAGAGAAAGGTAAGGAGGCACGTCGAGGACGGTATGAGTGTCTGGAAAGCCAACGCAACACTTGATGTACGAATTGTAAGAGCTCGTCCATCTCATCCGAAGTATTTTAGCAGACATGTCTTGGTAAGGCGGTTCGTAGGACGTTTCTTCAAGAGGCCTACTGTCATCTGTGGATATTGCGGGGAAGCAACAGATCCTCTGCTAATGGGGCATGGACCGGTTAGGGCACAAAAGCCACTTGGGGAGACGACACCTTTCATCCCGCTTCCCTCCCCACGCCAAAGCATGCATGAAAGGCGGCGGCATTACCTCGCACACTTGAAGAGGAGCGTGGCCTCAGCGGCCGTTGTCAACGGGCTTCACATGCTTTCGGCTCGCCTCCCTTCTGTGTCCATGTCCCCGGACACCGATTCATATAAATAATACACCGGGTACGCGTTGTTCTCCAGGCACGGTGGTCGCACAGCTCCCCAAGACATATGTTTTTGTCTTTTTTTGGTTCATAAAATATCCAACAGATTAAAACAGACGGGTTGGCTCTGGCGTACGTGGCGAATTCAAGCACTGTTTTGCAGAGCCCCTCGCTGGCTCTAATGTTCCCCGTTTTCACATGCCACCGAGAAGAGACAACCGCCGAGCCGACGCTTGCCGAATTCGGGAATGGCGTCTGTGTGTAATAATACCCGTCAAATGCGACTGTTTCTTCAGCTGCGGAAGTATGAGCTACTTTGGTCCCATTTTATTTGCATGTACTAGAAGACAGAAAGAGTTCCAATTCGTCGACGCGCTTCAATGCTGACATGGGTTGTGACCACAGCTCCTAATTACTCCGTGCTCCTACATACGTTGGGAGTTCATAAATTGTGCCGCAGGAGGGACTCCTCCTTTGTTCGGAGTAACTTTTTCAAACGACGAAGCGCGATCCACTTCTCCCGTAGACAACGACAGGAGCGCTCCTTGTCAAGCCGCTGCCCGCCGTTAAGTCCCGAAACACCACAACCTGCTTATTAGAACCCGCCCCCAAGCCTACGTCGTAGACGCGACGCAGCTAGTGCCCCCAAATGGTGGAACTGGCGCTTTCTTTCACGTGCCAGCCGTGACGGTAAGACGACCCCGTCCTCGACGAGCATCATGAACACGGACCACAACCGCAGACCACACTCATACGGCAAACGAACTGCGACGGGTATTACGCTATCCGGCATTGAGGCCGCTTCGAACGCTGTCCCAGGTCACGGCGTGTTTTGCTGCCACAATTGCTATTGCGGCCGTGGCACTTCCCTGTGAACTTCAATGTGAGTTGCACGCATACACGTACATTTTGCGTGTGCGCACTTGACGCCACAGTTTGCTCGTGAACGCGTCAGGTCCCTTCCTCGCCTGCCCTGGCCTTCCTTGGTACATCGAGTCGGCCCCGAGAGCGCCGTATATCAACCTGCGGAAAAGGGGCGGCGAAATGGTGGATGGCAGCACTGGGTACATGTGAGCATGGCCCGTACGGGGTCAGACCCAGTACCGACCGTCCCTCGATGCTACTCTAGTCCGAACTGTGGTTTCTCGCATCTTTGGGGTTGTTTTATTTTATTTATTTATTTTAAAAAAATTGGCGCTGTTTACGAAACTAACTGCTACAGACTTTCTTTCCCCTTTTTGCTTCACCCTCACCCTCCTCCCACGATACGGGAAACATGTCTCTAACGGCCCATCCGGCCGCACCCTTTGCGGCCTACCGGTCACCGCAAGGGCCGCGAATACTTGATCCTCCAGCATGGTCCAACGCAGCATCAGTCCCGCAGCATGGCCGCTCCAGAGCAGGCCTAGACGCAATCATCCCGCCTCAGCTTCGTCCGCTCGTGAGGGCCTATCTACTTGGCTATGCATCTAGTGTCGCCCCGCGTCTTCTCACCGTATTCCTTACATACTTCACCGCGCACCGCCGCCGGCGTCGGGGTCTCCCCCCTGTTCAGTCTGAAAAGGCGTCTTTTGCATATCTGCGTGACACGGTGCGGCATATTCTAGGTGCTGGGCTAGAATGGCGGCGCTTCCCGACATTTTGTGCCACACTTGTTGGCGGCAGCACACTTCTCGAGGTACACCACAGCTCTGCTTTCTCTAGCCCCGTTGAGTTTCAACTCTTTCCCGTAAACAGACTCTATCTGGCTTGATGCACATGCTAACTCGGGCCCTACAGGTCCCTTTTTGTAAATTGCTGGCACGGTATGCACCGGGTCTCTCCATTGTCGCGCGCGCACGGCTCTCTCGTTGGCTTGCCTCGTTTGTGGCTGCCTATGGCGGGCTACGTCTCCTACAACTGGGGCAAACGCCAGGATTCGCGAGAACTGTTGTTGTTAATTCCGATGTCAATTCTACAACTCAATCAGACAAAGCCGATGGCACCAAGACAACGGCTATCGCCGGTGCTGCCACGCCGGCCACCCAATTTACCAACGTTACCATACCATATGCAGGTCGCACCCTTGATCTGACGCTCTTCGCTGTCACGCGCGCGGTCGATGTCATTGTGGGGGAACTATGGGCACGCCACAAGGCTCGGCGAGTTGCCGCAGGGTCATGGTCGAGTCTGGAGGTTTTGATTGGCCGCCTTATCGATCCAGCCATTTTCTCCATGTCGTCTGGGCTGGTTATGTGGGCATGGTTCTATGCTCCGTCAAGGCTACCACATGCGTACAACAAGTGGATCACATCCGCTGCTGCTGTCGATGCTCGCCTCATTAACGCTCTCCGCCTCTGCCGTAACAACCAACTGCAGTATGGTAAGGATTTGGGGCCCGATGCTCGTGTTCTTGAAGGCATGTCGCAGGACTACGGTTGGCCGCTCTCCTGGGGCGATCCGGCAGTAACCGTACCTTTTCCTTGCACCATGGTCCACATGGATTGCGGTCCATCGTGTGAGTATCACGCATTGATGCGCATGTGGCGGTCGTGGCGTTGGTCCATGGCCACATATCTACCACTGAGTTTGCTGCTCGTCCTTCGCAAGCCAAACAGGAATCCTCGCGGTGTCTTAAAAGCCATTCTGTCAGCCATACGCTCATCAGCCTTTCTTGGAACATTTATCACGCTCTTCTTCTACGGGGTCTGCTTGGCCCGTACTCGCATCGGACCACTCATTCTCGGCACGTCTGTCGCGGCTCGCCAGACCATTGACTCCGGCCTCTGCACTGCAGTGGGTTGTGGCCTATGTGGCTGGAGCATTTTGATTGAGCGTGCCAGTCGACGCAAGGACATCGGTCTCTTTGTGGTACCACGCGCCTTAGCTACTATGTTGCCCCGACGCTATCCCCTGGACAAGCAGTGGCGCGAAACATTGGTGTTTGCAGCAAGCACTGCCGTTGTCTTCACGGCCATCCAAGAAAACCCCAAACGTGTGCGCGGCGTCATGGGCGGGGTCCTCAAGACCGTTCTCATGCCGTAAGTTCATGCATGTTGCCCTTCGGCTCCCCAATTTCCCATATTTCAGTCCTTTGTTTCTTCCGTTTCTTTCTTTTGCGTCTTCTTTATGGACGTTTTATTCTTGCATGGTTTTCTCTCATCTTTTATATTTTATTCGGCGTTGTTCTTAATGTATCCCTACCAAGATACACGCACAGTTCTAGAATAGATGGTAACGTGACGGTCAGGTCCTGAGGTTTTCAAGGCATCGTGATGCATCAAGTCTAGGCCGAATGGCTGATTAGGCAAATGGATATGGAAAACTTGCACAGTATTGTATAAAGTAATAAAACGCTGTTCGGTTTCTTTTCATTTTCTTATTTTTTCTCTCGTTTTTTGACTTGTCTACAACGGCACAAGCTCTGCCATTTACGACCGTAGCCATGAGCAGACACCCAAGACAAACACGCACACCAACAGATCAGATCGCACGGTACCAAATATCTGCCAATACCGCATAGCAATCTCCACATTACGCTTGATGGCAGGTGGCAGAAATCCCATAGCCATAGCAACGATGCCACCGGCAAAGGTACTCCCCGCACTGCCGCCACTAGCATCTCGTTCTAAGAAAAGACGACTCGTTAAAAGGATTGTCTCTGCGGTGGCGAATGCGTAGAAGAAGTAGCGCTTCTGGAGAGCAAAATTGTCGGCTGCAGGGCCGTGAACAACTCCGACAGATCCTACAGCATGTTCTGCAGAGGCAGCATCGCGCTCAATTCGCGTACCGGTAAATGGTGTAGCAAGTGCGACGTAGAGACCAAGGGCAACAGCAACGGCAAAGTGGACAAGACGCCACAGTGCTGCCGACTTGCTTGGCTTTGCCAGAGCCTGCTGTTGCTGGCCTGGGGGCCCCATTCCTGGAAACGCAGGGAATCCAGGAAAGCCGGGTCCCATGCCCGGCATACCAGGCATACCAGGGAATCCAGAACCCGGTCCGCCTTGTCCACCTGGCCCGCTTGCGGCTCCGCCCATAGACAGCATCATCTGGGATAGCATAGCAGTGAGCGGATCACCATCAACACCTTCGCCGCCGTTGCCACCAAGGTCCGGGCCGGCCATTCCTCCAACCCCGAAAGAATCGCCGCCGCCACCTGGACCATCACCAAAGGGAAAGGGGTTCGTTGGCTGTTGCCCTCGTTGCTGCTGCGCAAGCAGCAACTGCCGCAGATGTGCGTCGGCAGCGGTGGCATCATGTGGTGATGAGGTGTTGGTCGGCCGTGGCGTGATAGTAGGCTGGTAGAAGTGGTCAGAAATGTCAACCTCGTCTGGGTCGTCATGCTCCTGAGAGCTGGTTTGAGTCGCACTCCGGGGCGTTAATTGGGGAGGATCTAGTCCATTATGTTAGCAAATTCAGTGGTGTTCGCAGCTCTCTGAAACCACCCTCTCATCTCCAAAATCCAAGTGCCGTGACTTTGAGTGCTCACCCCGTTGTATTCCTCCGCCAAGACCGGAAATCTTGTTCAGTCTCGTTGAGCCACTGGCCTTGATCTTTGCCTCGCGGCGTTCTTTGCGACGGCGCGCTTGTGCGGCGGCTACATCTTCAGGGTTTGGTGATAAGGACGCGTTTTCTGCCATGGCGAAGAAGACTGTCGATTTGTGCCACAAGGCCACTTTCGGAGTAAAACCTAGTCTTGGGACGTTGAAGTGAAAGTCGGTCGTCTTCGAAATTTGGCTACCTAAGAGGATTGGTGCCAAGGTAATATCTGCAGTGGGTGGGTTGTGGGTTAAGTGCTGTCACGTGGCGCGAGTACTCACCTATGTTTTGGTGTAATATGTGGACTCATTTTTTACAACATACGACATACGACGTAATACTGTCACTCCACATTGATTCTTACAGCTTTCCTACCCTCGACCGTTCCAAAACATACTGCTCACCAGCACAAGCGTATTCAGTTGTCAATTTTCCACGGCGGGCTTACGACTTTCCTGTCATCAGGCTAATAATCAAGCGTCGTGAATTTGTAAGTTATGAAAGTCAGCGGGCGTCTCTACGCACGATGTGCTTGCCATCGCATTAGATGCACTCAACGGTTGAAAATCTCCGTCCATCAAAAGGCGGGCATACGACTCTGGCCCCTTAGGCAACATCTGTGTCAGTGTATGCCCAGGCACCGTCCTGCGGCCTACAGCCTCGTAAGTTCTCCCAATATTCGAGAAGAATCCTTATGGGGCTGCCAGCATTGCGAAGCACATCTGAGATTAACGACGTCCTCGGTGCACAGATAACCCAGCTACCGCACGAATAGGAGGAGCCCTAGAATCATCGCCGTGAAATACCGGTCTGTCCGGTCCCAGGCGGCACCTAGCACGCCCTCAGACCAACTACTAAGTAGGGATATCTGTGGTTGGACAAACTTGGTTGTAAGCGCGTACTAGAGCTAACAATAGTGAGGCGCGACCAGCCTGCGGCCCAGGGGCCTTTCCTTTGTACAGCGGTTACCAACACGCTCTACGAACGTCTGGAGAGACGGACAGGATGTCATTTCCTGCGGCCATACGTCGATTTTTGCCTCGCGCAGATCGGCCGTAGCAGGCTCTCTTGGACAGGGTCCGAACGGTGATGACAAGCTGCTAGAGCTTGAAGTACAGCAAGTGCCCGGTTGTATGAAAACCAATGCAGTTTGCGCCAGTAATGACCACTTTTCCCGAAAGAACCCAATTAAACTGGACGGCGATAAACACAAACTTATCTCGTAGACACGCTATGCAAGATAATATCACTGGCAAGGGAAAGACCTCGATTAGGATAGGAGTGTTTAGGCGTCGGGCTTGCTGGCATCCTCGGAGGGCCGTGTCCGACGACGCGGTGTCTCCCGTATAGCCCTTCGCCAAGCCAAATCTCTCGCTACTCTAAACAAGACCGAGCAATTTGATCATCGCGGGACTAGCACGTTGAATGTGAGCATATAGTTTGCTTATCCTGCTCTCTATGGTCGTGTCACTTACTGATGTCACAACCATTGCTGTCATGAAGCAGGCCATATCCCCTGTCGAGCTTTTCTTCGGCGCCGGATCCGACGAGCCAGAGTGGTGTCTTGACACGTCACTATTGCGCGATGCCGCCTACCAGCACGTTGACCATATTCCACCCTGGCTTCCTTCGATACAAAACGCCTCTTACACCGGGTAGGCAGAACAGCCACAATGCCCTTCTGCGCATGACAGAAAGCAGGCGGCTTTTGCTAAAACTAATCCGGCTTCAGGATCTAGTATCAACAAACCCCACCGTCTACTCGTCCGGGCCCTCGCAGTCGCGCTTTGCAAGGGCAAGCAACCTCGACTCTTGTCTGACAGATCGACAGCCTGTTTCCAGAGATTGGTCCCTTACAGATAATTCAAGTTTCGTATACGACAGCTTCTATGGTGCGCTTCAATTTAGCTGGTGCTCACGTTGCAGACAATCGACTTGCCAGGGTATTACAATTCCCTCATATCTTTGTCGCAGCTATCAATCTCATTCAAACAAACCCACGCGGAAATAGCTTCCAAGTTCTATCAGCATACGCTTATCGAAGCGCGTTACAAGTTACGCGGACTCTCGCGCATGATGGGCAACCTGGGTGAAACTCCGCCCGACTTCCATCCAACTTTTCTGTACAGCCGTCTTTCTCGAGACATATGACGGCAGACTTCGCTTTTTGGCTTTTGCATTCCAATGTAAGGAATCCTTACAGGCGTGGAACACTTGGGAAGTCTCAGTTTATCCCCCAAAGGGACCACCAGAAAACGACAGCTCCACAAGTTTGACTTGTGGGCTAGATTCGTTGTCGCCGCAACTGTATTGCGAACGAACGCATTAATATCACGAATGGCTACGCATTGAGCTCCCGGACACAACCCAGATCGTCCATTGTCAAGCTGGGACACTGTGTATACTATCCTGTATTGTTTTCAAAGGGTGGCACCAGTACTCAATGACGAGCATGTCGAAGCCGTAAACATGACACTCGTTAGCCCGTCCCTCTCACTTTATCGTTACACGATACCAAACCACTTCAGGTCTTCTTGCGGGTGCACTGGCACCGTGTGGCCAACGCCCTCGGCGGAGTAGGCCACAAACTTTGTTCCGTCTCCAAATACCATTTCAGTGTACCCGGCCTGCGGTGTCGCCGTCAAGTTTTTCACGTACGTCACATCAAGCAAAGTACTCCATTCCTTGATCTGCTCCTGGAGATTTAGGTAGCTCACGAACGTGTCGGCATGTCCGTGCCACGTGGCCAACCGAGGGTAGCTGCCATTCCATCCTGGATACATTGCGCGAACCTCGGCAGCCCACTCGGCGCCACTCTTGACAATACGGCCAGATGCACAGTTGGGATTTGCCGTAGACGGGCTCGACCCTGGGCTCCCTGCGAGGCATCCTGCTGCAACTCCCGAATAGCAGGTAGCAGCTGCGATTATGTCCGGATAAACGGCCATCATGACGTTGGTCATCATGCAACCAGACGATGAGCCGGTAGCGAAGACCTTGGCCGGATCAGCGCCGTATTTTGAGATTGTATAGCGGATCATGTTGGCGAGAGTCTGGCTGTCACCACCGCCCTCGTGCATGAGAGATTTCTTGCTGGCGACATCCCAGCACTTTCCAGTGTTAGAAAGGCATTTCCGCTAAATAAGCTAACTCAGTAGCCATTAGATGTGTCCTTACATTATTATCGTGCGTTGTCGTTGGGTATATAACAAGAAATCCCTTAGCGTCGGCCAGTGTGGTATATCCAGACATCTGCAAGTACTGCTGTCCTGTTCCACCACAGGTGTGCATCTGTGTAGGTTAGCAAAGTATGTAACAGAACCAATTCTTTCACGTATTATACATACTGCAAGTATGACAGCTGGATTAGTGGCTAACTTGTTGGGGACGTATATCGACATCTGCAGCCCTGTCGGGTTATCACCGAAGTTGCTCACAGACACAAGAGCCGCTTGCGTGCTGGCAACGAGCGCGGCCGTGGCCAGTGACAGGTGCTTCATAGTTTTCATAGAGAGTAAATAGTAATATGACACTCTGGATAGAGGGGTTGGTAAGGGGACATTGAAATTTTCGCTTTTCATACCCTCGCTTCGACATATGCGCCTCGTAACAGGGGGCAGGGGGGGGCAAGTGTTATTTTATACACAAAATTTGCGAGCCTCTTCTCCTTTGGATCTCTTTTGATCTGCTATGTAATTTTCCTTGCGTCTCGATATTGATTTGTATTTTTATTATGTTTTTTTGATTAAGTTCATTTACACTATTCCTTTATACCTTTTTTTCTCTGCCCTTATCCCCCTTCTGTAGTACCAATTACTTCTAAACAAATTTCACCAACAAAATATCCCTCCCACAGCCCCGAAAATGAGCATATTTTACAAACGACCACAGCAGCGTAAGCGATAAGATGGATGGTGGGTCCCCGACGGTCCGAGGACATATTAGAAACAAAACCAAGCCGGAGAGGGTTCGACAAGCCACGGGATTCGGCATCGATGTTCGGAATTGATAGAAACTTTCATCGGTGGCAGGAATCGAGAATCGGCATCTATGGCTAATTTGTCCTCCTCTATCTACAAGAGGATGCTTGCACCCATTTTCCTTGGTCAATAGAAGGCTCCTTATATTCCCGTTGATATACCTGCCAGCCGTTTATATATTAAGCAAAATAAGCAAAATAGATACATAAGTTATATTTGGTGGCCCGGCTATTCACCAATTTGGCGAAGCAAGAACAGTTAATTTCCACGGGATGACACCGGAGCTTGGGCTTTAAGCGGCAACCCTGTCAACTAAATATGTAGAAAATATACAGGTCAATACTGGTGACCCTGGAAACGGGCATCCATATGGAGCATACTGCATGGATTTAAGGGGGACTATAAGACCATGCTTCGATTGGCTTATTCTATTTAGGGCACCTCTACATACAATCCGCTATTGATCATGGGACATTTTGCATTCCTTGCAAACTACAGACCTAAAATGCGTTGACTGTCGGAGTAGTCCCTTGCCGCGTCAACGGCTGAGATGACATCTACGGTGTAGCCTTACTCATTGCAATCAGGCGCTTGACTCCGACCTATGCAAATAAAACCATTAGTTCATAGCACGTTATGAAAAGGAGAGTTATTAAATGTGTAACATACCATCCAGTGACCGCACTCTTCCGACTTTTCACGGTGGATGTCGACCTGGAGCTTTTGGGCCGAGTCATAGGCCTTGCTTTCCAGGGCAATAGCGAGATCGTGAAGCTGCTGGATCGTATCATCCTTGACGAGCTCTGCGTTGTTGAGGTGATCGAAAAGAAGGTTTAGACGTTTCCGGGTGTCATTCACCTGCGGCTTAAAAGTTTCTGGAGCCCGAGCCGCGACTCGCTGTAGGTCGGATTCCAGAACCTGCACAAGCTTTTGGGCCTTCGGCGGGATGTGAGACCGATCGCCGGCAGGATATTTACTCTTTCGTAGCAGCGGACCAGTGGTCTGCGGCGGCGGGGGCGTGGCAGTTGCAGCAGCTGAAGGCGTAGCACGAGGGGGTCCACCAGCGGACAGATGAGGTCCAACGGGTGGCGGACCGGAGGTGCCAAGACCTGTATCAAAGGCTGGAGGTGCATATTGGCCTAGTGCTGCTGCTGGAGGTGGAGCATATTGGCCGGATGGTGTACGAGCAGAGCCAGGAGGAGGTTCGACTGATGCCCCGTTTTGCGTAAGTCCTGCCGGGGAGCCTTGTTGTGCAGATGGAGCGGGTGCGTATCGACTCGGCGGTGGTGCTCCTGTTGGAGGCGTATTGTAAGGGGAGTCTGTCCGAGGAGCCGGGCGGTTCATACTAAGACTCGGAGTACTGCCGGTGGCAGGGGGCGGTGGTGCGTACGCATTTGCGACTGAAGACGTGGGACGAGGCGGCGCATTGGTCGTACTTGATGGCGGGCCAACAAGAGGGGAACTCACACGGGGGGGTGCTGGACCCTTGGGGGGAGGGGGAGGCGTGGAGCCACCTCGGGAGCCAGCACCATAGGGGCTGTTGGGCGGCGGCGGGCCCGAGAAGGTCTGCGACCCGAACGGTGCTGTAATAGGTGCCACGCTCGGTGTTGTCTTTCGTATAGGTGCCTTTGTGACCATGGGAACATCATTCCAACTACCTACATCCTTTGCCTTAGGCGGGGGAGGCAGACTTGTAGGGGTTGCGTTGCGTGGAGGGGCACCGTATGGGTTAGCAGACGGTGCTCCGTACGCGCCGAGTGGAGGAGCATATGTGGAGGTCTGCTGTGGCGGAGCATAACTTTGGCTAATATACGATGGGGCTGCCACAGCCGGGTAGGGTCCATGTTGAGGGATACCGGCCGGTGCATAGGGACTGGATGACGCCAGAGGAGCTGGGGCGCTATATGGATTCGTCGGGGTGACGCCGCCTTGGACCTGGTTTGTCAAGGGCGGTGGCGCGGGGTAGCCAACACCTACAAGCGGCGTTCGAGTCGCTGGAGTCCTGCTTTGTCCTGCCGTGGTAGCACGTTGTACCGGGGCGGATTTCTGAATCGCAAGTTTGACACGGCTGCGCGCCAGTTCAGCCGCCTCGTAAGTCGTCGGGACGAGATCTAGGTACTTCTGTGCAACAGACATGAGCCCGGTGGACGCCATGATATCGGCGTACTCGATGTACTTGTCGTATAGCGATGCAAGCTTCCAGCCTGAAGCGAGAGTGGCTTCTGGGTCGCTGAACTTTGTAACATATCGGAAGACAGTGACCTTCTCGATGAACTGCTGCAGCGATTTGGCATGTACTGCGAAAGATGAGTCCTCCATATTGTCCTTGACTCCAGCTTTTTCAGCTTCTTCCAGCTCTGTAATCCAAATTTCCACCACCTTTTCTAACTTTGAGCCGATCAGGTAGCAAAGCGAGGCGTCTTTGCGCGAGCCAGCCTCAAGAACGCGATCGCCAAGACCTTCGCAAAAGTTAGGAAATTCGGCAGGTTTTGCAAATGTGCAGAGTGTCGCCAATGACTCTTTCCAGTTCGCCAAATCGGCGTTGTGGACGATATCCCAGAGGTCCTCGGAAATGACTGAGCCAAGCAGCCGGAGGTAGCTTGGCGAGCCACTGGCCTCAGCTAGGTATGCTGTCTGGACCTTCTGAACCAGGTCCTTGCCACCACAGTTGGCAATAACGAATGCGTCGGCGATGCGATTTTCCCGCAGGCAGATGTCAACAGCCCGCGTAAAGTTGCCTAGCATAACCGCCTTTGTTATGACGTCTTCCAGAGCAGTGTTACCCTGACCGAGCAGATGGAATGGCTGCGATAGCTTGACACCCTTTTCGCGAGACAGACCAGCCAGAAATTCGTCATCACCGTCAGCATCTTCCCCATCCCCAAAGAGATTGGACATGCGGTTTTCCTTTTTCTTTTCGCCAACCGCGTCTTTGGATGGCCCACTCTCTGCATTTGTAGCTGCTTGCCTTTTGTCGCCATCGGTGTCAGGAGCGTCTGTTTCGGCATCGTTTTGCGTAAAACCGAGCCGGCGAATGACTTTATGACGAGGGTTTTCGTCGATAAGAGTTTCAAGCACCTCCCAATCCGCCTTTTCTTGGTCGGTTTTGGCGCCCTCAATGTGCTGTTCGCAAATAGATTTCACATCACCCGACTGAAGAGCTTTTTCAAATTTTTCGGTGGTCGGGGCAACGTCAGAGTCAGCCGAAAACCGCTCAATATGAACGGTGGATGATTGGGGCTGCCCAGCGGGCGTGTCGTTCAGGGTAAAGTAAACAACTTTGCCTCCAAAACCAAACGCAGCGCCGATAGGCTTCAAGTACCAGTTTGGGGGGGTTGGCAGAGAGAAGTTCACAACCGAAGGAGATGCATGAGCAGTTGCAAAAAAATCTTCGGCATCCATACTGCTCTGCGCTGCCACCTGTGCATCGGCCGAGTTGTTCGTGGTCTGTATCGTCTGTATGGATATCTTCCCGTCGAAAGCAGCGGTGGCGCTCAGATTTGGGTTTTCGGGGTTGAAACGCGTCAAAAAAGCCCAATTGGTCCCCTCTTGAAGCTCACCAAACATGTCACCGGTGTTTGGATTCCACACTAAGGTACGGTTGTCTTTTCCACAGGAGATCATTATATTCGGGTCCTGTGTACACCACGAGAGAGACAGTACGCCTTGCTCATGGCCTGTTAGTGTCTTTTCCGGGGCATTGGAATTGCGCAGGTTCCAGAGATAGATCACGGGCGTGTTGTCGTCGGGGGAAGCAGTGACGAGCTTTGTCGAGTTCGTTGGATCCCACGCAATGGCACTGACAGCCTTACGGTTGTTGTTCAGTGTCAAGGACGCCTTCTTCGTCTTGACGTCCCACACGGTTACCAGTCCACCAGAACTACCACTTGCTAGTATGTGGGACACCTTCTTGTTCCAGGCCAGACATTCGATGTCGTCCACACGGGAGGCAGCGGCGTTACCGAGCCGGAACGGGTTCTGGATATCCTCAACATTATAAATGAAGAGCTCGCCGTTTGCGCCAGCCGTCGCGAGGATCTGGGGCTTCAATGGGTTGAACTGGACAGCCCTAATCGCGCCGCTATGCTTTGTAGCACGTTCAATATGCGCATCGGAAGCCCCGGTCGCAAGCTTTTCGGCATCCCAGAGGTCGAGCGAACCGTTCTCCAAGGCACCAGCAATGATACCGCGTGGATGGTCGGCATCCGGCGGGCCCCAAGCAATGTCGTAGAACCTGTCATGAGTAATTAGCGCAACATTACAGGTACAAGAAAAGCACTCCGCACTAAGAAAGCCCCATAGTGATGGCGGTGAGACTTACCTCGAGTCCGTGCTGATGCTGTGGATGGGTTGCAGCTCGATTGCGTGGCCCAAGCTGTCTAGGCTCAGATCCCAGATTTCGAGCTTTGTCTCATCGGAGAAGTCAGCATCGACAGCGCCGGCGCGAGTCCCGCTGACGAGAAACGGCTTGCCAGTGCCAGGCGACCATGCAAAAACCGCCGTCCGCGGGATCTCCCTGAGATGCACCATTCTGAAACGGGGAAAAGAGGGCGGGTTGATGGATGCAAAAGGAGATCGAGTTGCCGGGGTGGTAGCTTTGAGTAGGGCGGGCTGGAGGTAGCTGTGAAGGAGGGAGGAAGAAGTGTGATGGGTAGACGAGAGGTAAGGAGCTGGGCTTCGAGACGATGCGTAAAAAATCTACGACGTAGTCTCCCAGGGAGTCGACGACAAAAGGGGGGTACGACCGTGAGCAAGCTTCGAGAAAGAGCCAGCCTGGTCGATTGCGGATGAAGTAGGGTAGACGGGATAAGAAGTATGTCGTAGAGCAAACTCCAGACCCTGTCTCGATTTTGGAAGTAAAGGTGTGTGTGTCCTGTTCTCTTGGCCCGGTCGTGGGTTGCCAAGGCCGTTGTGGGAATGATTGAGTTGTCTGCTGTGTTGGCCTTTCTGGCATGTTGCCAGGGGCCAACGGGCAATCTCACGTGACAGCACTAGCCACCAAGTATGGCTGTAGCTTTGCCCCACAACTCCAGCACAATTGCTTAGTTCTGATAAAAACATATATTACTGGACGTTGGAGCTTAGTTTGTGCCTGGCCTGGCCTTGTGATGTTTTAATTCTGAAATCCCGTTAACTTGCACTTCCTGTCAGTTGCTCCAGCGTACATTACCCGCCCCCCTAGATAATTGGACCCGAAACCTACGTTGGCGGGAAAGCAAACCTCTTTTGACGGCCGTTTGAGCATGACGGACACATCCCGGTGGAAGGCCACGGTCTATGTGGGCGGTCTTGGGCCGCAGGTGACCTTGGCCAATTTGCACGACGCCTTTATACCATTTGGCGACATTGCTGATGTTTCGCTCCCTAAAAACGATAGGCATGGTAAAATCGACCGAGTGAATGGCACGAACGAAGACAGCTCTGTCGCAGACGCAGACGCAGGCACTAGTAGCCACCGTGGGTTCGCATACGTCGAGTTTGAGGATGCCGACGATGCTACAGAGGCCATTGACAACATGGACAAGTCAGAATTTTTCGGTCGGAATATCAAGGTCATGTCTGCCAAGGCACCTAAGACATCAAGCGAGGGTTTAGGAAGCAGAACGGCTCTCTGGAACCAGGTAGGTGCATTCCTAACCACACCCCCGATGGCCATTCCATTTGCGTCTTGCTGCACATCGACGACTAACTGTCTATTAGGAGGCTTGGATCGCACAAAGTACTGCCGCTGAGGATGGACAATTAGCTACCAAGCTGGGCTCTGGTAATGACCCCGAGGCAACAGAGGACTCGATGCAAGGGCTTGAGGGCCTGGATGTTGCTGGACCGAGACCAGAATGAACGGGCGAGGAGAAGCATGGCAGGTAGGATGCGGTCAGGATACGCTTGCAACATGGTTTTGTCGCGATTTGCATTACGGGACCGAGTCGGGACTAAATACGCTGCTTGGCAATTAGCAACATCGGAAGAGGACAATGTTAGACCGTGGTCAATTGGGCCTGATGTAATTCGGTTTGGCCTAAGTGATATATACGCGTACAAAGAGGGTGAGCAGACGGCCAATATTTAGTCTTCGTCACGCCCCTTCTAAACACAATGCAATTCGACTCCCATGATCTCCTTCCCCAGGAAACACCCGCCAAACGAAAGCTACCGGCTGCAGCAGCTAGCTTTAGTGGTGTTCGGCCTCTGCAACGTGCTCGGCGGCACGGTTCTGGCGCTTCAGGCGGATGGTGCCGTCAACAAAGAAATGGCGGACGGACGAGTAACCGGCAGCAAAGACGGCAAAACCGACGACGACACCTGGCGCATTGTTAGAAATTCGTTCGAAATCCGGACTCCTTAAGTGCTGATGCGGCAACAGTCGCAAGGAACATACCAAGGGGAATAAGCTCAGCAGGTATCTTGCGCAGCCGGCGCAGTCTCTGCGTGATGGTATGTGCTACATGACATAACAGTTAGCTGTGCCTTCATACTTCCATTGCCATCTTGATTTTTTTGTCCTGCGGTATTGTCGCTCCGTTTCCACCAAAAGCCAATTCAATCAATGCACCGTGCCGGCCGTTTTCGTTATCATATGTAGCATTGTTTCGATCTTCACATACCGGCTTGTTCTTCCTTCTGCGCATTGGTAGTCAGCATCACATGAGCGGTGGCCTCGGCTGTGGAGAGGCAAGTTGAGAGAATTGGTGACAAGAGTGAAAACTTACAGGAACAGGTCGCATCAGGCGAAGTGTAGGCCGGAAGGCCTGGAGAGCCCGGGTAGCATACATACTGACGTATGAAGCAAACAAAAGACAATGGAAATTTGGTTTAGATACAGTTGTCGCGAACAGGCGGCGATGTTGATGGCGGTGATGGCGAAAAGCAAGAAAAAGGGAAAAGTGAGGTCACCTTGTAGCTGGCTGGCTGGCTGTAGATTCCGAATCAAATGCGTCAAATTGGGGCGGGACTGCCTCAGCGCACCTGGTTTGCCAATTCCTGAAGCCAGCGCTACGGCTTTTACTGGGTTTCCATTCGTCGGCCACAAAGTCTGCCAGTTCTCTGGCGGGGAACGAATAAAAAAAAGTAAAATGGTATGCAAAGTACTGAAAGTAGAAAATGGGCAAACAATATCAGCCGACCGCCCGATGCGGCCTGAAAAGCAAGGCCGAATTCACCCGCTACCAGCCCATTATTCCGAGCGAACGAATCGAACCATTCCATCCCAAGCTGCATTGCTCGCAAACGACAGCTCGCTCACGTTCTTCATCTGTTACCATCCACGATCGCTTTCTCCCTGACCTCTCAGACCGACTCTACCACAGCAATCGCACCAATTGACATTACTTGCTATTCAAGATGTCTGACGACGAGCGTGTTACCAAGCCCTTTAAGTTCGTCACTGGTAAGTCGACCTTTTTCCAGTCGCAGATGCTCTTTCGCATCTGGATGAAAATTAATGAGATTCGTCGTATGACACATTTGCTAACGATTTTACCTCTAGCTGGTATGTTAACACCCCGACCGCATATGCTCAAACCGTCCTACAATCGCACTTTTGCTGCGATCGGCGACCGCGGGCATCGACATGCTACTGCCTGCCCCGACCTTATGCAAACCACTGCCGGGAGCATGCGACGACCTTCCAAACAACTGACGCGCTCTCTCTAGGTGTCGATGCGCGGTTCCCCAACACGAACCAAACCAAGCACTGCTGGCAGAACTACGTCGATTACCATAAGTGCATCCTGGCCAAGGGCGAGGAGTTCGCCCCCTGCCGTCAGGTTTGCTCACCCCGCTCTGCGTTGACATGACCGGGCTACACTTTTGCTTGGATTTGCTTGATTTCCCCACATACTTACATATTCGCAGTTCTGGCTTGCATACCGGTCGCTTTGCCCCAGTGGTTGGGTAAGTTGTTTATATATACACTCCTGTTTTGCCTAGGTGGCTCAGATGTGCGCATCACCGGCACCGTTTTTAACAATGCTAACGTGTAACTCCACAGTACAAGCGCTGGGATGACCAGAGAGAAGCCGGAACGTTCCCGGTCCGCCTTGAGTAAGAAGCTGGGAAGGCACATAGTTTGAATGTGGCAGCGCGCGTTGGTAGATACGTGGTAAAGGGAACATCATCAGGTAGCATTGGTTCGTGTTGTATCAATACACTGAATTTAACCTCTTTCGCCCGAGCCTTTGTCATAGTAGAAATCTACGGGATCCAATCTGAGATCTGTTATGAATATCCCACTATTACGCCCAGACTCTCACACTAGCCCGCGCAAAGGTTAGTTATTGACGGGTTTATGTTGACAGAGTCAAGCTACGCTGGGCGACATATCCGGTTCGAGGTTACTGCGTCGGCTGAACGAATCTGCTCACCTATTCTCGATGCCTTCTCGACAGACAATCGTGAAGTTGAACTCAGAAAGAAACTCTGCCCACCTCGTTTGACGTTTATTAAGGGCTTCTGTGGTCGTGCAGTCGGTCAGATTCTTGTGATCTTGTGATCTTGTGATCTTGTGATCTTGTGATCCACGTGGACCTTGACAGGGTGTTTCGTTCCTGTGAGGTAGTGCTTCCATTCTATGAAGGCTTCGCACCAGTTCTAGGTGGTGAATTTTGCAACTAAGCTCGGGTCCGTCGAGTTTCTTCTAGTAGAAGTTGCCAGGCTGGAGTCGTCCTTTCTCGTCTCGGTTCCAAGTTGTCCTCCTAGAGCGAATTTTCAAGCATCAGTTACGACTTCAAAAAGTTTTTCTGGGCCTAGAATTTAAGGATACGTTCAAAGAGAATCAACTCCTTAAGCTTATCGAAGGCCTGCACTGAGGTTTCTTAGTAAATATTATATTTAAATATAAAGATATAGTCCGTTCATATATGAAAGTATATGAGTAAACGTATGCCTGCTTTAATAGGAGGTTTTGGCCTTCCATTCGAAGGCTTGATCCTTCTTCGTGAGCTGTGTGAAGGTGTCGCTACTTGACTGTATCCATTCATAAATCGTCGGTATAAAATTCATGAGTCCAGAGTCGCTTTGTGCGTCCTTTGACGTTCTACGGTCGAGGCCAATCTCGTATGGCTTGTACCTTATAGTGTGATTTATAGTAACGCTACCGACAAGAGATAAATTACAATTAATGACAGTATGCCGAACATAAAAATAAAAATGAAATAAAAGAATATGGCATTATTGCTTTAGGCATTAACTGGCCCTTGTTGACCGTCGCTCAAAGAATCATCCTCGTCAGAGCTCAAAAACTCGTCATCTTCGTCGTCAAAGGCAAAGAATACTTTTGCCTTTTCCTTGCCTTTCGAGGTTGCCGCGGGCATTGTTGCCGCAGATGTGGCAACAATGGGCTTTCGACCGGACAAACCAGGGCTACTACTGCTTGAGCTGTCATCTGCACCCTCACCTTCTTCCTTGAAGATAACACTGGGATCACCAGAAGTGAGAGATGTGTCTGAACCTGCATATGTACCGAGCTGCAGGCTGTCGATAAACTGACGGCTAGTCATGGCCGAGAGAACAGCCGCACGGGTCCGGTCACTGGCTTCTTCTTTGTCCTCAACCCACTGGCCGTCAAGACGCCCTTTCCCTCCATTTCTTATGTCGTTCTCCTTCTTTTCAGCCATTTCGATAATGTCTCCCCATCGCTGGCGCCTCTTTTCCTTTTCTTTCCGGTCCATTTCGGGTTTAACGGCCAAGTACTCGGCGAGAGACTTGGCTTCTGTTACGGTTCGAAGCCGACGGCCGTCTAGATTTCGGCTGGAACCATTGTCATCTGCTTGGTTGTTTTTGCGTTTTGACGACATACGCCCGCCCGCAGCACGTAGTTGTGAGCCAAAGCCGCCCTTTCCACCCAAGACGGGAATGGAAAGGCGAAGGCAAATGAAGTCAGCTTCCGCTGTCGATAGGAGTTCGCCGACATTTTTTGAAGCATCCCGGAGAAGATGTCGGTTTCCAAGTGTGGTAAGAATAAGGCGAGACCGGATAGGAGGTAGGCGGTCGTCGAGATTGTTCCATAGTTCGCTGAAGGAAGTCGAACGAACTAATGGAAGAGAATAGGTAGTTGGCAAGCCATCGCCTGGGATACCAGTAACGAGGACGTTGACTACTCTCTCCGCCATGTTCGCTTTGTCCTCCAGATAAAATGACGTGCCTTCGACTTGACGAAATTGTTTTGGTGTTTGTTCTTCTAAGAGCAAATGGAAGATTGGAAGTGGGTATGATATGAGTGCTGAACTTTCGCCACGGAAAAGAAGCATGCGTCTATGGTAGGAAATATCACGTGATATATTAATAATAACAATCGCATATGATAACAACTGGGAGCTTGGTAAGTAATTACGTAAGATTCCTTAAGCCCTACCTTGGTCCGTGCACAAAGGGAAACTTCACAAAAATTTCATTCTAACATTAGGACCCTAGTGGATGTGGGCAGAACTTTACGTGCATGGTTTTTCGCCCTCGCGGTTTTCCTGACTCTCGACAGAACAATATTGAACTTCACCTTCCAATACCATATTTCACCAATACCATCCACGGGAAAGCCATTCAAAATGTTGATTCCCAAGGCCGACCGCAAGAAGATCCACGAGTCCCTCTTCCGTGAGGGAGTTCTCGTGGCGCCGAAGAAGTACGTTACCGACGACCCCCCGTCTCATAAAGCCACGATTGCCACGAACTCGGAACCTCGACCGATGCGCAAAACGTCTCAACGCTTTCATCATCTACGATACTAACTTTTCTTACAGCTTCGAGATTCCTCACCCGGAGATCGACACCAAGAACCTCTATGTGATTAAAGTGCGGATGCCTTGACTCGATAAATATACTTCTTTTCTGGACAATAAACTGACTGTTGTGAAAACAGGCCTGCCAGTCTCTGACCTCGAAGGGCTTCGTCAAGACTCAGTTTTCTTGGCAGTGGTACTACTACACTCTCACTCCCGAGGTACGCATCTTCCGAAAAACGCTGTAGCAACAAGCGCATATTACATGCTGAGACGCAGGCGGTGGATATACGAATAAATGGGTTAACTAACCGTATTTGCAGGGCCTCGACTACCTTCGTGAGTGGCTCCACCTCCCTGCTGAGATTGTGCCGTCCACCCACATCAAGCAGCAGCGGTCTCATGCGCCGCCCCGTGGAATGATGGGTGGCGAAGAGCGCGAGCGGCGGCCGTTCGGCGGCCGTGGCCGTGGTGACCGTGGAGAACGTGAAGGTGGTTATCGGAGACGCGATGCTGGCGAGGGAAAGGAGGGTGGTGCTCCTGGCGAGTTTGCTCCTCAGTTCCGCGGTGGCTTCGGCAGGGGCCGTGGTGCCCCTCCGTCGTAAGGTTCGTCGCAGTAGCGGTTCGACAACGGTGACGTGATACCGACACCTTTCTCTCCGACCGAATTCACACATCATGCAACGGCGCCGGATGTATTGAAAAAATACGACGGGTTTACGAAAAACAAAATTCACAGCCCATTGGAAGTCTATTGTTTGCTTAGAAGCGGTTTACGGCCGTCGGACTATTGTTTTGTATTGTAGGGCAGGAGACATCTTACAAAAGCAAACCAAAAAAAATATAGAAAACGCCTTATACCGATCGTTTTGTCTTCGTGATATGAGATACTTCAACCGAGATGCGATTATTGTCCAATTCCTATTATGTCCTCAAACGAATTTGAATTCCAAAGGCGGTAGAGAAGTCACTGTAAAAAAAAAAAAGCCCATCTCCCGTCGTAAGTTATTCATTTATAAAGGACAATCACCTTTGCCCAATTGATATCAAACAACCTGTACGCTGTTGTTTTCACTCCGTAGTAACAGTGAAAAATGAAAGTAAAATCGAAAGACGGTGTATCAGAGAAAAAAAGGTTACAGAATAAAAACAATCAAAAGCATATGCAGAACAACAATCACAAGGCTATGGCCGAATATGGGCGCCGATTCCAGCACCTTCGTACCAGATCCTTTGCCGCCATTGTCCAATATTGACGGCAACCTCAGCTTTCGCATCTAACTTCAATACGCCCCCTAAAGCTTTTCGTAGCTTATCAAAGCCGACAGAATCTGGGGACCAACCCACGGGTAACTTAGGTGTCTCTGAAAGCCCAGGGGGTGCACCGAAAAGATTATCGGACACGATAGTGCCAACAAGTTCGGTATGATTGTAATATGCCGTCGCATTAACAGACTCGATGTAAAGCGTGTCTTTGGCAAGTGGAGAGGCAAGAATAAATGATGCCGTTGAGGAGAATATGTGGAACGTGGCATCGCGAATGAAGCTGTGTTCGGCTGTGTTCTCATTCTCTTCGCCGCCATTCCTACCGCCGCCATCTCCTCGACCAGGCAGTGACAATCTAGGAGTAGGGACGGTAAAATTGAACTTCGAGAGAGCATCTCCGAGTACAGGTTGCAACGGGATACTTTCACGATATGCACGCACTGTGAGTGAAGTATTGAAGCCGGAAATGAACTCGGAGAGTAAGTTACGACCAATCTCGAGACCACGTTCGCCGTCAAGGGATGGATCCCAAGTTGCGGTCACAGCTAAGTTTGTGTTGTTTCCTGCGATGACATTGAGGTGTTCAGCTCTCACTGTGCCGATTAAGCTGCCATTGCAAAGAATGTGAAGGCTGATTAGAGGGATGTGTGCTGCATATTCAGTCGGGTTGGTAATGTTCGCAATAGCCTCTATGGTAATTGAAGTTGGCGTAGTGGCTAGGATTTTGACGTTTTCGACTCGCGGAGATAATTCATTAAATGAACCGGCAGCAATCGCTGGTGAAGAAGAAAATCATATAAGACTCGTCAGTGAAAACTAACAAACTTAAGCCAACTGACTCTCACCACCATATATAGTGTCACTGACATATTCAAATATGGAAACAAACCTAATACGGACGTTTTACAGGAATCTTCCCTTCGGCAGGTACGTCCTTGAGCGTAAGTTGCCCAAGAATGGTGTCAACACGGATATCAACAAGAGCCTTGACTTCCAAATCGACAGGCTCGCCACCGAATAGTAACTTCTGTATAACTTCTGTAAGGACATCGCCATTCGTGACATTGAGAGGAGCATTGGCAATTCTGGACTCGATTTCGAGTATCGCCTCGTTGTTTGGAGTTGCTCTGGTCATTGTCGAATTAGCGTCCTGCCATTTGTGCAAATTCAATTCACCGAGCTTATCGTCGGTATAAAAGACATCGGCATTTGCGCGGACGCTTGTCACGTTGATGGCAAAGTTCATCTGTGAGGGTAAGCCGGCCGTTACTAGAATAGTGCCCGAAACAGTGGGATTTGACTCCGGTGCGTCCGGGTCGGCTAACGGATCGGGCAGGGAGAATTGGACGTCTGTCAGAGAGAAGTCTCTTATCAGATTGTCAAATGTTCTTCCGGGGAATGGAATGGGAACATTGATGCTTGACAGGATATCACTGATCCATCCTGGAGTGCTGTCTAGAGGCTGCCTTTTCCCTCGCACGAAGACTACTGCGTCACCACCGTTCAGGTATTGCTTCAAAAACATATCCAGGGGCGAGGATTCGGAGTTGGGGCAATGTGCTGTCAGCGAGTCTGGAAGCTCTTGCAACGTGCCGTTCACGTCAATAATGACTCTGGCCTTTGGCCGTAAGACGACCGGTGCAGTGATGGCTTCTGCGACTTGAATGGCGGGATCAAGTAGGTTGCAGTTTGGAACAAAGACCTCGAAAGCAAGTGGGGGTATGTCGATCTGTACAGGATAGTCGTTGTATGCAGAGATTGATAACTCAGCGCCCATTGCTTGGTTACTTCCACCAGGAATACTGGTTTCTTGGAAGATGATACGATCGATGTGGTACTTTGGAAGGCGGGGAAGTTCTTCAGCTGTATAATAGACCAGTTAGAAAATCGAAATTGAAAAAAATAGCTGCAACGCAAGTCAATGTGGTTATTGGGAACAAATTTAAGAAGAAAACATCTCCTTTGCTCTACATGATAAATTTCTCTCCGAAATACAACGACGCAAAAGTGCGGTAGAGGTATTGACCTTCGAAAACAAGTGACTCGGACACAGTATGAGTGCCTAGAGGGATGAACCCTGTCCTCAATGCAAGGCTGGCGTGTCCTGTAAGGCGGACAGAATCGAGGCGGCCTTCCAACCACTGGTTCGCGATGCCGCGAATGGCTTCGGCATCACCTGGAGCCAAATCAGCGACAAAGTCAATTGCTGTTGTGTGCCCATCAACCAAATCGACGGTCAATGGCGGGATACGAGCCGACCCCAAAAGCACATTCGAAAACTCGGGGAGGTAAACGCTGACAAGGGTTTGGTCGGTGCCCAACCGACGGACAATCCATGTTGTCGTTTTGCCAATTCGCCTAACTTGCTCGTTTTTGATCCTCGAACCATCGAGACGGAAATTTGCTTGGATGCGCGCGCGTACTCCGTCGGCGGTGATCGATTCGAGTGACAAGTTTGTCGGCTCAATAACAACACCCTGCTTAGCATATTCCTCGACCGCAGCGGGAACGAAATAAGCCACAAAAATAATAAGCAAGGATGCCAACGCGAGAAAGAAAATGGCCATAATGGATGGCCATCGCTTGCTTGACTTTTTGTTGGTATGGACAGACACCCGGTCGCTGTTCGAGGCTTCAGTGATGTGAGAAGCGGCGTCGTCATTCAGTGACAAGCCATCGTACCGTACGGATGAGCCACCGGTGACCTCTGTAAGAAGAGGTGTTGTCTCGACTGGAGGGGTCCTCGCTCTAGCGGAGGCGGAGGCGGAGGCGGTCGCGGAGAGTTCGCGTTCGGACCCGGGACCGAAAAGAGGCGACCGGTTGTCTCCATGGTTGGCCATTACGCCCAGCAATTTTGGCGCACCACTAATTAGTGGAGTGCCTTTCTTCGCTGCCGGGCCGATGTTGGTGTTGAACTCTAGGAGTAATGGCACGGATGGTAAAGGGAGAGAAGTACATATGTATTGTGACACTGGATTAGTAGAAACGAGAGAGAATGCAAAGCGTTTATTTGTTTTGGTGATTATGGGAAGTGTGGCGTCTTGGGGTAACGTGGATGACGGAAAGGAGAGGGGAGGACAGGATCAACCAACCGTTGCAGATAAGTTAATGGCACGTGATTAATTTGTCATAGCATGCTTCATGCCTTCGCCGACGCCTTTTTCGTACTCCGAAATAGGACCGTCATTATTTCGTACTAGTACGTGTACTGTGCGAGCACCATATTCTTACCGTACTAACATAAACGAATCTGTAAAATATTTTTGACCATATCCGGGCTGTTTTGACGACCAAATGAGTCAACGGGGGTTTAAAAGTCATACTTCCCTAGTGGCTATCTGTCTCGCGCTTGTGAGTTAACCAGAATTGTTTATTTGATTGCCCGTTTTAGAGAGCACAAAGCCGAACAGGAAACAAAACAAACAGTATTCTCGGCAACAGACAGGCTTGTCGAAGAGCTTTATCCCAATACAAATCATGAGCAACTCGCTCTTCCAGGCCGCGAAGACGGCCACCCGGCATGTACAAACCCGGGCTCACTCTACTCCCCGCCATCTGATGTCAATTGCGGACCTTTCATCGACAGAGTTTGCCCGTCTTGTTCTAAATGGGGCCGAACATAAAAAGGCATTCAAGGCAGGCACCGCTTCCGAAAAGCTCAAGAGCAGTCTTGCCGGCCCCGCAGTGGCCTTGTTGTTTACTAAACGAAGCACGCGGACGCGAGTTTCAACAGAGTCTGCGATAGCCATGATGGGTGGCCATCCTATGTTTCTAGGCAAGGATGACATTCAACTTGGTGTAAGCATAGCCGTGAATATGAAGGTTACTAAATACAGTTCATCCTAACTAACCCCAATCCGTGTCAGGTCAATGAGACTCTCCTTGACACGTCTAAAGTCATTTCCTCTATGACTTCGTGTATTGTTGCGCGTGTTGATCAGCACTCTGATGTGACCGGCTTGGCTGAGCACTCCTCAGTCCCTGTCATCAATGCCCTGTCGGCCGATTTCCACCCGTTGCAGACGATTGCTGACTTCTTGACAATCCACGAGGCGTTCCCTGAATCTAATTTGAAAAAAGGTAGCCTTGGTCTCGAAAGCAGGAAAGTCGCATGGATCGGTGATTCAAACAACGTGCTTTTTGACCTGGCTATCGGTTGCTTTAAAATGGGCGTTGATATCGCGGTTGCCTCACCGAAAGGCTACGGTATCCCCGACCGCATGCGATCCCTCATCTTGTCTTCTGGCACCAGCAGCAAATTGGTTGAGACGACCATTCCAGAGGTTGCTATCAAGGATGCTGACATTCTGGTGACGGACACTTGGGTGTCCATGGGTCAAGAGGAAGAGGTAAAAAAGAGGCTTCAAGCTTTTGACGGATACCAGATCACAAGTGAACTGGCGAAGCGTGGCGGGGCAAAGGAAGATTGGAAGTTTATGCACTGTCTTCCTCGGCACCCCGAGGAGGTGACGGACGAGGTTTTTTACAATTCCCGCTCGCTGGTTTTCCAAGAGGCGGAGAACAGGCTTTGGGCAGCTATCGGTCAGTACAGCCCTCTACTTGCATTCGGTTGAGAAGACAACATGGACTGACATGCTATTTAGCTGCATTGGAGGCTTTCGTTGTTAACGAGGGTAACATTGCTTAATACAGCGACATGCATTGATCAGAATCTACGTATGGCTGTCGTTTTGGGCAGAGCTTTTCTTTAAAGGACTAGTTGTTTCGTATCTGCTGGAAAGGTTTGTGGCCAGTGGTGAGACAAGGACGATGCCGGGGGAAGGGCCACAAACCGAAGATGAGATGGTCATTGCCCGAAAATAAGGAAGAATTAGGCACGCAAATACGGACATATGTCGTCTTCCCTCTGTTCCAAGCAACTTTAACCGGGAGGAAGCTGACTAGCATCAACCACCTCGTCTGCCTCCTTGGTTGGCGTGTCGTCGTCAGGGCCATGAAGAGGCGACCGCGGTAAAGCCATCAAGCCCGTACGAGCCGACTCCAGAATGCCAAAAGGAGCGACTAACTTAAGAAACGAGTCAATTCTAGAGGGTTTGGCGGATCTGGTGGCGATGTTAGCATTGGCGCCTTGTAGAACAACCAGGGCGAATTGTGCAGCACAAAGATGTGTCCGCAGGTGTTCCCTGTCGTGGGACACTTACACCTCAACAATGCAGCTGTTGGTGCTGATATCCAATACCTTGCCACCGAACTGGTGAGTAAAGTATGTGATGCTCTTCAGATGCTCGTGCTTATGGCGAAGGGCCTCGCTTGCAGCGAGGCGACTGGGGTGGAAATCCTCTCCGGCGTTGGCAAGCGACACATCAAATGCCTCACCATCTTGCTCACCGTTGGCATCAACGGGGGCCGTGATCTCGCGGTGGTGAGCCAACAACTCCTCGAAGTATTCGGGCCCAAGAATATTGACCTTGGCTAGAAGTAGTTCGCGTTGAACCAGGGCAGCATTGGTATAGTCCAGGACAGCCCAGACAGGGACCAGGTCTTCAAGTTGCCTTCGCGCCTGCTCCACTACACCATCCTGGCCTGTCAGCACGATCGTCATGCGCGACAGGTCCTCGACCTCAGTGCTGCACACAACGAGGGAGTCAATGTTGAAGCCACGGGCGGCAAGGATTCCGGACACACGAGAGAGGACACCCGGCTCGTTCTGGACAAGGCAGTTGAGAATGTGGCGTGTAGATGGGGCTAGCGACGGAGTTGGGGTCTCGTATAGGATGTTGGAGACGGCAGCTTGCGCAGACCACGATGGCGGCGCATCGCTAACCGGGAGAGGCGCCTGGCGACGCCGAAGGGCCTTGTAGGCGATAGCGGACGTGGAACTGCTGGTGTTGGAGCTGTGCCGTATGCCACCGGTGGAGGTAGGGAAAGTCGCCTGAAAATCCTTGGTCGAGTGGAGGCCGGAGGGCGACACTAGACGCCATGGCGACGAAAGCAAGAGGCGGCGAGAAGCCATGATGCAAATGGCGATGTAGGAATCTGGATCAAGCCCTATCGCCAAAGGGCATTGTCCCCGAAAATTATTTGAAAAAGGACAACCGGAGGTGAAAAAGGCACGTATAAGAAGCGACCTGGGCAGTCAATTGGGCGTGTTTGAGGTACCTTTTCGTTCGTCGTGAGTCAGAAGATGAGAGGAGGAGGCGGAGGAGGGAAAAACGAGACGAAATACGGAATAGTGTCAGCGGACCAGCCAGACCAGACGAAAAGAGAAACCCGACTTAGCACTATTAGTTCATTGAATGCAAAAAACACTACGAAGTACAGTAACAGAAACAGGTTATAATCAAAACCGTTGGTGGAGCACAATGCAAAGACGTTATCGGAACCGGGACAAAATTTTCACGAGCTGAATGTCCTGATGGAGTAATGCTCCAGTAAAATTGAGAGTGGAGGTATTTGGTTTATTTTCTGTCAGGCTGGCATTTCTGATTTCTGGAACTTTTGCACACCCCGCCTGCCCATTCATTGGCTCAGCCGGCAGGACAATCCCCCAATCCGTTCAGCCTCACATGAACCAGTTAACCACAAGCCTACCAAAAGACGTACGACAGTACAAAAGCAATCTGACCGGCACTATTGAATACCCTGACAACTCTCACCGTTCACTAAGGCCTCCACTCATGTACAGCATCGCAGTGAGCGGTCTGTGCCCGGATTACATCGAGCTTTCCAATTGTCCCTCTTTGTTCTCCATATTTCGTCAGAAGTGTCCTGTTTCACTTGTTTCCTTGTCAGCGATCGCGCCTCGTGGGCCCCGTTGATGTCGGTGGATCATGGACTCTAGCGAACGCAAGACTACAAAACGGTCGCGTTTTGATCAGACTGAGCCGGAACCCAAACGCGTATCCCGTTTCGATCGGCGCTCTCGCTCGCCCGCTGCCCGGCGGGTCGATGCGTCGCGCGAGCATCCTCTGCCGTCACGCGAGCCAGGTACGCCCGGCGACCAGGAGCCCAAACGCCATGACCCTGCTGCCGCCGCTGGTACGTTGACAAGACCCTTTTTATCCACCCTTACAACTTTGCCTCTAGAGATCATTCGTTTATTCCTTTCTTTCTATCCCGTGTACCTATTTGAGGGACGGCCATTAACTAACTGTCCTTTCCGAAACAGCGGCAATCGCAGCCAGAATCAGTGAACAGCTCCAGACTCGGAAAAGCAGCAGCCGGGATGTCGATGAGTCTGTAGCAACACCGGTCGCGCCCACGAGCACAAAGGCCACGGCCTCGGCGTCTGCTGCTAATATCAATGGCGAAATTTACATCTCCGACGGAGACTACATAAAGGATATTGAGGTCAATGATCAAAGAAACCGATACATTGTTACAAAGGCTTCAACACAAAAATTGGTAAACTCCCCGGACATTGCGCCGCAAACCTCGGGCAGCCCCGTTTTCTGTTTCTGGCTAAATTTCTTGGCCAAATGCGCTCTTTTTCGTACATCTGAGATGGCTTCACCTTCTTTCGTCTTGGATGGTTAGGCTCAACTTCCCCTTTGGCAACTGCTGACACCGATGTTACTTTTAACACAGATCAAAGACGAAACTGGCGCAGGTACGCCTACTCCTTCTATTTGTTCTAGCGGCAAGCCGGATCCTGTTGTGTGGAATAATCACTGTTGACGTATTGCCTGCTGTGCCTTGATTCTAGATGTCACGACTCGCGGAAGCTATCTTCCAGATAAAAGCATGGCTTCAGCATCAGTAAGACCTTAGCACCTTTTATTAAATCGGTCGGGAACTGGGAAGATTCTACTTGATACTGATATCGTCGCAGAACCCCCCTTTATATCTACATATTACCAGTACAACCAAGGAGGGCCTGGAAAAAGCCATCGACAAAGTCAACGAGTTACTTCACTCTGAGCTACCGGCCCTCGTAGATGAGAGGCGATTTCGACGTCGCGAAAGAGAGGAACAGCCGACAGGCGAACGAGATGAGTTTGGTCGGGTATGTTTTGTATCATTTTGCTCTTCTTGCCGTACGATTGTCGTTACTGACACGCCAAACTGAAGAGAAAATGGCCAGATAAGCAAATTCCCGTAAACCTCGACCCCATTCCCGGATTCAACCTGCGAGCACAGGTTGTTGGCCATGGCGGTGCGTACGTTAAGCACATCCAGCAGGAAACAGGTTGTCGAGTACAGATCAAAGGCCGAGGCTCCGGGTTCATTGAGTCTTCGACGGGCAGAGAAAGCGATGAGCCTATGTACTTGCATGTGACGTAAGTCTTTATACTCATTTCTTCTATCTCATCCCCCTTCTTTCAATTTTTTTCCCATTTACATTTGATCAGGTTTGTCATGCATGGATACGGGGTATGGTTTTCACTAACATCGCCAAGCGCCCCAGATCCAGACATGGTCGAAAAAGCTAAAGATCTTTGCGAAGACTTGTTAGAAAACGTGAAAGACCAATATGAGTCTTTCAAGAGCCGCCCCCAACGCCCATATGGTGGACAAGGTAGCTACGTCGACCGTCATGGAAATGGCAGCCAATACAGCCATTACCAAAGCTACTCCGGAAGTCGCGGGGGCTACAACGGCCGCGGGGGGCGCGGGGGCTATGGTGGACAAGATCGTAACAGAAATGAGCAAAGTGGCTACGACTCGCCAAATTCTGCCACGAGCAATGCTGGCAGCGTTGTCCCTGGTCATGCAAACCAGAGCCCAGCCCCCCATGCCGCACCAGTCGCCCCTACTGCCCCACCTTCGACCAACACCGAAACTGCTTTACCAACTGGTAGTGCGGACTATGCGGCTCAGTATGCACAGTATTACGGGAGCAATGATCCTTATGCGCCGTATGGCGGCTATGCTGCGTAAGTTTACCTTTAGCTGTGGTGCTTGAAGCGATACTTAGCTTACAATGGAATGCCATTTTTTTCTCGATTTAGTTACGTCCAATACTACCAGCAGTACTACGCAGCGGCACAACAAGCCCAGCAGCAACAGCAAGCAGCACCATCTACGCCGCCTGGTGTTGGCCAGACATCGACAACCTCGTCGCCGCCTCCACCCCCGCCGCCGCCTGGGGACGCTCCTCCTCTACCTCCACCGCCCCCGAATTCCGACGGTGTCTCACCAGTAAGCAAATGTGCCTCTGAAATATGTCCTTAATATCTGACAAGGTTTGTATCTTATTAACAATACGAAGGTGCTACCACCACCCGGGCTTTAAGGTGAAGTGCAGGCTTATATATAAGCTTCTATACGTGATTATTTTCGACTCCCCTGTGGACCAATCGACTTTGGCTCGTTTCCCGCCAAAAAAGCAAGTTCTAGGAATTAAATTGTAGCAAAAGTTCACTAGACTCGATTAGAACCGAGACATGTTAAACCTGGGTTATTTTGGTATGTACCAATCGCCAATATTAAGCAGCGTCAATCGATATGCAAGTAAGCGGGTTCAGAGGCCAGCCCTATTAGGTACATAATAAGCTCATACCATAAATGGGGTGTGTTGACTTTCAGTCTTTCACCACGTTCTTTCAATTGTGTCTTACCCGTTCCCAAAATGCTCCATTTCACGAAAGGCCAAATATCCACAACAACAAAGCACACTATATCGCCCTTTGCACATCAGCAGTCTTTCTCACAATGATCCACCAACGTTATCCATCCCAGGATGTAATCAAGGAGCCACATCCCATTTCACTTAAAGTTCTCAGGCAAGATGAATAGTATCCCGACTGAGCTGAACGGTGTTTTAGGCACCTATGGTCTATGCTAATACAAAACATTCTCAGACTATCACGACCCGCCCTCGTGTCCCAGTACCCTGTAACTGCACCACTTTTATCGGAGGTGTCACCTCTGACCGCACAGGCTTCGCTGGCCTTTCGGGGACATAATTCGGACTACCTTGCATCCAGCACCAATCCAGACCCATTCCTGTTAAGCCCCATACTGAATTTTCCACCGTCCTTCGGGTCCGCATATGTCGGCGAATCTTTTGCTTGCACATTATGTGTGAATTACGACATGGTAAAGGCTGCCGATGCCGAAGCCACCAACTCTGCAGCACCCAATGCTGGGTCAACGAAAACGATACGCGATGTGCGCATTGAGGCCGAAATGAAAACACCATCAACTACTGGGGTGGTAAAACTTGACCTCATCCGGGACGAAAACTTCGTCCGTGGCGATGCTGTCGGCGACCAAAATAGTGCACCCGTAGTAGCTAGTCGCACCGGGGGCGTCGATCTTAAGTACGGGCAGACGCTTCAGAATGTGGTTCGCTTCGATCTTAAAGAGGAGGGCAACCATGTACTCGCCGTGACGGTCAGTTACTATGAGGCTACGGAAACCAGTGGACGCACGCGAACGTTTCGGAAGCTGTACCAGTTTATCTGCAAGTCATCTCTTATTGTGCGAACGAAGTCCGGGCCATATGCTGCATCAATGCCAACGCGGCGGCTCCACAAGGCCGGTGGGGATGCGCCGCTCCGGCGCTGGATATTGGAGGCACAGCTGGAAAACTGTGGTGAAGATGTCTTACAGCTGGGCCTCGTGGCGCTCCAGCTTGAACCGGCACTTACCTACGAGAGCTGCAATGACTGGAACGATGATGTCAAAATGCCATCATCAGCGACCGGCTACGGCAGTAAACGACCCATTCTTCACCCCGGAGAGGTAGAACAAGTGACTTTCTTGATACAGGAGACAGCTCCCGGGTTGCAAGAGGAGGATAGCGGCCGCATAGTGTTTGGTGTGCTTGGGATTGGATGGCGAGGCGAGATGGGGGGCCGGGGCTACTTGTCTACGGGCAAACTGGGCACCCGCGCAAGCCGATAATCAGCCATCAAACACCTCACTCACAGGGTCGGCCTGTGAGGGTCGCGTTTGCCCATTACATACAGAAACACAACGCCTCTTGCCATGGCCAATGGCACAGCCATGGCTGTAAAGCATTACCACCGAAAGTGGGCGCTTTCTTTAAACCAAAATGGTACAGATACATCCTATTTATTTACGAGACGGCCAAAGGCACACCTACTGCTGGTTGTCATACTTTGAACCTACCATGCGTTGGCGGCACCATATCGAGCTCAGCACTCCCGGCCTACACACCCTAGCCATTGATTTCGTCAAGGCCGCTTAGAGTCTTGGTCAAAGTGCTCCGTACGACAGTGATTTTAGCATAAACCATCGCGATTTGCACCCCTGTGCTAACGGATAAGAAACCCCAACCCGCCGGACGGTGTAGAGCTCGATCGGTAACTGGCGCTCTGAGTGTGTGAGAAGGGCGACTAGTAGTCTGTGCAAACTCAGGGACAGTTCCAAAGAAGAAGGAGGAAGGACTGGGTGCCGATACAAATGGGCCACTAGTGACCTGCGAATATCATTTAATATGTGTATGATATTATTTTTCGTGAAGGCTAGAATGAGTGATTCCGTGCTGTTCTTCGACAAAGAGCAAGGGACCCTTGTCTACCTGGAAACATGTCCGTACAAGCAACTATGTGCGGTGGCATTTTCGAATACTCCATATAACACGCAGGGAATTATAGATAGACTAAATACCCGGACTGGGTCTTGATGCGACAGAATGTGGTGACCGGGAACGGCAAGCAAAGACGACAAAGATCGCAATTCTATGCCTCTCGGCCAGCTGGCCCGAGAGTGCGGATGTAAACCCTGTTTTGATGAACGTTATCAGATTCGTAGATCGTAACTCGTTTGTGAGTTTGTCGTATGTCGTATTTCTCTATTCGTCTGTCCCTTGTGAGATGCTTGGACGTCGCACGAGTGGTTCGACGCATTTCAACTCGAGATGTAAAGTAATAATGCCCATTTATATAGGAGTCTCTACCCGTAAAGTACGCCATCTCTAGTGGGCTTACAAGAAGAGAGTCTCACTTTAAAAAAATTTGCATGCGTAAAAGGTCGTAAGTTACTGCGATGTACGACGACATATGTATGTTCCTATATCGTAACTCCTTGGCCGTTGCCCCTACCTGTATTTTGTTGCAAGAAGGGCACTAGTGACGCTCGTCCGTCTTACTATCAAATTCTAACCCGTACAGAATAGACTTGACGGAATACCGCATTTACGCTATGGATTTTCACCGCGATGCTCCCTCCGAGTGCGGTGCCTTGTAATTAAATTACGGTGTAAATGTGCACTGTTAGTCATTTCTTCAGCGGAGTTTGTTTCTCCCTTATTCTATGTGGTAGATTTGGTCTAGCAGTGATCTACATGGTCTTATTGCGGGGCACCCTCCCCGTTTTAGTGCTTGTTTGCCCCAGAGCCGCCGTATTCTCTTGTGACGTGGCCACCAATTCTCACTCTCTTTGAGCCTGGTGGGGCCTGACAGCTTCCCTCGTGTCTGCTTTCTATCCCATACTTTTTTCCCATCCCTTTGCCAATTTTCCCGTACTCTCCACCTTTTTATCTGACCGCCCAAGTCACGGGCATTGGTGTCAGGTTTTAGCCACCCCTCGTAACCAATCCCATTTTTCCAGGGCTTTTCATCAGAGCATGCTTGTTTCTTTGACTTTGGTTCTTCACCTGCCGACTTTTGTACCCCCTGACCTACAGTGTCTGGGTTCTTTTTTTTTTCACGTTAACGGCGATCACCACTCCAATGTTGCGATCGGGAGGCCCGAGACCTGAAAGCGACCGACCCGTTGTTAATTATATCGCGGCCCCTGATAGCCGTACTCCGCCTTCCGATACCGATATACTGATATCTATCCTCCTCCTTGTTCCGGTTCACCACCGGCCACTCGCCTCCTGAATCTTAGCCTCTCTTCTCAGCGCAGCGCATACGAGTTTCTCTCATATGCCGTCATGGATTCGTCCGCGTCTACACCCTTGGCGGACTACTTCTGGATCGCCGGTGTCGAGTCAATTTCTTATCAGGACCCCTTATTACCTCCCCAGTCCTCTCAGCAGGTCAAGGAGACCATAGATGAACATGGCGAACCTGAGCTGGCTGACGCCTCTAAGGGCCCGGCAGCATACCGAACGAACACGCGTCACTCCCGCCAGAGTTCTGCGAACCGCCTTTCCAAGCTATCTTTCGAAAACCGCTTTTCGATGCAAACACTTGAGGATCTCGACGACAATACACACAGCAACCGCAGCAGCACAACCATCAAGGCGCCCTTGCAGACAAGGGCGAGTGCGACAAGCCTTTCAAGCTCCACGAAGGCGACACTGGAAGGCAATCCAAACGGTGCTACAAGTCCTAACGGAACAGCCAGCCAGACTGATTTCGACTTCGATCAAATGCTACTTAAATTCGCTGTGGAGCGGGAGAACTTTCTTGAGGATCTTAGTTTCAGTGCGGGCGCGAAATTACACACAAGACCGCCGATGATCAGCCCACGTGCTGAAAAGATAAAGGTCGACGACGGCGAGCACAATGGCCGTCGTAGCCCACTCCGCGGCATCAAGGGTAGCATTCGCCGAAAGCTAAGTTTCCGAGACATGAACAGCGTTCGAAAACCTCACAATACGGCGCGAACAGGTAAGAGGAGAGTTAAGGTGGCAACAAGATTACCCCGGAAAACTTTGTACCAAACTGACCTTTTCCCTTTTCCTTCTTCCCCCCTGATACCAGCCTCCGTACGTACGAACAAACGATTGAGCAACTACAACTCTGTCATCCCACCTCCTGAGCCCTTGAATTCTGATACGGACATGCACCCTCTGAAACGGCGGTTTGAGCCTGTTCTACTGGACCGATACCCTCCTCGGGACGCCACAGAGGAAATTCTTCGCAGGGGCAAATTCCCCGACTATGTACCCATGTTTGCTTTCCCTAACGACATTCAAATTGTTTCATCTGACGATCGCCCTCGGTCTACCTGGCACGGGTTTACTATGACGTCTGACGACAACTCCAAAATGTACGGCATTTGCATTACAATATGGACTGTCCTGAAAGCAGACACCGCCGAAGAAGTCGAAAAGCGATGTGAGCAGTGGCGCCAAAGCCACATGTCGGATGAGGAACGAGAACTAGCTGCTAGTTTGGGCATGCGCCTTGCCGCAGAAAGAGCAAATCTTTCCCAATTGCTCGCCAAGTTGCCTGGAATACCGTCTGGCTCACCAGCGCGAGAAGTATTGGATGACCAGATCAGCACAGTCGAGGAAAAGATCAGCCTGATGGCCGAGATGCTTCGGCCTCTCCGGCATGGTGCCGCCTCCAAAATCGATGGACTGACTTCGGGCGAAACGGGCCTTTGGATACCCAGAGCCTATGGCATTCTGGGACGCGACCATACACGGATGTCTTTTTGGAAGGAGTGGCTGAGGGCGGTCATTGTTCCCATGACTGATGGGGCTGTCTTGCGCATTCCTCCCAGCTCGCCAAAGGTTGGCCGGTGGCAGCCCCTAGAGCGTTATGTGGTCAACCTGTGCACTGAGGCTTTCAGCCCACTTAGCTCCAAAACGCAGGTTGAGCTAGGGGTACGCGAGCTCCGACTTTATGCACGGAAAGAAGCGGCCAACGAACTCCCGGGCAGTCGGAATGTGGATTTGTTTGCACTTTTCCGCTGTCTATCACTGGAGAATATTGTCACGCTGTTCGAATATGTCATGGTCGAGTCGCGCATCATCTTCATTTCCTCTCATTCGGCCATGCTATATCTTGCATGCCACGCCATTGCGAATCTGCTATACCCGCTAAAGTGGGCAAGTATATTCATCCCACTGCTACCTGCACGCCTTTTGTCGGTTGTAGATGCCCCGTGTCCCTACATTGTTGGCATAGAACGACGCTATGAACGTATCGATCTTCCAGAGGACGATTTTGTTCTAGTTGACCTTGATAAAAACACAATTGAGGCCACGTCCTCTCCTACACACATGCCACGCCAACACCGTCGCAAGTTGCTGTCCCTTCTACAAATGGCCGCTCCGCATCAACTACGCTATGGTGTACCTCCAGGGCCGCCTCCATATGCTATGGAGACGTTCCCATACGATTCATTTTCCGCCGAAAATGAGTCTCTGTTGAACCCCATAGCGCCTCCAGCCACTCTTGGCAAATGGGTGACGCAAAATTCGACTAGCTTTGGAGAGCCAGAGGCCTCGGGTGCGTTGCGAGTCCCTATCTTTAACGCATTTGTTCAACTCAGAAACGAGTTCGCCCGTGCCGACCGACCTCATACGGCGAGATCCAACAAAACTAGCCCACCTGCTTCACTGTCTCCCATATCTACAAGCTTTCCACAAGTTCCATTGACTCCCGTATCACGAAGTGACTCTGGTTTTGCTGTTACCCAGACGTTACGCGAGAAAAGGTCTGGACATTTTGACGAAAAGTCAAGGCGAAGCTCATCATTTGGCGTTGCAGACCCGAACCATCCTCTACACAGGCCCAGCCTGCAGTATCTCAACGGCCACAGTCACACACAGAGTATGTCCATCTCAGCAGTTTCAGTTGATTCTCAATCTTCGTACGGCGGGTATGCCCCCTCGACGTATGCACAATCTACGCTTGCAGCGTCTACTGTGATGCCAAACATGATAGTCAAACCCGTGCGCAACACGGAGACAACAATGTGGGTCGAAGGGCATTGCTTCACTTGGAGCCGTGAGGATGCATCGGGGACATGCGGCATCTGCGAGGAGCGTTCAGATGGTGATGGCCTTTATCGATGTGTAGGGTGCAAGTGCCTTTCTCACAATAGGTGCCTGGGTTTCGCTTCTTTGGTGTGCCCTGAGGCGTTCAGCGCCGACAAGGTTCGAGCTGCTTTTGTTCGCTGTCTCGCCAGCATCTTCTACACATACCGAAAGCACCTCACCCGCCCAACGAAAGAGCAAAGGTCAAACGGGCAAG